GGCAACGAGGCTGGTGCTGGCAACCCAGGCAACGAGGCTGGTGCTGGCAGCCCAGACAACGAGGCTGGTGCTGGCAACCCAGGCAACGAGGCTGGTGCTGGCAGCCCAGGCAACGAGGCTGGTGCTGGCAACCCAGGCAACGAGGCTGGTGCTGGCAACCCAGGCAACGAGGCTGGTGCTGGCAACCCAGGCAACGAGGCTGGTGCTGGCAGCCCAGGCAACGAGGCTGGTGCTGGCAGCCCAGGCAACGAGGCTGGTGCTGGCAACCCAGGCAACGAGGCTGGTGCTGGCAGCCCAGGCAACGAGGCTGGTGCTGGCAGCCCAGGCAACGAGGCTGGTGCTGGCAACCCAGGCAACGAGGCTGGTGCTGGCAACCCAGGCAACGAGGCTGGTGCTGGCAACCCAGGCAACGAGGCTGGTGCTGGCAACCCAGGCAACGAGGCTGGTGCTGGCAACCCAGGCAACGAGGCTGGTGCTGGCAACCCAGGCAACGAGGCTGGTGCTGGCAGCCCAGGCAACGAGGCTGGTGCTGGCAACCCAGGCAACGAGGCTGGTGCTGGCAACCCAGGCAACGAGGCTGGTGCTGGCAACCCAGGCAACGAGGCTGGTGCTGGCAACCCAGGCAACGAGGCTGGTGCTGGCAACCCAGGCAACGAGGCTGGTGCTGGCAACCCAGGCAACGAGGCTGGTGCTGGCAGCCCAGGCAACGAGGCTGGTGCTGGCAGCCCAGCCAACGAGGCTGGTGCTGGCAGCCCAGCCAACGAGGCTGGTGCTGGCAGCCCAGGCAACGAGGCTGGTGCTGGCAACCCAGGCAACGAGGCTGGTGCTGGCAGCCCAGGCAACGAGGCTGGTGCTGGCAACCCAGGCAACGAGGCTGGTGCTGGCAGCCCAGGCAACGAGGCTGGTGCTGGCAGCCCAGCCAACGAGGCTGGTGCTGGCAGCCCAGGCAACGAGGCTGGTGCTGGCAGCCCAGCCAACGAGGCTGGTGCTGGCAACCCAGCCAACGAGGCTGGTGCTGGCAACCCAGCCAACGAGGCTGGTGCTGGCAACCCAGCCAACGAGGCTGGTGCTGGCAACCCAGCCACCGAGGCTGGTGCTGGCAACCCAGCCAACGAGGCTGGTGCTGGCAACCCAGCCAACGAGGCTGGTGCTGGCAACCCAGCCAACGAGGCTGGTGCTGGCAACCCAGGCAACGAGGCTGGTGCTGGCAACCCAGGCAACGAGGCTGGTGCTGGCAACCCAGGCAACGAGGCTGGTGCTGGCAACCCAGGCAACGAGGCTGGTGCTGGCAACCCAGCCAACGAGGCTGGTGCTGGCAACCCAGCCAACGAGGCTGGTGCTGGCAACCCAGCCAACGAGGCTGGTGCTGGCAACCCAGCCAACGAGGCTGGTGCTGGCAACCCAGCCAACGAGGCTGGTGCTGGCAACCCAGCCAACGAGGCTGGGCCGTGTCACCACAATACTTCTCTCTCGACTTAACAGCACCGCTAAGCTAGTCATTCCTGCCACGGGTGAAGTGGGTGTGACACCATCGTCAGGTGACACACTTGACCAAACGCCCATAGTCTAGGGGAGCTGCCTGACGCCACACCAGTCGTTGTTCACCGCTCCTGTGGCGCCAACATGGGGGTGGTGCAGGGGGGAGGGGTGACCTATATGTAAGGGGGGGGGGGAGTTTGACATGCATGCTGGGGGGGGGGGGTTATATCCTAGGGGATGGGGCACCCCGCTATATTGATCTAGAGTGAGTTACACTCATTCTAACCCTCTATTAGTGATTTTCCCCCTCTTATCCCAGCATTGTGGAGCTGTGGCCTCTCTACCACACCTCACATCTACCACATCTCATGTCTACCTCACGTCTACTACACCCTCATATCTACTAGAGCCGCACTACATACAAAGTACACAGGGAAATATACCTGTCACTCACACTCATCTCGTCCACACACACCTGACTGTGTAGCCAGGTGAGCCGTGATCTGATAAACATGACTCACATATCTGGTACGCGTCCTCAGTCAGATATTTGTATCTGCAGAATCGAGCTATTAGCTCTTGGACCCCGCCTTTCAAACCCTCATCTGTTTTTCCCCTATTATGTCTACTACATATACGTCTATATGTATACACACACACATACATACATACACACACACATACACACATACATACACACATACATACATACATACATACATACATATACATACATATCCGCAGGAAGCAGTTAATTCTGTTAATTCTGAGTTAATTCATGTACTGTTAATTCTGAAGGATAGGCTACCTAGCCGTGATTCCAACCTATCCTCCTGTTTATTTTTATTTTATTATTTTATTTATTTATTTATATACAAGAAGGTACATTGGGTTTGTGAGGATACATAGCATGGTTTTTACAATCTTGTAAAGCCACTAGGACGCGCAGCGTTACATTGGGTTTGTGAGGATACATAGCATGGTTTTTACAATCTTGTAAAGCCACTAGGACGCGCAGCGTTACATTGGGTTTGTGAGGATACATAGCATGGTTTTTACAATCTTATAAAGCCACTAGGACGCGCAGCGTTACATTGGGTTTGTGAGGATACATAGCATGGTTTTTACAATCTTATAAAGCCACTAGGACGCGCAGCGTTACATTGGGTTTGTGAGGATACATAGCATGGTTTTTACAATCTTATACAAGAAGGTACATTGGGTTTGTGAGGATACATAGCATGGTTTTTACAATCTTATAAAGCCACTAGGACGCGCAGCGTTTCGCGAAAATTTACAGGTACCATTTTACAAAATGTAAAATACAAAAAAAAAATGGTACCAGATACCAAAAGGTACCATTTACATGGTACCTTTTTCGTAAGTATGTGGACCATGGTACATATATTGACGTACCGGACCGTGGAACCGGGGGTTCCTGTGGCCAGATTCACGAAGCAGTTACGCAAGCACTTACGAACCTGCACATCTTTTCTCAATCTTTGGCGGCTTTATTTACAACTATTAAACAGTTAATGAGCTGCGAAGCACCAGGAGGCTGTTTATAACAATAACAACAGTTGATTGGCAAATTTTCATGCTTGTAAACTGTTTAATAAATGTAACCAAAGCCGTCAAAGATTGAGGAAAGATGTACACGTTCGTAAGAACTTGCGTAACTGCTTCGTGAATCGATGTCCTTGTCCTCAGTGGTAAACAAATTTCGCCAGAGGGAAGGTCAGATGTTTCGCCAGAGGGAAGGTCAGATGTTTGCTTGCTGGCGTGAAGGTGAGGCAGGTGTGTGTGGTCACCAGGAGCCCTCTAGGCCACATATACGGATCCTTCCCAGCATGTATCTTATCTTGAGATGATTTCGGGGCTTTTTAGTGTCCCCGCGGCCCGGTCCTCGACCAGGCCTCCACCCCCAGGAAGCAGCCTGTGACAGCTGACTAACTCCTCCCATGTAACTCATAATAGTCCCACTAACTTATTAGTAATTAGGTAACTGGGAGTTACCTAATTACTAATAAGTAGATCATGTTGACGTCAAAGGTGATATGAAATGTGAAGAGAGAGAGAGAGAGAGAGAGAGAGAGAGAGAGAGAGAGAGAGAGAGAGAGAGAGAGAGAGAGAGAGAGAGAGAGAGAGAGAGAGAGAGAGAGAGAGAGAGAGAGACAGAGAGACAGAGACAGAGACAGAGACAGAGACAGGGACAGGGACAGGGACAGGGACAGGGACAGGGACAGGGACAGGGACAGGGACAGGGACAGGGACAGGGACAGAGACAGAGACAGAGACAGAGACAGAGAGACAGAGACAGAGACAGAGACAGAGACAGAGACAGAGACAGAGAGAGAGAGAGAGAGAGAGAGAGAGAGAGAGAGAGAGAGAGAGAGAGAGAGAGAGAGAGAGACAGAGACAGAGACAGAGACAGAGAGAGAGAGAGAGAGAGGGAGAGAGAGAGACAGAGAGATAGAGACAGAGGGGGAGACTCACGCTTGAGTAAGCGCTACCTGTCAATTACACATCAATAAAGAATGCTGAACGTGTGGAAATTCCAGTGACGCTGCCGGTGGCGGCCGTCCCGTCCACTTCTCTGCTTTCCCGTCCCTCCCTCCGTCTATCACCCCCCCCCCTGTCTGTATCTGTCTATCCCCCATTTTCCCCGACACCATAACACCACCCAGCAACCAGCCACAGGTCCGGGACCCATACAGGCTCAGCGGGCCCCATACAAGTTCAGCGGGCCCCATACAAGTTCAGCGGGCCCCATACAGGCTCAGCGGGCCCCATACAAGTTCAGCGGGCCCCATACAGGCTCAGCGGGCCCCATACAAGTTCAGCGGGCCCCATACAAGTTCAGCGGGCCCCATACAAGTTCAGCGGGCCCCATACAAGTTCAGCGGGCTCCATACAAGTTCAGCGGGCTCCATACAAGTTCAGCGGGCTCCATACAAGTTCAGGGAAAACCCATAAACCACTGGGCCATATTCTACATGGTAGGGAACCACTGGGCCATATTCTACATGGTAGGGAACCACTGGGCCATATTCTACATGGTAGGGAACCACTGGGCCATATTCTACATGGTAGGAAACCACTGGGCCATATTCTACATGGGAACTACTGGGCTATATTATCCATGGTAGCTTGATGAATCCTAATATATCGAGAATGTTGAACAAGAAACACAGCACAAACAATGAACAAGGTAGTCATTAGGTAGATAAACGAGCAGGTCATAAAGTAGGTTAACTAGCGAACAGGTCATTCAGAGAAGGCATGACTATCAAATAGGTTAAATGACACATTTCTAGCACTGTAAGTAGTTAGCTAACGAGTTAGCTACTCAATTAACGAGTATAATTTAAGGAACAGGTGCGATAACGAACGAACAAGCTTAGCGAGGTTCAAGTATGTTTATTGAGACAAGAAAGAAATGCATCTCAAAGGGATAGAGTAGCTTAGGCTATTTCTACTCGCCTTGCTTAGCGAGGTAAACAACTAGCGAGCGAGCTTACCTGATCATCCTGGAGAGCGGTGGTAGCCTCGTCTGTATTGGAGAAACAGAGCTCATTAATACGCACACGTTACACTCATTAATCTCACGATATATATATACACTAATTGCGTACATTGGTCACAATCGTGCTAGTTTCGTGTACACGTGCATACGCAATGGGGAAAGTTGAGTGTGTGTTTCTTGTCGAGTGAGTGCGTGTTTTGCGTCCAGTTCGGTGCGTGTTCTGCGTTCCCTTGAGTGTGCGTGTTCTGCGTCCCCTTGAGTGTGCGTGTTCTGCGTCCCCTTGAGTGTGCGTGTTCTGCGTCCCCTTGAGTGTGCGTGTTCTGTGTCCCCTTGAGTGTGCGTGTTCTGCGTCTCCTTGAGTGTGCGTGTTCTGTGTCCCCTTGAGTGTGCGTGTTCTGCGTCCCCTTGAGTGTGCGTGTTCTGCGTCTCCTTGAGTGTGCGTGTTCTGTGTCCCCTTGAGTGTGCGTGTTCTGCGTCTCCTTGAGTGTGCGTGTTCTGCGTCCCTTTGAGTGTGCGTGTTCTGTGTCCCCCTTGAGTGCATGTTCAGCGTCCTCCTTGAGTGCATGTTCTACGTCCCCCTTGAGTGCGCGTTCTGCGTCCCCTTGAGTGTGCATGTTCTGCGTCCCCTTGAGTGCGTGTTCTGCGTCCCCTTGAGTGCGTGTTCTGCGTCCCCTTGAGTGCATGTTCTGCGTCCTCCTTGAGTGCATGTTCTACGTCCCCCTTGAGTGCGTGTTCTGCGTCCCCTTGAGTGTGCGTGTTCTGCGTCCCCTTGAGTGCGTGTTCTGCGTCCCCTTGAGTGCGTGTTCTGCGTCCCCTTGAGTGCGTGTTCTGCGTCCCCTTGAGTGCGTGTTCTGCGTCCCCTTGAGTGTGCGTGTGTCCTTTCCCTGAGTGTTTATGGGTGATTGATTGATGAAGATTAAGCTACCCAAGAGGTGGCACGGGCATGAATAGCCCGTAAGTGGTAGACTTTGTTAAATGAATGTGATCTATGATGTACCAGCTGTTGTTTGTGTTGTAGAGTTAGCTACTGTGAACGACTAGTCCCATGTACTACGGGTTATAGTGCTGATGGACCAGCTGTATATGGGAGCGTGTGGTCTAGCACTTTATACCCAGACTAGTAGCCTTGTCGTACCTCTTGTGTTATAATTTAACTCTTCTGACCTTCACATTCTTTGTCGAATGTGGCCATAAAGTTGTGGCTGGAGGTGGCTTCCAGCACCTCTACCTTCAGTACACTCCACGTGCTGACCGCCCGTACTGGGGACCAGGATTACCTTACAGTCCTTCTGCCTATTGGCGTGTCCAGCTTCCACCTGTGTCCTTTCCTCCTACTCTCAAACTGAAGAGGCTGTCCTTGTCTATCTTTTCATTTCCCTTCAGTATCTTGTATGTTGTGATCATGTCCCCGCTGTTCTCTCCAAGATTGTCAGGGCTTGATGCCTTCTTCTGATTATTATAATTAACTTATGTTCATTGTTTTGCTCTCTTAGCTCTGACACTAATTTTGTTGGAATCTTTTGTACTTTTTCAATTTTGGTTTTTATATTTCACAGGTATGGATTCCAGGCCAGTGCTGCATACTGCAGAATTGGTCTAATAAAGGTTGTGTAGATTGCTTTGAAAGATCCCCGGTTAAGGTTTCCAAACGGCGTTGTAATGTTTGCCAGCGTCCCATATGCTGCTGGTGTTACCCAGTTGGTGTGTGCCTCTCAACATCGTGTTGGCATTATATCTGCTTCCAAATACTCTCTCAGAATTCCCAGATGCCTTCACCTTATGGTGTAGATGTCTCCTGACACACCTTATGGTGTAGATGTCTCCTGTCACACCTTATGGTGTAGATGTCTCCTGACACACCTTATGGTGTAGATGTCTCCTGTCACACCTTATGGTGTAGATGTCTCCTGACACACCTTATGGTGTAGATGTCTTCTGTCACACCTTATGGTGTAGATGTCTTCTGTCACACCTTATGGTGTAGATGTCTCCTGACACACCTTATGGTGTAGATGTCTCCTGACACACCTTATGGTGTAGATGTCTCCTGACACACCTTATGGCGTAGATGTCTCCTGACACACCTTATGGTGTAGATGTCTCCTGACACACCTTATGGTGTAGATGTCTTCTGACACACCTTATGGTGTAGATGTCTCCTGGCCTCCTTTATCCATGTCCCATCTTCATTATCTTCGTGGAAGTGCCTTCCAGGAACCAGTTATCTGCTCCTGGAGTTTGTCAAGGTCATCCTGTAACCTTCAGCAGTTAACTCGCTTTTTACATTCGCCATTAGCTCTGTACCGTCTGCAAACATTGGCATGTGTGAGCTCACTTCCTTGCGTAGGTCATTCATATAAATTAGGAACAGTAGGAGTCAAGACCGACCCTCGGGGAACTCCACCTGTTACTTTCTTCTAAAGTGAAACCTTATATCTGATTGTGACTGTTTTTTGCCCTTCATGTATTATCTTAGCCAGGTCAGCGTGTGTTCCCCATCGTGTCCAGCAGCCGTCCATGAGGGACACCGTCAAATGCTTGTTGACAGTCTGGGAAAATACAGTCTACCCAGCCTTCCCTTTCCTGCCTCATTTTCGTAACTTTGTAATAGAACTCTGTCAATTTTGCAGGTACGACTTTTCCTTCTAAATCCTTGCTGTTCATTTGTTACAAAGTTAATCTCCAAGTGTTCAATTATTCTCAACCTGATTACTTTTTCCATCGTTTTGCACTCATTACTTGTCAGTCTCGTGGTCTGTAATGTAATGCCTTCTGTTTTTAATATTGGGACTACGATTGACTCTTTCCAAAATTCTGGAAGGTTTCCAGCCTCAAGTGGTTTATTGAAAACCTGAGTTAGCGAGTGACAAAGTCCCTGTGTAGCCACCTTCAACACTGTGATATTCAGTCTGATCCTAGTAATATTGTTGCCCTTAATTCCTTCAGGTCGTTTTTAAGCTGCTCTACAGTGACTGTTACGTCATCCAGTGTTACCTCTGGTCTTTCCTCACTGTAACCAAGTCTCTATGCTAATTCTTGTGTAAAGACCTGAAATCTTTTGTAGAGTTCGTCACACACCTCTATCATTTTCAGTGAGAATTCCACCTCGTCTCTTCAATATGATCACATGGTATCTTACTGTTATCTTCCTCCTTGTATGGTTACGGTTGGTTCTGATGTTGTTGTTTTAGATTCAGCTACTCGGAACATAAGTTCCAAGTAGCACGGGCTATGGTGAGCCCGTAGCGGACTTAACTGGCACAGGAGCGGGGCAAGTATCACGGGCTATGGTTAGCTTCCGTTGGTTCTGATGTTGTTGTTGTTGTTTAAGATTCGCTACTCAGAACAATAAGTTCCAGTAGCACGGGCTATGGTGAGCCCGTAAAGTTGGTTCTGAATATTGTCCTCCTTATATTAATTGATGAAGATTAATTTAAATTAAGTCACAAGAGGTGGCACGGGCATGAGTACCCCGTAAGTGGTACATGTTTGAGTGAATGTGGTCTATGGTCGTGTAATAAATCTGTCTCTGGGCCTGGCTCCTTATATGGCTATTATTGGCCTTAAAGCTAAGAACCAAAGTACTTGGTTGGTCTTAGCTTTAGCAACAAATGTCGTTTTCAAACTGCCTCTCAGCTTCCCTCCGGATTCGGGAAAATTCATTTTTAGCTCTCATTAGTTACCTCTCTATTGTCCTCCATCCCAGTTCTCTGTACTTTTTCATGTTTTTCTGGTCCTCTCCTTTGCTTCCTTGCATTACCTATTGAACCACGACTTTGCTTTTCTCATCCTCCTCTCTCTTCAGTAGGATAAACAGCTCCATTGTATCTCCACATTTCTAATCCACGAATTCCATCATATCATATGTTGTTTTTCCTTCCAGTTCTTCCCCATTATATTTCACTCAGATACATTCCCTACCTTGCTGTAGTCCGCTGGTCAGCAATCTCTCCTTCCTCACTGTGTTTCTTGGTCTAACCAACTCCTTGGCTCCATTAGGTATCCTAGCATGAGAATGCTAGGCTTGCACCGAGGGGCGCCTCGTGCACTGTGTTCCATATTTGCAACATTTAGGGTAAGCACCTGATGCTGCCGGTGGGTCCCCCTTACCCTTGTTGCTTCTGTTAAGTGTTGCTTCAGTAAGTGCTGGTCCACTGTGTCTACCAGCTTTGTTCTCCATGTCTCGCCGCTTCCTGGGCTCCTTATTTAACTTATCTTGAAAATTCCAAGTATTAAATTGCGATTGAAATCGTAGTGTATCAGAGAGAGAGAGAGAGAGAGAGAGAGAGAGAGAGAGAGAGAGAGAGAGAGAGAGAGAGAGAGAGAGAGAGAGAGAGAGAGAGAGAGAGAGTGAGTGAGTGAGTGAGTGAGTGAGTGAGTGAGTGAGTGAGTGAGTGTGTGTATATACTATTTGTATCTGCAGAATCGATATATTAGCTCTGGGACCCCGCCTTTCTAACCAATTTATTTTCTTCTATTATGTCTACTACATATATTTCTCTTTCATACACACACAGGAAGCAGCCCGTAACAGCTGTCTAACTCCCAGTTACCTACTTGCTGCTAGGTGAACAGGTGCATCAGGGTGGAAGAAACTGCGCATTTGTTTCTGCCTCTGCCGGGGATCGAACCCGCGCCCTTAGGACTACGACCCCCCAGAGAGCTGTCCACTAAGCCGCCAGGGCCCCCTCCCTAATGAATATTGTATGTACTCACCTAGTTGTGCTTGCGGGGGTTGAGCTCTGGCTCTTTGGTCCCGCCTCTCAACTGTCAATCAACAGGAGTACAGGTTCCTGAGCCTACTGGGCTCTATCATATCTACATTTGAAACTGTGTATGGAGTCAGCCTCCACCACATCACTGCCTAATGCATTCCACCTGTTAACTACTCTGACACTGAAAAAGTTCCTTCTAACGTCCCTGTGGCTCATATGGGTACTCAGTTTTCACCTGTGTCGCCTTGTTTCAGTACCACCAGTGTTAAACAATTTATCTTTATCTACCCAGTCAATTCCTCTTAGAATTTTCTAGGTAGTGATCATGGCTCCCCGAACTTTCCTATGACTATGACTCTATAGCAGTCGACCCCACAGACGCAGTCATAAATTTTTAACATGGTGTTCATTCAAAACAGAAATTTTCTCAAATATAAATTAATATTATAAAATAATAACATTGTGCATATATAGGTTAGGTTAGATTAGATTAGGTTAGGTGTTTAGGTTCTGTTGGCGATTATTTGTATTTGTAGTACGTGGGTGAAGCATTTACAGCGTTGTAAATGCGTTCGATCAAAATTCGTCAATGAAGCACTTTTTTCGGAATTGTTCGAATGAAATCAGTTGTGAGTCGTGTGTCAGTCCGCAGCCCGTCCTCCAAACAAAGATACAAAAGTGATTCCATGTACCCGCCAAACCCCCTGTTTATGAATGAAAAACGGTTTACACACGACTCACAACTCATTTCGTTCGAACACTTCCGGAACAAGTGCTTCACTGACAAATTTTGTTCGAACCACAACGCTATAAATGCTTCACCCACGTACTACAAATACAAATAATCGCCAACAGAACCTAAACACCTAACCTAATCTAATCTAACCTAACCTATATATGCACAATATGTTATTATATTATAATATTAATTTATATTTGAGAAAATTTCTGTTTTGAATGAACACCATGTTAAAATTTATGAATGCGTCTGTGGGGTCTACCGCTGGTTGTAATGGACTTGAGTCGAGGACGGGTTGTAGCCCGTCCTCCAAACAAAGACCCAAATGTGATTCCATGCACCCACCAAACCCCAGCTGTTTATGAATAAAAAACAGTTTACACACGACTCACAACTGCTGAGTTCGAAAACTTCCGAAACCGACGAATTTTGATCGAACCACAACGCTGTAAATGCTTCACCCACGGACTACAAGTACAAATAATCGCCAACAGAATTATTGACACCTAAACACCTAACCTAACCTAACCTATGTCTATATATGCACAATTTGCTAATATATTGTATTATCTTATATTTGAGAAAATTCCCGTTTTGAATGAAGAGCATGTAAATGTTTATGAATGCGTCTGTGGGGTCGACCGCTGAATGTAATGGACTTGAGTCGAGGACGAGTTGTCATAAGCAGGGGGTTTGGCGGGTGCATGGAATCACTTGGGTCTTTGTTTGAAGGACGGGCTGCTCTAATGACCTCGCCGGGGACATGAAGCTGACAGCTTGTCAAAGGTCCTCCCCCCCCACCCCATTGTTAGGATTTTTTCGAAATGGCTTTTGAACTGAAGTAATGTTTGTATATATTATTTATATATATATATATATGTGTGTGTGTAATTACATGTGTAATTGCCTAAATTCAGTTACAGGATTAGAGCTATGCTCGTGGTGTCCCGTTTTCTCAGCACTTTTTTTTTTTTGAAGCAAAGAGGAAGGAGAGGCATAGGTGAAGGGAAGTATAGAAGTGGGAAATACAGTGAGAGGTATGAAAGCAGGCGGCGGACTGTCCGCCTTGCTGACACCATGTGTGGGTGTTGGCAGCTAAGCTAAGCTGGCTCCCTCTTGTCAGGGAGCTGTGAGTGTGTGAGAGGTTCTTCACATGTGTTTCACCACATATGGATGTCCATAGATGAATACTGTGTAGCAGTCATATACACACACTCATTCTTGTTCGTTTGTGTGTGTGGGGGGGGGGGGTTTGATGGCCCCCCCGTCCGAGCACACCCCCTCGACCAAGCACCCCCCCCCCCCCCAAGCACCAAGCACCCCCCCCGACCAAGCACCCCCCCCCCTACCAAGGCACCCCCCCCTCACCCCCCCCCCCGACCAAGCACCCCCCTCCCCCCCCCGACCAAGCACCCCCCTCCCCCCCCCGACCAAGCACCCCCCCCCCCCCCCGACCAAGCACACCCCCCCGACCAAGCACACCCCCCCCCCCGACCAAGCACCCCCCCCACCCCTCTACCCTCCCACTACTCACACACTGGTTTAGTGTTAGGCTTAATTATGGTCAATCAACCGAGGCAGTGTTATATACGTCCACATTGATGGCTTAATGACCCGCCAGCAAGTATACGTGAGTCGTGAACACAGTTTACGACCAAAGTAAACTGGGAGGATACATACAGTGACACATGGGGGTATATACGCCCCATCATACAGCTGTTAGCCTACTAACCTTCAATTGCTGGCCGGCGCAGATGACCACTGTAACTCCTGCTTCACAGTTGTGGTGTAGGGAACATGGGCGGTATTATCAATGGTTATCACTGCACTAGGGTACTGCGTGAGGGGCTCGGGGCATGGGTACTCCTGAAGGGCAGCAGCAGCAGGAGGAGGTGGTGCACGGTGAGGGCCTCACTCCGGCCGCCACACTGAGCCTCACGCCTCACACCTACACAACCACAGCACTTCACAACACCACCTCTGCTGCCTCGCTCACCACGCAGGAGGTGACGACGAGCTCCTGCTGGTTGACCTGTGGGCGTGTATGAGGCGTGTGGGCGTGTGTGAGGCGTGTGGGCGTGTGCGGGCACGTGTGGGCGTGTGTGAGCACGTGTGGGCGTGTATGGGGGCGGATCTCACACTCCTCCCACCACTATTGCCATCCATTGAGCACTGTTTATTCCTGCTGATGGGGGGGGGGGGAGGGGATGTGTTGTCTGATTGCATTAATGAGACAAAATTTGTGACTTTTCCTACAGTGTTATCACTTCCTGCGTCAACATATCAAATTTATTTTAAAACAATACCCTGACCCCTTTCTATGTATATTTGAGGTGTTACACATATATTCTTCTATGTATATTTGTTTATTCACTCTTATGTTCCTTCTACGGCAGATACAGCAGGCGTTTCCCCTCTGGATCGCCACACTGAGGCGCTGAAACAGAAAACTGGCAGCTCCAGAGTGTTAGTGTCAGTGAACTTATAGTATCCCATTCCTTGAGAAAGTTCCTGACACCTTGTTCTTAAGGCCAAGTGTATCAGATGCTGTGGGAACAAATGTGTACAAATGTTTCTAATTCCCTGTAATTGTTTCATTTCAAGTACAGCTGTCACACATCGGATGGTGTCGACAGTTGTGGCACCTTATTGACGGTGTCGACAGTTGTGGCACCTTATTGACGGTGTCGACAGTTGTGGCACCTTATTGACGGTGTCGACAGTTGTGGCACCTTATTGACGGTGTCGGCAGTTGTGGCACCTATTGACGGTGTCGGCAGTTGTGGCACCTATTGACGGTGTCGACACTTGTGGCACCTTATTGACGGTGTCGACAGTTGTGGCACCTTATTGACGGTGTCGACAGTTGTGGCACCTTATTGACGGTGTCGGCAGTTGTGGCACCTATTGACGGTGTCGACAATTGTGGCACCTTATTGACGGTGTCGACAGTTGTGGCACCTATTGACGGTGTCGACACTTGTGGCACCTTATTGACGGTGTCGACAGTTGTGGCACCTTATTGACGGTGTCGACAGTTGTGGCACCTTATTGACGGTGTCGACAGTTGTGGCACCTTATTGACGGTGTCGACACTTGTGGCACCTTATTGACGGTGTCGGCAGTTGTGGCACCTTATTGACGGTGTCGACAGTTGTAGCACCTTTTGACGGTGTCGACACTTGTGGCACCTTTTGACGGTGTCGACACTTGTGGCACCTTATTGACGGTGTCGGCAGTTGTGGCACCTTATTGACGGTGTCGACAGTTGTGGCACCTTTTGACGGTGTCGACACTTGTGGCACCTTTTGACGGTGTCGACACTTGTGGCACCTTTTGACGGTGAGTACAGTTACACCAACGCCCCTCTCTGGTGCCGTATCAGTCTGCGGTAACATTGGTTCTTAACAATACGGGGCAGAGTTGGGTTATCTGTATGAGTCTGTCTGCCTCCCCTTCCTCCTCTCCCTCTCTCTCTCCCCTTCCTTTATTTCTATTTAATAGCTTCCTCTTTCACATCCGTATTCAAAGAGCACAAACAAGCACTCAAGCACACTTCAGTTTGTAATAATAAACAGCTTGTAGTATGATAATGCCAGACTGGCCGCTCAGTTGCCTTCATATGTAACAATAGGTCATATAACAATGTTGGTGTTAATTTTACATTGTTGCAATGTAACACGGAAAGCACTAGGTCAGCCATAGTCCCAGAATCTCGTTAGCGTCTATATTTGACAGTTACAATATTAAAAAAATAATTCTGCTATCAAGGGCAAAGCAGATTTCATTCGAGCTGGAACCTAACATTCAGTTCCTTACTAAGCTGAAGTTGACTTATGCCACTAGTTTCTGACATTAGTTGTCATGCTGCCACTAGGCTCAATACTGAAGGTGGTTTATAATATTGTCATGGGTTCGTATCCTGGCCGGGGAAGATTTACTGGGCGCAAATCCTTAACTGTAGCCTCTGTTTAACTCAACAGTAAAATGTGTACTTGGTTGTAACAAGGATTCTTCGCGGCGGGGATCGTATTCCAGGGACCTGCCCGAAACGCTACGCGTACTAGTGGCTCTACAAGAATGTAACAACTCTTGTATATGTCTCAAAAAAAAGGCAGTGTCACTCAGCCAAAGATTCAACACATGTAAAATTTAATTATATACTAGTTGGGGAACTAACTGTGCCTGGGTTTCTCTGCCCCTCCCCCCCCCTCTTTTCTCCTATCCACGTTTCTCCCCCTCCTCCGCTTCCACTTTCCGATCCTATCCTATCCACCTCTTCCCCCTCCCCCCCACACACACACCTCAGAAAATGTATTATTTACAGCTGTTAACTACTACGAAAAACAAATCACAAAATTCAGACTGGAAAATGCAGGAGTGGGGGGGGGGGGGTTGTTATAGATGCCGATATTTCTTGAAGGGTGGTACTAGGTGCTGGTACTGGTGTCATCCTTGACTGGCCTATGGCACTCCCATATATCATCTTGGAAAGTTGGGGGGAGACTTGCCCAAAATGTCTGGCTTACAACCTTGGACATATATTCTTTTTTATAGATTACTGGATGGCACCTGGTAGTGCCAGAGTCTACATTTTTCAGCCTGGCTGTCTCTCTCTATCTCTGAACATGCAATATATATGCACCCAGCTTTATCATGTTATTTTTTACTATTGTTACTTTAATGCAATGTTTTAACGTGATGAATAGATGAAAATTGTGAAAAACTCTATGGAAACCCAACCCTCTTTCAAACTAAATTGATTATCGAAATAGAAGCCAATCCTACTTAAAAAAAGGTGGGGGGGGGGGGTCAACCCCAACCTCCCTATGTTACTCCCCATACATTCACAAATCACCATAATAATTTATGAGGCTATCCACAAGTGTCTGGTCTCCAACCTCGGACAGGCACAGACATTCTCTTATACAGTAGATACAGTATATTAAACTACATTGGGTACTCAGCTCTTTCCTCACCAAATCACCCCTACCCCTCTTCTCCATCTTTAATACTCTTCTCCCATTTCCTCTCTTAAAACATGGAATATATACACACAACCACAATTTTGTTTTTTTACTATGGTTATTTAATGCAACATTATGATAATGTTGTAGCCTTTCTGTATGTGTGATGAACAACTGAAACACCGTTGAAAACAACTCTGGAAAGCCAAACCCCATTTCAGACTTCACAGGCGTCCCAATAGCAGCTGATCTTATTAAAGGGAGGTCAATGGAGTCAACCCCAACTTGCCTATGACAGTTCCTACTAATCTGTCCTCTTCAAAGTTGGGTGTGGCCAGAAATGTCTGCATTCCAAGTTTGAACAGTCTTCTTTATAGATATAAGATGTACAGTTTTTGTGGTTCACTACAATTCTCCCAATATCTTAAGTTATTGTCGAGTGAACTTTATAGTACCAATACTTGAAGTTTCCTATTTGGTACTCTTACTTTGGTTATATTTTATTAAACAAGTTTGCATGAAAATGCATAATAATACTTACCTCCAAATCCTAAAATTCTTCCAACATACTTGGGAAGTTGATAAAAGTTAATGTGGCAGAAGCAAATTTTAACATTGTTACCCCATTATAGATTGCCATGCATTTTGTCACAATACTGTTTGTATCACGTCTCCAACAGCAGAGTCGTCTGTGTAAAATAGTCACTTAATTAAAATATATTTTGTATTATTCTAATGTTCTGACGTAGTTGTCGTAACCATGCCATTTACCTCCCTTAATAACCAACATTTGTGAGATTATATCAATTTTAAAATAAATAATAATTAAACAAAAATATAATTATCAATTTTATTCATGTTGCAAATACAATTAAGTACCACAATGACAAAACCTGAATAAGTTCAATTAAAGTTTAAATTTGCAAGAACACCCCCTCCCTAGAGCAGCACATATTCTGACCTTTAACAATCTTCATTACCTTTCCTGCACTGATACAAGCATGCCTGTATTGATTTATAATTCATATTAAAAAATCCAAATTGCACATAATTATTCAGTACTATATATATGATCTATCACACAACAATACTGGTGTAAATACTGGTTAAAATAAATATTGTACACACAATTTAAAATTCAGTACAGCATTATATATGAAAACTAAAAACTACTGAACACAAAGACCTAAAATTATTACAAAAGGTAATACCGTACTGTAGTTTTTTACACATTTAAATATTTAAGTATCTCGATGAAAATGAGTTATTTAGCGAAGTTTACATAGTAATGGAAGAATGCACTTGAAAAAAGTACATGGTTAAGTTAATAAAAGATAATTTTGGAGTGTGTTGAGCATGTATGGAGCATGGGAAGACTTTGTAGCTTTTAATAGTATAACGAGTGACTGTGTCGATATTAACATTTTGGACACCAGGGTAGTGTGAGGTCACCTTATTTGTTCAATATTTACATGGATGACATCAGGGTATACAGTATTAGTTATAAACCTAGTACTGTATATAGGCCATGTGAATAATCGGAGTATGTCAGCTCTCATGTACATACATACTTGAGTTATTTTAGAAGTGTATTCATGTTGTGTGCGAGAGAAACAAAGGTGAATTTGGGCAAGTTATGGTGGTGGAAAGAAGGAAATTGTGTTAAATATACAATGAAGTGCTGATCAATTAAAATTTGTGAGAAGTGTGAATGGCATAATTTGTGCATTAAAAACTGAGAATTAGCACGAGTCAATGGAAGGAAAGCAGCTACGGTAATAAAAGTCCCAATAAGCTACAACCAGACTGTATGAAGGAATGCCAAGCCTTGTGCACATTTACAGAGATGTTGTGGTCAAACAATTAAAATCAAAGAATCGGTACAATCATGGAAAGCATAAAATAGGAATAGAAATATCATGGAGAGATGTAAGTGCAGAAGTGATAAACTTCAACATTAAGGAGAATATTAGAGACGGTTGAATGAACTGACGAGTGTAGACTGGTGAAAAAATATCATTCAAGTGATGAGTGAGCCTTGATTAAGCACTGCAATAAAATGAAGTACCAAGCCCATAAGTATAGAGCATTGTAATCATATATTTAAAAGTTCCTAAATATCATTCAAAATGCCAATACAAAAGAAAAAATATAAGAAATGTGTTGAGCCACAATATCATGAAAAGCAACACAAATTTGGATGCAACTCCAGACCCATGAGAGCGCTGCACGAGTCAACTACAATACACAGAGACTTGGTGCATGAAATGTAAATGTGTCTTAAGAGCACAAAAAGATTGAATCAAGTTCTGTAAAGAATATTAGTCTACTGGGGGAAGTGGCACATGAAAGCAACCCGTTCTCGCAAATTTAATAAGTCAATATTGACTTATTAAATATGTGCATAGGTGACATACTTAACATAATAGATACCCTTAAAAAGATTCATAGAAAACACCGACCTTACCTAACCTTGTTAGTATCTTAAGATAAGCATCTTATTGCTTCGTAATTACAATTATTACCTAACCTATAATAGGTATAGGTTAAGTTATAATTGTAATTACGAAGCAATAAGATGCTTATCTTAAGATACTAACAAGGTTAGGTAAGGTCGGTGTTTTCTATGAATCTTTTTAAGGGTATCTATTAGGTTTAGTATATCACCTATGCACGTAGTTAATAAGTCAATATTGACTTTACGAATTTGCGAGAACGGGTTGCATGAAAGGTATGACCAGAAACATTTATTATGGAGAAGTAAATGCCATCAGTAGACTTCAACCCCTCATTAAAAAGAGCAGTAGCATATGAATGGCAGTGAAAATATTCGTTAAAAAGGCAGTACAGTATGACAAAACTGTAGGGAAGGTAGGTAACAATATGAAGGGACAAACTGCAGACATGTGCAGAGAGAAAAGCCTGCAAGTAGGCAATCTGTGCAGTAAAAATACGGCAAAAATTAAAAATAAAGAGGGTTTTCAACAGGGACAGCAGTCATAGCACACACGAGATTAAAGTGCAAAGCATCGAAGGCAATATCGATTACAGTAGTCTTTTAATAATACAGTAGCACAATGATTTTACATGTAAGAAAGAAGGGCTGAGGGTAAAATTAATAAGGTGGGGGCGTCAATTTTTCAATTTTGACAGCACTTGGGGGAGACAAGTGCAAAAACGGTGTGTATTCACAACCCAGAAGGTGCAATTACTTTTTTGTTTAGTCAAGTAAGGGTGTTGGTGCACTAGTTCACAGGTGACATGTGACAAGACTGGCAGGTGCAAATATCAATCTTAATAGTTTTACATTACCCTATGTACAAGTTTACTTCCATAAAGGATTAAAGGCAGGTGGTGGGAAATGTTTTCCTTGCAAGTCATAGGACAATTTTTCACAGTAGAGCTTAAAACCATGCTTTGTAGCCCAGGCTGAAACACTATTGACCACAAGCGTGTGGTGCTGAAGGAAAAATCTGATACGGCAACAAGAACAAAGTGTGGAATAAACCCGTCGAGAGCGAGAAAAGACCGCCGAGAGCAATAAAGACCATAAAAACACTGCCATGGAGAAAAGAGACTCAAGGCACACTTTAAAACTCTGGTAAGAGAGGAAGCCTTGAAGGAAGGGGCAAAGTAGGATGAAAGAATAACAATGAATCTTGGGTAGACCACAGCTCTGGTTCAAGGAAGCACCCAGAGGACTGCTCACAAACATTTCACTATGCTTAACACCCCCCCCCCCCACATAGTGAAAATATTAATTCTTAACCATACTTTCCATATAAAGTACATTGTAAATGATTATCATTTTCCAAGGTCATAAAAACGTATCACAGGTTCTTGTACCTGGATGGGGTTCTGGGAGTTCTACTCCCAAAGTCTGGCTTGACTCCAGACCGAATCTTACTCTACGAATCAAAATGTTAAATTTTCTTTGAAATTATATGGCATTCTAAAATGATTTAACTGGGTACTGCATCAATTTATACTAGAAATATTTTATTTGAAAATTATACAGTAGTATAAGGAAGGAAAATAAGGAACTTTTTGAAAGCACTTCTTTCCAACACCAAACATTATTTAATAATAGCTTTTATTTCTATTTAAGAAAATATAATTAAGTACAATTTGAGTAACAGTACTTCACTTTTTGACTTCGTAATACACTGAAAACTGGTCCCAATAGCTCTAACCACTGGCTTACATAAAGTGTAATTAAACCATTCTCCTAAAATTCAAAATGAATCGTACATAGTGCATACTTCCAGGACAAATTAACTTCATTTCTAAAAATGTGTAGGAAAGCATTAGCGAGCAGGCCGAGTGTTGTGGCTTCTCCCACTACCAGCACTTGCTATGAAAACAGGTCCCACTGATATCTGGCTGGACCCCAGAGAATTATGTAGACAAACAATTACTGTACTCTACAGTACATGGATTATTACCGATACCCAAAGACAACACTTTCAAATAGTTTAGGTGTTGGCATGCTGTATTTATTTCTGCCGTTGATTTAACTCAGTGTAATTTTATATTAAAATTAGCTTTGTCAGGGACAGGAAGACTATATACTTTAGACTTGTATCAAGGTCCCCCACCAAGGTCAAATTACTGGCCCTTCACAGGATACAACCCCACAACAGTTGCCTAACTCGCAGATACAGTACATAGTTACAGCTAGGTGAACAGCTGCATTAGGTGAATAGGAAACGTACCCAACCAATTCTGTCGCACCAGCAAAGTAAACCTGGGATCCCCAAATCGACAGCCAGGAACAAGATTAACTATTTATTACATTAAATGAACACATTAAATGCAAAATTTGCAAGGTACTGAGACAAGAAAAAAAAGGGTTTCAAAATTCTTCTATTAACGATAAATTTACCGAAATGTTAATTTTTTTACTTTTTTAGGGTTTCAATTTTGGAGTTGTGTGATCAACATACAGCAGCCAGTTTGGTAGTACACGACACGTTAACATGATGGGCGACCACCAGCACACACGCCCACTACACCCATATATAACCCTAACCAACCATATATAGCCAAGCCTAAATAACATTTTAAATATTTAAAAATAAATTCAATTATATACACTTATAAAATAAACAATGAACACAGTACATCTAGATAAGCAAGTTAAAATCTATAAAAACAATTATATTGTAATTCTAACAAAATTAACAGTCTTTTAAAGAGATGAATAAAAAAATATATTATCTAAATATCAAAAAACAATTACCAGGAACCCAATTATCATTTCAGTAGATATTTTTATAAATATTTCACCAGTGAAAAGGCTGCAATTTATTTTATATATCAAAACAATGAATCGATCTAGAGAGATCCGAGATACAGTGTAATGAAAAGATAAGACCTGCTACACATTACTGCCTTGGAATTTGTAAATATGAATCTGTTCGACGCATTTTAATGATACCGGGTACTTGTGTAATGCAGCGTCTCCACTGGAATTATGTTAGGATTGCAAACTTTGTAAAGAGTATCTCAGCTATGTGGAAACACATACAATGTGTTACTTGTGAATTGTGATGGATCACTTATAACCTCACTGAGCTACTAGTGTCATAATGTTGTGTACATCTTGAACTATTACCACACTTTCTTTACACTAACAACCTCACTTAATTTGTGCATTACATTAATACTTAAGAGTAAAAAAATATCTTTTCTGAAATGTCAGAAATTTTTAATATATACACAACTTTTCATTCGAAGTATTGTCCCTCCAGGAGGAAACCCAATAGTGCTAATGCACTAAATTAAGGTGTTGTCTATGGACGCAGCACCTACATACCGATTTTCAAAAGTAGAATAGATAAATTCACATCTACTGTAAATAAAATCAAATTTAATTGTAAATATATACAGTGCTTATCTTAACCTGCAGCATTTTTCAACTAAGGATTGAATACATTATACATTGTACCTTCTTAGGAATGTCATTTAACTAAAGATGGCCATAAAAATCACTAAATTTATGAGTAACATTATAGGTACTAGTAATACCAGTTGGCTTCAGTCACCCATAGAAGCCCAACTGTGGGAGTATGAAGGATGCACTGCTTCCAATACATAGCTTTTATTTTACCTACACTAAAGTGCCACTACATCATCTACTGAAATAATCTCCTTCTCACCCTATCAATATATTAGTTTTCATTTTTTTTTTATCCACTTTAATCTTTTCACACTTCATTTCTACATTCTCACTTGTAAGTGCCAGAGGAAGGTAGCTCTCATTTTCTAGGGCAAGCAAGTGGAGACTGCTTCATTTATATGTAAACCAAACAAACATGTTAGTATTTGAGAGGTTTGTACATCTGGCCATCTCAAAATGTGGAACCCAGAAGGAACAATATATCAAGCATTTATTATAAATAAAATAATTATGTAATTTGAGCTTTATGAATTATCTGATACACCTGATGGAATGTACCTAAATACAGTATATACTGTACTCTGTATCCCGAATATGTACTAAAGGCACAAAGTGGCAAACCAAAATAATGTAAAAGAGTATATGTGATGAGTAGGTTGTCACAATATAATGATTATTAATTATGCAAGTTATCCGTAAAAGAATTAATGCACGTTTTCACCCAAGTATGTCACCTTATTATTGTATGAACCTTCAATGGCAAATACTGTACATTGTACAACAAATTCTATGAACCATTAGCAGGTACAGCTTCTCCCCCAGAACTACCATTTAGTGTGGAAGACACATTTGGCGGTACATTAGCAACATTTTGAGCCTTGGCCGCTTTTAGAATTTTCTCCGCTCCTTTATCCAACAGTGCCTCGGCGAGAGAGATTCCAAGCTGGTTTGCTCGTGTCATGAACACTTTGTGCTCAGGGAGAGGAACTATTCCACAGAAAGTGATTGAAGTCTTCGCTACCTTGGTTGGTGGTTGAATGGATTCTGAAGAAGTGTCAGGCTCCTGAGATGGTAAGGACATTGTGTGCAAAATTTCCTCAGACCCATCCAAGCTCCATACTCCACCTTTAAGAGTCACACTATCCTCCGTCACCTGCAACAGTTGATGAAATTTTATTTAATGTTTTTAAACAAAGTAGCCAAGGCACATACCTGTAAGCCTGTTAATAACCTGTGCAGAGTAACAACCAACACTGCCATGCCTTTGGGTAAAGTAAATATTAGGAAAGCCACTTATAAAACATGCAGCCTGTCCATTAAAAATAAATTTAAAATAAATGTGCCACAATGGAATTGAATCAACTGAAACACAGTAAAGACCAACCCCTATTATCTGGATCAACAGTTACCAAGATTCTGATATTATCTGGACATTAAACTGTCAGATTCTGCACCCTCTAGTATCCATTATATGTCAGCATGATTCAGCAGTGGAAGACACATTTATACAAAATAACTGAATTGGTTTGCTACATAAATGCGTGAAATTTATTAAAACACCATTGCAAGCTCAGTTCGGAGGAAGTGAAAAACAAATTTAATTCAGAAAATAGTTATGAAACCATCTTTTAAATGTGAACTATCATAAAGAGTAAGTTTTGGGCATATGAAAATCTTATGGGACTAGTTTGATAACGATCATATGACTAATTTTAATTTAGAGAATGAAAAATTCTGAATATTGACCCAAATCTAATTACAGTTTTAATAGGGGTCTATAAAAACTGTCATAGAAAGTAGCCAAAAGAAATAGTTTGGGGGGTGTAGTATAGTCAATGGGGCTCATTTTGGAGGAAATCTCAAGGCAAATTTTAACTACTTTTGTCCAGTGGAGGTACCAGAAATGTTATTCTGATTATGATTACGAGTCCATATCTACATTTAATGAAGTGAGTTCAAGACACTTCATAGAAAATCTTGAAGTAAAGAAAGTCAATAAGCCTGGTTCAGTTACACATCCAAGAGGTTATGGCACTATCCTTGAAAATAAGAATTAGGGGCAGAGCCTGGAATACTGGGATTAGAATAAAATTGCAATAGACAGGTTCTCCTGGTTCATCAACCTGTCAGATGATCCATCATCAACCTGCCAGACAATCCATTATCAACCTGCCTGATGATCCATCATCAACCTGCCTGATGATCCATCATCAACCTGCCTGATGATCCATCATCAACCTGCCTGATGATCCATCATCAACCTGCCTGATGATCCATCATCAACCTGCCTGATGATCCATCATCAACCTGCCTGATGATCCATCATCAACCTGCCTGATGATCCATCATCAACCTGCCTGATGATCCATCATCAACCTGCCTGATGATCCATCATCAACCTGCCTGATGATCCATCATCAACCTGCCTGATGATCCATCATCAACCTGCCTGATGATCCATCATCAACCTGCCTGATGATCCATCATCCGACAGGTTAAAATTCAAATTCCACTCAGACATGCAAAAGAGTAGTTACTAGAAAACTGCAGTGTATTGCAGTTGGAACCATGGCACAAGTGGCAGACCCCCCCCCCCCCAAGACTGGTGTGGTGTGAGAACACAAATTACAACTTTAGTACATAAAACAAACTATATTTTAGACTTGTATTTATGTTCATTTCACTCCTTTTCACCCTCGATGTGAGGAATTCTATGGTAGGTCCCTCCTCGGGAATCTTCATCGCCTTTACGTTTTGTAGTATAAGGGCCATCACCCTTGGGCATAACTATTGTGTATGCCCTTCAAATTGATCTAGATAAAATAAGTGCTTATGGCAAATGGAATTCAATATGAATAAATGCCATGTTATGGAATGTGGAATTGGAGAAAATAGACCACACACAACTTACAAATTATGTGGAAAGGAATTAAAGAACTCGGAAAGAAGTTAAGTGAGGTGGTGGTGAAGGCCAAAACCGTCAGTAGTTTCAAAGTGTTATACGACAGAGTACTGGGAAGACGGGACACCACAAGTGTAGTTCTCATCCGGTAACTACACTTAAGTAATTGCATGTAGGTGTGTTCCTTTACTTTATATTATTAGTCTAGTGCCAACATTTTAGTATTTTGTGTACAAAAAAATTACACAGCTTGATTTAAAGTCAACAAGTTTCCACGGAAGACAATTATGCTGAAACAAGAAAATTCACCAACAGAGAAGAATGTCCGAAATTAGGTAAAACTTTCAGCACAGCTCGAGATGAAGAAAATTAATATTTTGGAGGGAATGTAGAGTACTGTAGCTATTGTAGTAAATAACTACCACTCTCACAACCACAGTTCTTAAGAGGCATGCATAGTAACAAAGCTAAGATTGATTTGACAGTTTTGTTGCACAAGAGATGTGTTACCATGAAAAGAGATTTTCATTTAAATGTTTAGCAAAATGCCAAGCATGAATTTCAAACTTTCTAAATATATTAGTGTGTAATTATTAAACCCTCAAATTATAGCTTTCAAGAAATGAACAGAAAAAATATATACAATTACACAAGCATATACAGCAAGCAGATCCTAAAAAAAGTGATTTACTAGATACCAAATGTGGTTTGGTATACACCGACAATTATACAAATTATTCATGACATGAAACACTCGAGTACCTTGGTGTGAACAGCTACAGGAGCAGAACATCCGCCTTCTAGCGTGCGCATCAAGGCTCTCTCTGCAACAGCTTCAACCATGGTGTTGGGGTCAGCTATCTTAGCCAGCATATCTAGAATAGCAGTATCTCCTTCCCGACATTCAACTGCTAGTGCTCCCTGGCCTACTGCATACATGCAAAGGTCATCACTTAAATACTGGAAACAGATAAAAAAGTAACTAACATCAAATTGCAAAGGCATCAACATGCATATTATTTAGTTATAACAAGTGAACACAGTAAATTTTTTTTTTTTAGTTTAATGTACTGTAGAGCACTTGCAACTTTATTTACCAATGGAGGTCCATGGATCTAACCAAGTATGTTTTCAAATTTACTTTAAATGCATAAATGCAGTATTTCAAGGTTTGAACAGACTGTTTTGCATAAATACAATATCCAAACAAAGCCAACATACTGGCATTTAAAGCCAGGAGTTTAAATGACATTTAAACCCAGAGATTTTACACCAAAATAAGTTAGCAATTGTATTAATTAATTGTATGGTATTAACAAACCTTAATACAGAAAATACTTTACATTAAATTTTTGATTACTAACATTTACTACATATTAAATACATTACTGTAATTGTTTGTATAACATCATCCTTGATTCTGAAATGCATCCTACTTTTCCCACAAGATCCAGTTCACTCTTGCACTAAATTTAGTTGGAAAGCATTCCTGTGTAGTGTATTACCGAGTACTGTAATTATGACCGTATTGGTGTATGATAATTTTGGTGACACGCTGGTTATTATATCAGATGTGGTGGGGAAAAAAAAAAGCTCAATGTATAAGGAAGTGTTTGATCATTCTTGCCATGATAAACATTGTGTACATTAATGTAGATGCTGCCTCTTGACCACAGGATGACCAAGTCATTGGCTTCAGATCGGGTAAAGAATGGTAAGAGGGTTAAACCTAAGCTGATTGTATACACCAAGGTTGGGTGTATACAATCAGAAAACAAGTTTGAATACAAGAAGAATGAAACTTGTGACTCCATCATGCCCTACAGTAGAGTTTATACAAATTTTGTTTATGAAATTAAAATGTATACAATGCTAAAATATTACAATCCTAGAATACTTAGATTTTGAAAATATCTATTTTAAGAAACTATGCAGTGGAGTTTCACTTTAACTACAATATGACAATCGAGTCATATAATTACTGTCTATATAAACAAGAGAAATCCATAAAATTGGGATTTGCATTTTGTGCATATAAATTTTGGTATTAAATTATAAACAAATAAAGGTTCAATCATTTGTGCTAATAAAATCACATTATTTATGGTAGAAAAAAGTGAAAGAATAGAAAAAGTGGTAAACTAGAAATATCTAACAGAAATACCTGTGCAATGAAGGGACCTGAAACCAACTTCTGCATTGTAATGCCTTTGTGAGGCCTCACTCTATTGTACAAAATATAAATTACATAAAAACTGCTGAATGTGAAATGAGCATCTAATGTAGTATATCTAAAGATGAAAACAATTAATTTTGAAGCTGGAATAAATAAAATATACAAATAGATCTCTTAACAAACAGACAAAAGAAAAGTATGTACATTAAGTACAACCATCATAATGCTGGAAAAGATAACCAAGATTTGTTACACCAGTGTGAAAACAATATATTGTACACCAAATGCATTGCTCACAGACTGCTTCACAAAACAATCCTTATGTACATGAAGGCCATAGCAAAATAGATGCCAAGAGATTAGTTGATGTACAAATACTGTTTACTAACTTGAGAAATTCTGTTTTTCCAGCCCATTCTGACGACTCCAGCAGCAGCAAGAACAAGGGCAGCATAATCGTCTGCATCATCCAGCTTTCGGAAGCGGGTGTTCAAGTTTCCTCGCACACTCTTAAACACTAGGTCTGGGAACCTTCGCTTCAATTGGGCACTGCGTCTTAAGGAGCTGGTGCCTGCAAAAACAGCCGTAATGTTGTACTGTGACATGGAGAAAAAGACACAGCATTACCCGTTATACTGTACACTCACGCTTTATACATAATATCCATTATCTACAATATTAATATCCTAGAGTTGCATTTCTTCTGTTAATGCTGGGGAGAAAAACCAATTAGATCATTTGCCCCCCATGAAAGTCTTCTTCCAATTGCCAAGGCCAATTTTGCTCTTACCAGAAGGACCCTCGATTGTGGTAAAGTAATCAAGGGTCCCGCACCACGCGACCCACCACGGGACGCACCAAGGGTCCCACACCACGCGACCCACCAAGGGTCCCGCACCACGCGACCCACCAAGGGTCCCGCACCACGCGACCCACCAATGGTCCCGCACCACGCGACCCACCACGGGTCCCGCACCACGCGACGCACCAAGGGTCCCGCACCACGCGACGCACCAAGGGTCCCGCACCACGCGACCCACCAAGGGTCCCGCACCACGCGACCCACCAAGGGTCCCGCACCACGCGACCCACCAAGGGTCCCGCACCACGCGACCCACCAAGGGTCCCGCACCACGCGACCCACCAAGGGTCCCGCACCACGCGACCCACCAAGGGTCCCACATCACATGAGCCTTGGCCCTGGATGAAGCACAATAACATGTTGATAATCTGGCTGCAATGGATGAAATCCAGTCCAGTTATGCCTATTTGTACCTCATACAGGTCAAATGGCCATTTAAACAAATAGTTCCCACTAATCAGGATTTGCAGTGATAACAAATTCAAGTTATTATTATTTAAAATAATCTAATTGGTTTATGTAATTTTGTTTTCAAAATACAAACTATTATCCATGCCAATGGGCCTAAAAATTAAACTCAGTATCAATGTGTTTCAGGCCCTAACCAGATAAAATTAATCTGGTTAATTTATCATACATGAAATATTCCAACAAAATAGGCACAGTATTTGATAATTTTCCTTGGTTAATCCAGAACATTAATGTTCAGTATGTCTCATGATGAAATTTGTACACTTATGGATTTTTGGATTTTTATTGATATGAATAAATTTATCGGAATAAACTTTTACTGTACTTAATTTATGTGGGCAGAAACTACTTGTAAGATACTGTAAACCTGAAAGTTGAATACCGTTTTGTACTTTAGATCATGCAGTAAGAATCCTTACCTATGACAGAGCCTTCAGGCAGTGTTGCTAAGGTACACTCCGCATACTTAGGGTGCATGATGACAGCATCTCTGGGATCCTCACGCTGCAACACTGCCCCTATAACCATGCCTTCCGGTAATATTGTGGGAAGATCCTAGTGAAATATTGAATCTGTTTATTACCATGCTCTGGTTATTTCTGACATCACACACAAATTATACCTCACGGTTTTCAATATTATCTTTGGTATGTCCCTATCAATTAGAACATAAGAACAATGTAACTGCAGAAGGCCTATTGGCCCATATGAGGCAGCTCCTATTTATAACCACCCAATCCCACTCATACACATGTCCAACTCACGTTTGAAACACTCGAGGGACCCCACCTCCACCACGTTACGCGGTAATTGGTTCCACAAATCAACAACCCTGTTACCGAACCAGTATTTACCCAAGTCTTTCCTTTCCTTCCAAGTCTATCCAATTCAGATAAAGCAAACCCTCCACCAACCACATAACAGATTCTTAAACCCCTGGTTCCCAACTGCTGGGTCGCAACCCCTTTGGGAACAATTCCAAAAAGGTTGGAAACCACTGCCTTAAACAATGAATCAAATCTGTCCACCAGAGCTCCCTTTTGAAATCTGAATGTCAAAAGTATCTAAATTCCAAAGATGACGCAGTGAAATTCTGAACACTGATTAGTTACAAAGTATTTTTTATCATATCTTTTAATACTCCCATGTCTAAGCTAATGTTGCTCTTTTAATTGTTACTAGAGTATTCAATATAATACTTCTATATTTTATAACTGTTTTACTATACTTGTGCCGTACTAAAAATTGTACTAAAGTCTGCATGTGACATTTTTTCTGTGGCGTCCAGACCAACCATGAAGGCACACATACCCAATGTGTGTGTTTTCCTTGTGTGTGAGTGTGGGCTACCATCTTGTTACTCAAGCACTGTCACCAACATTTCTCTGGATATATTAGTCGAGTTAAAGCCATGCCATCCAGTAAGATCAGTAAGGGTGTATCAGGCAAGGGAAGAAACACGATTATGACGCAGGAATATGGCATTACAGCATGGAGTGTGAAAAAATCTGTTAAATCCATTTGCAGAATGTTAAGAACAGTCTTCCTACCAACTTTCTCTAAACACTCCATGTTCCTCTGACTGCAATTAATTTTATCTTTTTAAGTCTTCTTTCAATGCAATTTATTCTTGTACCTTTATATTCCGACTGCCTGACTAAAACAACTTATTAATGCTAATATCCAAATTTAATTTAATTAATTTTGGAATCGTTTTTGTTGGGCAAACGGTAACTTAATATGGCGCTAATCTCGTTTGTATTTTTGTAAATGGACTCGAACATTACAAGAAAAAGTTGGAGCCTTGGAAACACTATTGAGGATATTTCAAACCAAATTCTATGATTTGTTCTCATTTTGAGTCAGGAAAGTTTTCGCTCAATCAGGCATGGTCCTGCTACCTTTTAAAAATGAGTATTAGGGCTGGGGACATGAAAAATAAACTAGGCGTGGTTAAATTTTTTTTAAAGACATGTTCAGTTGGTTGCATATTATATTATACAGTACTGTAGGTTGAAATGAGATTTTGCCAAGGAAAATTAGTCCATAAAACTTGGGAAATGCATCCTGGAGGCATCTCGGATTGCAACAATTCCCCTCATTGCAATGAAAATTGGGGTGGGTCTTATACAGTCTGTTGAATTTAGGTTGTACTGCACAGTACTTCGACAAATTTGGTAATAGTAAATATCTAATTACTATTCAGCATGTGTTTAAACTAGGCAATACATGTTCATCTACATAGTCTTGTTGCTGCTATAATAAATAACTTTTTTTTTTACTATTTAAAATTTTATTTCCTCGTATGACATTGCAACATTCCTAAAGTAATCCTTTATATGGTAAATATATACAGTAAGACACTCCCTATCAATCTCAAGGAATTATTTCTACTCTAGTATCTTGATTTAAGTTCATTAATGTATGATAGAACAAAGTACCATACTGTATATAAAACTTGTATGTACAGTTAGTTCTTCTGGCAAAGGAGATACCCGTCCAGTATACTCTACAGATTAATGTGCGACAAGTTTTAAGGTGTCTAAAAGTAAAAGATCATGGCAAATGAGCAGGAAATTATATTGGATATCAGGGTGGAGAGAGAAGTGCTGCAGCCTGGAGTACGACTGGAAAAGAACTGGAAATGTTTAAGAATCGGTCAGGTAACAAAAGTGAAGGGTACAATAAAAGCCCTAGTTATGAATAAATAATGAATAAATAGTAAGGACAGATGACTGAATGGCAAGTTGTGAACTGCTAGTGTTAAGGGGTGTGCAAAATATTAAGAGCTAGGACAGTGGAAATGTAGAGTCTGAGGATAGTATGTGGTGTTATCACAATAAATAGTGGCAGGGAAAGTTATAAAATATGAAACACACTGATTCATAAGACTAAGAAGCATACTCATATGTGATATCAATGTGAATGTTGGATGAAAGAGTGGCAAAGAAAGCCAAGTGGAAGCAATGTATCAAAAGGAAATAAATGAAGGAACACAGGTGGCTTACTGACTGCCTAATCTATGAAGAGACTTACACAAGTGTGGAGTATTTGTTGGAGTGTGATGGTACTGTTCCTTGTTATGGTACAAAGTATAAGTAGTATGTATGAATGAGCATACAATTAGTAGCTTTAACCCTTTTTCCTGTATGTATTGCTTTTCCCATCATTATGAAAGTAAGGAATGATAATTATTACAATTATGTAAAAGCAAAAATTTTTTACAAATCATATCGTCAACCAATCACTATTTCCATTCCACATACTGTACTTTGAGCAGTTAAGCTGATCGCTACAAAACTTTCAAGACTAACCTTCAGAGAGTGCACAACCATATCCACAGTCTTCTCCTCCAGAGCAAATTCTAACTCCTTTGTAAAGAGGCTCTTGCTACCAATCTTTGACAGTGCCACATCTAGGATCTTATCGCCTTTAGTTTTCATTGACACTGTTTGGTATAACAAAAAGTAATTAACAAATTTGAAATTGGATAAGCAATCTCAATCTATATCTCAATGACAAGTTATATCTAATTTTGTGCATGTTAAAATCAATACTGTACTACTACTATATACTGTATATAATATATAGGGAAGCTTATACTGCTCAGTGTAGTTTTATTTATCAAATATCCATTTATCCAATATCACAAAATTAAGTGAATGCCTCTGCTTTACACAAGCCAAATACTGTATATTTGTATATTACATTACAGTATTTACAATGTACCCTATGTCAGTCTACTGATTTAAAAAAGACAATTACCAATTTCAGACTTTAGATGTGGATGTACTTTTAGTAGCGCAGCTCTTGCCATCTCCGTCTGCTTAAGGGCCAACTGCATATGAAATAAAAATGTACAATTATAATGAGTAATATGAATGACAATAGGCAGCACAACATTTTTGTTCATTGCTAATTTGTCAGTAGTTCTAATTCTTTTAACTTTATAATATTTCTACTGAAAGAAATATGTTAAAAGTTTATTTTGTGCAAAAAGGATCAAAACATTTGTTATAGCTTAAATAATAATATAAAAAAATATAACCATGAAAATGTTCTTACATCAGCTATTTTTAAAAAATGTATAATAAGCACTTCATTTTTGTGATGTATGTACTAGAGGCAGACAAGTATACAGCACCAATGTCATCCAAACACAGTAATTGAGGTTGCATTTTTTGTTGTTTACAGCTGCAGTGCCAACAAACATTATCTTATGTGCACACGTGTGTGTGTGTGTGTGTGTGCGCGCACATGTGTGTACACAAAACTGCCAAATCATGATGATGGTGAGTCACACCTGGAGTGCATATTCAGGAAAAGCAACACTCCACTTACTGGCTGCCTTATCTGCTTGATACCTGCTTGATGGGGTTCTGGGAGTTCTTCTACTCCCCAACCCCGGCCCGAGGCCAGGCTTGACTGGTGAGAGCTTGGTCCAACAGGCTGTTGCTTGGAGCGGCCTGCAGGCCTACACACCCACTACAGCCCGGTTGGTCCGGCACTTCTTGGAGAAAACTATCTTAAAGATGTCTATGGTTGTTCCGGCAATATTTCTTATGCTCACTGGGAGGATGTTGAACAACTGCGGACCTCTGATGTTTATGCAGTGTTCTCTATCATTATCTTTAAATGACTATTTGGTTGCATTATAATTGTTATATTTTAAGCTTTCTGCTCTGCACCATAGTACTTTATAGCAAACTTGCTATTTTAATCCTTTCTTGAAGTAGTGCTGGAACAAATTGTTCTCAGCTGTTGACAGTAAAATACTGGAAGATCAGAGGTCATTTATTTACCATTATATTAACATAATATATAGCTGCCTAATGACTGCCTAATACAAATATTTATGACAACATCTTCACACGTTATGATATACAAGTTTAACAGAAAAAGAGCCAAGCCAGACTGCCTGTGTACAACTGGACTGGATTGAACACAGGCTACTCAACTGGACTGGATTGAACACAGGCTACTAACACCAGCATAGTAAAGTTATATTGCAACAGGTACACCAAGGCAAGTAGGAAGGAGAGCTAGACCTCAGTTCTCTGTACTGATCGTTAAGTACAGCCACAGTACTGCCAGAATCATTACAGGAAACAAGCCCACCATTGTTTCTGGCAATTAATAATGAATATTTTTTTTTTGCAGGGATATTAGGGCCCGCTTTTGTCGTTGACAAAGTACGTATGTATATACACTTCAAGCTTGCATCGAGGTTCCCCCCACCAAGATCAACCTACATAACCTTTCTAGAGTACAACCCCACAGTTGACAATCTTGCAGGCACCAATTTACTGCAAGGTGAATAGAGGCATTAAGTGAAAGGAAATTAAGTCAACTGTACTCCGAGACCCTACATGATTATATATCAGACTGCCGCACGCACTGTGTTCCCCATATGCCTTGTGCCAACACTGCCATATATAAACAAATAATTTTAATATAGTAAGAGGAGGCCTCGAGTGCTTGTGAGAGCCCACGTTGGACAACACTTTGGTGTTAGTTAATCACAACATATGTTTCCCTTTATAAAACACCGCATTAACATGTAATTCCAACCAAAACTACTACACACACACAATAACATTATACCAGCTGCCAATATAACATCACTAGGGGCAACAATATTGGTAAGGACACTGCACCAGGTGCTGATAACATTACATAAATAGATGGTGCTGTGGGAAAACATTGGCCAGGTGGATACACAGGTATCCACCAGCTGGGGGGTAACCGCAGTAGTCAACACCTGCTGGTGAAGCAACTCGCCTCACTGTCCCTGGAGCCGATCCTGACGAGGGTGTGGGTGTGAGGAGAGGCCATAGTGAGGGAGAGCCTCCTGCACCAGCTGCCACCACCACCACCTGCTTCTGGTCCTCGCCGGCGACTGACCCCACCACAGCCTACCACACACAGTCGCTTCGTACACAAACCACAATTACTTATTTATTTATTTATATACAAGAAGTTACATTAAGGGTTAACAGAGAATATAGAAAATAAGTTGAATTAACATTGTTGTAAAGCCACTAGCACGCATAGCGTTTCGGGCAATAATAATTTTAATTTAACCGTTACAAACTAAAGCAAACTTTATTTGTAACTTTTCTTATTTACTTTTTAGTTTTTATTAACAATCTTAGGTATACACAGCAATGTGCTGCTGCCCTATTCTATATGAAAGATTACACAGTGTAGTTAAAGAAAAACTAGCTATAAGTTCATCTAATATTCCCATCTTACAGGATGGTTAGTCATACAGTACATGGAATCAGAGGAGAAAATACCTTCCTTATTGACCTGATTTACCTGATTTTGTCTGTACTACATGCTCCTGATGGCCACTAATACTAGTGACCTCAACTCAATGAGGACAGGAAGCCGGCGGCTTGTCGAAGATCCCGTCCACCTCCCCCCCCTCTATTTGCCTTGATTTTTTTCAGGTAGACTTTAAATCCTATTATAACAAACTTAGGAATTCGCAGCAATTTGCTGCTACCCTGTTCTATATAAAGGATTTCAGAATGTAGATAAAAAATTAGCTGAGTTCATTTAATATCCCCAACTCACAGGACTGAGGGGAGCACATGAAATGAGAGTCCATAAAGAAATGTATTCATTTTTTATATTACATTTTATTCGATAGACTAGGATAAATTCAGTTGAAGTAGGGTTTAAAATACACGTGGAAAGTGTCTCCAATACGAAGTGACCACTGGATATCTCTGGGCCGAAATTTCGTACAGAAACGAAACTGTACTTTGCGTACATAAATAGTTGTAGGGACCCTTAATGTACGTAACTTACAGTGTGAGAAATACTTTTATACGAAATGACCATTCACGTGTTTTGCAATTTTGACTATTATATATTTCGTTTACAATAATATTTTATTTCATGTTTATATATATTTACAAGAAAGTAGAATGGATTGTGTAAATAAATTAACAAAGGCAAAGTATAGAGGTTCTGTAGTGAAGTGGTTAAAGCAAATAAGTTACCTCTGTAATCCTTTACACCACCTCCCACGGGATGGGTATGGGGTGCATAATAAAGAAAGAAATTGAAATTGAATTACTGGCAGAATTGTAATTTATCAAATTAATACATGCATTTAAAATATATATAAACAGTCTATTTGTATATTTATTAATTATGCATAAATATTTCATTAGTAGTAATGAAAATATAAATATCTATGTAAATATACTGAAACTATATAATCTTAAAAAATCAAAATTGAAAACAAATAGGCAATAATATAGCTTGAAAATCTATATAAAACGATTAAAAATTTATTTTGCAATTTATTTGTTATAAAAATTAACCTACATTAGTTAAATAATAAATATATTAGAATTATATGTGAGCGAGGCGTCCCGTTCCTGCGTTCCTGTGGTCGGAGCAAGCGGACCGGCGTGGACGAGGAACACACACTGTTGTTTACACGTGGGAGGCGGCCGACCGGGTTGTGTAGTTGGTGGTTCCTCGCCTTTTAGTACTCCTATAACCTCATGGGTAAGCCTGGTGAGTAGCCTAAGGATCGTTAATGACCTCCAAGTGTTCATTGTGAGAGAAGGGAGACGGGTCATCAGTGTATTACTGTGATGTACCTCATGGCCAGTGGCGTTGTTGATGGTCTCCACGTGATGGCTAAAGGAGCAGCTATTCAATAATTTGTGTTTTGTACTTATACAAATCATACAGTGGATAATTTGAATTGAGCTTGCATGCATTTTTATTACGATTGTGTTGTTTACAAGGTCACTAATGAGGCGTAGTAGTATTTGGCTATGGAGCAATCGTCATATAAAACGTCTACCTTGCATTGTGTGTTTTGTTTCAGATTTCTCACCCCGTGGAGGTGGTGGTGGTGGAGGAGGCTTCCGTGGAGGCGGAGGCGGTGGTGGCTTCCGTGGAGGCCGAGGTGGTGGTCGTGGAGGATTTTCACCCGGAGGTCGTGGAGGGTTTTCACCTGGGGGTCGTGGAGGATTTTCACCAGGAGGACGTGGTGGCGGCGGTTTCCGTGGACGTGGTGGTGGAGACCGTGGCGGTGGCAGAGGGCGAGGTGGACGTGGAGGAAGAGGTATGTGATGCTTCACTCTTATTTATAAGCCCAACCACTTGGGCTGAATGGTAATGCCAGTCTTGCTTCATGCAGCTCGGCGTTCAATCCCCGACCGTCCAAGTGGTTGGGCACCATTCCTTTCCCCCATCCCATCCTAAATCCTTATCCTAATCCCTTCCAAGGGTTTTATAGTCGTAATGGCTGGGTGTTTTCTCCCAATAGTTTTATTTATAAGTTGGCAGTAATGTCTTGGCTTGACTACTAGATCTGTACTACATGCTCTTGATGATGATCTTGCTAAGTGTATTTCTTAGTACAGCTGCATCAGTAATGTCACAAACCAATTTATTCTTGTTGGGTTAGGTTTATTTAAAAAGGAGTAGCAGTGATGGCACAATTAGACTTGAGAACATTTGTTAACCCCTAATCATACTACGTATTTGGATACAGGATATCAATATTATATCCTCTACACTTTGCCTGAAAATAAAACGTTAACATTGTCATTAAAGACCACGTTTTAATTCATTAATAGTGGTCTGATATTAGATGATTTGGTTACCAATGTTGTGCTAGTGTTCTTGGGTACTATACACAGTTTGTGTGAATGTTCTTAAAGATAGGGTAGTTATGAGGAGTGTGCGCTAAGCCTGTATGTTAGCATTTGGAAGGCATATGAGGAAAAGAGGAGTAGTATAGGATGGTGGCAAATAATGGTGCCCAACCACTTGGATTATCAGGTTTCTTCAAATAAATACATGTTTTAGTGACACATTACTGTTGATAGTTAGATCAGACATGTTGATGGTATGAGCACTTTGTGTTTGTTAGTTTTCCTGGTTTGGCACCTTGTTTTGGTATTTATTTATTTCTGTTGCTGTTGTAATGTTTATGTATTCTATGGCTGGTAATTAGAGTACTTTAAGTTGTGTGATATTCGGATGTAGTAGTAGTAGTCATCCATGGATATCTATTCTATAATGTATGTTCTTATCCTCATTTGTTTAATTTTATATAACCGAATTAAAATTTGGACAGTTTTTTTTTTTTAAATGCTAAATACCAGATGCAGGAGCTGTTGGAGAGTTTTAGCTGTAAGGTTCACAATCCTCTTGCATGTAAAAAATCATAGCTAAGAGTATATTGAAGATGACATTATTAGTAGTACTTTATCAGATTATAGAAACACAAGGTTAGATGTTTATAAAGAGAAAAAGTGGGGAGGGGGTTAAAAAGATAAATGATTAATCATTAATTTTTGGTTTTAAGCCATTTAGCACAAAGGGATTGCTGAAATCACCCAACCTTCTCACTTTATAATTTTATGAACAGCTCATCTTGTATATGTTAGAAGTGATAGTTCTTACAGGCAAAATGTTAATCATCAGTAAAGTTAACTCTTGGTGTTTCTCTGCCATTGTCAGCTCTGTACTACTATCTTTCTTGCAGTTCTAACTTTTGCCTAACAAATATCATTTGATGGTCTAGAGAATAGTATGCATTTAAAAACTTGACAGTGCAGTGCTTTTAAAAGAGCAGTTGTTTCTTACAGATTGGTAGATTTATTGATAAATATTTCAGCCCACCTAAAATGATGTACTGTAATGTACCTAATGCCAAGACAGAGTTTAAAGCTTCGGAGCCATCCATCAGTGTATGAGCACTGTTAAAGTGGCACCATGTACGATCACTGGACAAACTAGTTCAATCTTTATCACACATTTTTATTCAGACTGCCTGCCCCACCAATTAATCAAACTTTTTCATTCGGACACGCCCAAAATGTATAACAGGCGTATTCGGATAAGTGGTCGCCCAGAAAGCATGTGGTCATCTGTAGTACTTACAGTAACTGTTTAGTCGAACACTAGGCCCAAAAGTTCACATTTTGTACTAATTAATTTTATAGTCCAAGAAAGCAAGCATAAAACCAAACATTCTTAGGTATAACATAATGTCTATTAGGCCTATGATTGTTTGGACAGGTAAGGTTAAGTTCTTTAGTTATTCCAATTGGGCTCATTCAGTAATGCAAAATGTGAGCTTTTGGGGGGTCCAGCAGTACGTATTTGTATATTTGACCTAATAATTGCTATTAGTACTATTGTCTTAGATGGGCTGAAATATTTGTATATCTGCAATTGTCTTCCCAGCTTGGTGCCTTTTGATAATTACTTACTTTCAATAATTAGCACATTCTTCAAATCTCATGCATATTATACATATGTAAATGTAGCATGTGTATCATTTTATCCACACAATATTTTGCATCAATCTGATTAAGGTTGTTTTTGCAGGAGGTTTTAGGGGTGGAAAGACTGTTTTAATTGAGCCCCATCGTCACGAGGGAGTGTTTATTGCTCGTGGTAAGGAGGATGCATTAGTCACAAAGAATATGGTTCCTGGGGAAAGTGTTTATGGAGAGAAGAGAATGAGTGTAGAGGCAAGTATTTTTGCTCGCTGTTCTTTGGGGGGGATTTTCTATTAATGATACATAATTGTATAAAGAAAAACTTGGTAGTATTATATTCCTTTAAGACTAATAAGGTAATATATGTGGTATAGATGACAGTTTATGAAGGGTTGTATATAATGAGCTGTAGCTCATCACCGAAAGAAGATTGTAAAAAACAATAATTTACCACATTTATTTATTTTTGTTTTTATTTATATATACAAGAGTTCTTGTATTCTTGCAATGCCACTAGCATGCATAGCATTTCAGGCAGGTCCTTAATCCTAATGTTCCCCGGAATTCGGCCCGTCAAATCATTTTAATAACAACCAGGTACCCGTTCACTGCTGGGTGAACAGAGAATACAGTTAAAGATTGGCACCCAGACAATCCTCCCTGGCCAGTATACGAACTAGTGTTTTACCACTGCACCACGGGGACTGCATAACTACGTTGATGCCGATGACGTTTATGATGTATGATAATGATTGTAAAGATAAGAGTAAATTATGGAAACTTTTTCTTACTCCCCATTTGCACCGTGTTCCATCATAACGAATCTCCAATTTGATAAAAAAAAAACTGGCTTTGGTTAATTGCAACATGATCAAAAAAGCCGTTTGGCTTGTGCATGAATGAATGATTCAGCATTCACCGGTCTCCAGCCTATCTTGAACTAAGTTACATATTATTTGTACTATTTAAATGGCACAAATAATACCAATTTTGCTTGTTTGAGGTTCATTTTAATTGCATATTGGGGTGGAAATAATTTATGAAACACTTTAAACCCTGTAAAATAACATTTAGCAAATTGAGGGATACAATACTGCACATTCAAAGTACTAGATTTCCAATTGATCATTTTGTATTTTACCTAAAAAAAATATGCTTAAAATTGTACGATTTACAGATAGTCATGTATATTTCTGTACTACCAAGCTGTCGATGCCGTTTCATTTTAAATAGAAAGAAAATTAAAGCTTTTGTGTATATTATACTCTAATACATCTCTGCTAAATTTTCCAAGGATTAAACTTAAAATAAATTCAAAAGGCTCGGCTAATAGCTGCTGGAACTACTGTATGTTTATGTAGTAAAAACCTAAATTTTCTTTTTCCAGAATGGTGCAGGATCAGATCCTGCTTAAATTAAATTTCTGGTGCATGTTATATAATTTTGTCACTTCTATGCTTAGTGTTTTTCACAATTTAAGTTCACATGTTACTGTAATACTTTGCAGGAAGGCACCGATAAGATTGAGTACCGTGTGTGGAATCCATTCCGTTCAAAATTGGCTGCTGCTATTGTGGGAGGGATTGGAAATATTTACATGCCTCCTGGCTCAAAGGTTCTATACTTGGGAGCCGCAAATGGCACAACGGTATCACATGTTTCTGATGTAGTAGGACCGGTAAGTTTTCTTTGTTTTTAAACTTGAATTTTACTCGTTTATCTAGAGATGTATTTAATTAAAGTGTTTCTCTGCATAGATACCAGGGAGTTAGGCAACTGTTGAGTTGCATCTTGGGGAAAGTAAAGGAAATCCTGATAAGCCCAGTAGGCTTTCTGACAATGGAAAACCAAACCATAATTGTAAAATTTTATTTAATCATATTCATACCTGTTCATAGGCAAAGTATTTCAGAAATGGTCAAGCAGCCACAATTAAAAACCAAAATTCGAATCTGTAGTAATTGAGATAATTACCATTAATAGTACATAATTACATTTATGACTTAAGTAGAGATTTCTTATTTTTATTTTCTGCTAAGTTTGTTTTAACATCTGAGAGAATGTCTCATTGTATTGACTTTAAATTTCAAATACTGTACCCAAATGTGAGCCAAAAATAACTGGCTGTGAGTTCTGTGCTTTGGCACTCGAAGCAGAGTGCCAAAGCTGTGTCTTGGGGCTTGCCCCCTTTCTGTTTTATACTCTGGACATTCTGCATAGGGGAGCAAGAGGCTCTTTTTTTTATTCAGGTGCATTCAGTGGGATGTGTGATTTGTGGCTCGTACAATTTTTTTTATCTAGTCCTTCTGTTTGGTCTTCCAGTTGTATATTTTCATGCCTGCTTTCTTGTTCTCTTTCCTGACTATCTTGTGCCCCCCTCCCCCTTTTTTTTTATTTAAAGCCGAGCCTATTTGCCTCTCACCCTTTCCATTGTTGAATGTGAGGGCTGCCTGTTTTTGCCGTTTGCTTCCCTGCTTTGGGGTCTCGGTTTTGCCACTGGTTTGTTTCCTGTTGACAGTGAACTTGCCAGCATGTACTAGTATTGCTCATTTTGGGTCTCATTCAATTATTCATGGGTCAGGGTTTGGGGTGTTCATCTTCCTGTGTTCCCTGTTCCCTCGTGGTGCTCTTTTTTTCAGTCTGGTTGTTACCTTCATTTTATCTTCAGAAATGTGTTGTAAGGTGTATGATTGTTTATGGCCTAGGGATCCTGGGCTGCCACCTTGTGTGGGGCTGGTTGAATTAGAGCAAAGGGGAAGGGAACTATTAGGAGAAAGTGTCAAGCCACCACAACTATATAGTACTTGGAAGGGATCAGGATAAGGATTGGGGATCAGACAGGGTAAAGGATTGGTACTCAACTACTTGGACTGAGCCGGTTGGCCGAGCGGACAGCACACTGGACTTGTTATCCTGTGGTCCTGGGTTCGATCCCAGGCGCCGGCGAGAAACAACGGGCAGAGTTTCTTTCACCCTATGCCCCTGTTACCTAGCAGTAAATAGGTACCTGGGTGTTAGTCAGCTGTCACGGGCTGCTTCCTGGGGGTGGAGGCCTGGTCGAGGACCGGGCCGCGGGGACACTGAAGCCCCGAAATCATCTCGAGATAACTTCGAGACTGTCTGAGATTGACCGCCAACATGCATGAAGGGAGACGGTCGCTCTTCTGTCCAGCCCATGTGGTTGGGCACTGCTTGGTGCCCAACCACTTTTAAGTTTTGCCAACATCCAAATATTGGTTGAATTGTTATGTATACCTATCAAGATTATTTGTTTTTGCTATTCCTGTACTTTCTGGGTGCTTTTTCTAGGTTTTGGGACAATCTCTGAACCTGAAGCATCTCTCTAGCCTCAATAAGCAGACTAGATTCTGGAATCTTGATCTTCAGTAGGCCTGCACTAACATAGAGGCTTGGTAGAGTTTGTCTGTGGTAACATAGTCTTAAGTGCCAGAAAAATAATATTTAAGAAAATTATATGTTTATTTGTGTAAATAATTTTAATATATATATTTCATTTATCCTAAACTAGGAAGGCGTTGTGTATGCAGTGGAGTTTTCTCATCGCTCGGGACGTGACTTAGTGAACATGGCAAAGAAACGCACGAACATTGTCCCCATTGTAGAGGACGCTCGTCACCCACACAAGTATCGTATGATCTGCAGTATGGTAGATTGTATCTTTGCTGATGTTGCCCAGCCTGATCAAGCTCGTATTGTTGCTATCAATGCCCAGCATTTCTTGAAAGTAGGTGGCCATTATGTCATATCCATCAAGGCTAATTGCATTGATTCAACTGCCCCAGCTGAAGCTGTGTTTGCAGGAGAAATCAAAAAGCTTCAAACTGACCTTCTCAAACCCCAGGAACAGCTAACTCTAGAACCATATGAGAGAGATCATGCAGTAGTAGTAGGTGTTTACAGACCACCAAAGAAAAACAAATAGTGTGATATATAGCATATTGGTATGGTATGTTTTAATTTAAAAGCTATGGCAATATAGAAATGGCCTGTCTTCATATAACATTGAAGGTATTGTGATTTTTATAGGGTGGGAAATCATTTTGACCCTGTACGTGCACTGGGGTACACCGACTGGTAATTGTCAGAGCATTATTACAATTATATGGATTTTATCATACAGTTGGTGCTCATTGTACTGTCTGAAGTGCTCATACCTGAGCAGTATGAGACGAGCATCCGCGTTCATATCTGTATTAATTACTATTTGTTACATGAAATAATTATATTAATGTATTTCAATAAAAACTTTTAATTAACTTTTGGGTATTATTTAGCCTTTGCATATGTGTGTGTGATATGTTTAGTGGATGGGTCTCTTGTGGAAAGGAGTGAAAAGATGTAGACTTGCTTGTAGTACTGAAGTGTTTATTGATGAGTAGCCTTACTACTAATGGGTTGAAAAAGCTTTTACTAAGGTTTCACTTCAAAGCCTACATCCAGCTTTTTATGCTATATAGTTTCAAACTGAGGTTTTACATTTTAAGGGGAATGTGGTGCAGGTGCCACACACTAACTCAGCACCTCAATTGATTGCCGATTAAAGGAACATTACAAAATAGCAGACTTTAATGCAATAAAAAAAATTTTAATGAAACTTCAAAAGTCAATCAGTTACTGTGTAATGGGGAAAATGTCTAGCAGGGTTACCTTACCTTGAGGTGCATTCGGGGCTTAGTGTCCACACGGCCTGGTCACCGACCAGGCCTCCTGGTTGCTGAACTGATCAACCAGGCTGTTGGATGCGGCTGCTCGCAGCTCCATCCATGATGTATGAGTCACAGCCTGGTTGATCAGGTATCCTTTGGAGGCGTTTGTCAAGTTCTCTCTTGAACACTGTGAGGAGTCTGCCAATTATGTCCCTTATGTGTAGTGGAAGCGTGTTGAACAGTCTCGGGGCCTCTGATGTTGATAAAGAGTTCTCTGAGTACCTGTTGCACCTCTGCTTTTCAACGGGGGTATTCTGCACATCCTGCCATGCCTTCTGGTCTCGTGTGATATTATTTCTGTGTGCAGGTTTGGGACCAGCCCCTAAATTATTTTCCACGTATAGATTATTATGTATCTCTCCCGCCTGCGCTCAAGGGAATACAGATTTAGGCTCTTTAGTCGGTCCCAGTAGTTTAGATGTTTTACCGAGTGGATTCTAGCAGTAAAGGATCAAGGATTTTACACTTGAAGTAAAGGATTCTAGCAGTAAAGGGTGAAAAGAATTGAAAAATTGGATAGCAGGGACGTAGCCCCTCATTGCATCAACCACACCTTGAGCACCCAACTAATACCGTTAAAATTAAAAGTATTCCGTATGTATTAGCAGATTATTCTTTGTCTGTTGTCTATTCAAAGGTAGGTTCATTAGTACAGGATATTTGTAAATGCCAGTCCAGTACATATTAGTTTGGTTCTAAGACGACTATTGGATGAGTTTTAGATGTATATAAGGTGTGACAAATCTGAACTGAGGTGGGATTTTGCTTGACGGTGTCACCTTGAATCAGTGTCATGTTGAAGGTAGTTGAAAAATTATAATTATCAGAGGCAGTGTTCATTATTATTCACATTGAACCCATAATTGTATTAGCATGCGAGTGTCAAGTGAAAAATCTTGTACTTCTGTCCTGAAATGAATGGAAAACTTAACTTTTGATTTATAAATAACAGGTGTCTGTTGCCAAATACAGGTACAGTACTGCAAAACATACCCACAAAGATAGATAAAGTGGGAAATTATATATGGTTATAAAATAGACTTGGAGAAGTTACTGAAAAAAAGCAGCAGTCGGTAATTATCAGGTCAGTAAGACTGCAAATGAGGCAAGTAACATGATGCAATAGTGTAATTGTTATTTATCTTTGATGAGAGTGCTTAACTTTCCTGTGTAGGGGAGATGCCTTCCTTGTCATGGCTCACACGATATACGGAGTTTCAGGAAAAAAAAGTGTATTTAATACATTTTTATAATGTAGACAGTATGTAAGGGTTGTGGAATACATATGTTCAATATATTAACACATTTATGGGTTCAATGTAAATAATCATGAACACTGCCTCTGATACTTATAATTTTCCAACTGCCTTCAACATGACTAGATTCAAAGTGACACTGCCAAGCAAAATCCCACCTCAGTTCAGATTTGTCACACCTAATGTACGTCTAATATATAATATATATATATATATGTGTGTGGAGGTGGTCATGATACAAATATTGGAAATATGTGATTACTTATCAGTGTGAATGAGAGGGCAGAGATGTTTGGGACCCGCCTCCTAGCTATTCACACGTGATTATTTTATATCTTAATTTCATTTACATTTGCTTTTGATACTAGATGGAGATAATTTCCATAAGTGTATTCAATGCATTCTACTGAACCTAGAGTTCAACCTTGTAAATCTGGACTAATTGGATCCAGATGTTTCAAATAATATTTTCAAAATCTCTCTCATTCCTGCCTTGAAGCGATGGAATGCATATTATTACATTTATACAATAGTTTCTGCTGTGGACGATATGCATATGTAGTACTGGTCTGCAGAAAAGTGTAGTCTACTGTATAAGTTGTTAAATATGACCGAAAAAGTAAGATTAATAATTCTAACACGAATTTTCTCAATATTTCTTATGTTCCTTTTTACTGTCGATGGTAATTGACAGTAAATTATCTACTGTATAAGGTGAATGGGTGTCAACTTTAGCCTACTTTTGATATACAGTATTGTACCTCTCCCCCCCCCCCCATCCCTACCCCTTCCACCCCCACACTTCACTGCTCGGGGTTGATGTCTCTCCACCCCATAGACAAAGGAAATGGGGTAATGATGTAAAGTTAGTGTATAGAATCTTATGTTTGTAGTTTTAGCATAAAATGTATTATGATTGTAAGGCTTAAGAGTAGATTTCTTTACATTTTGTCCTGAATAATTCAATATGCTCTTGAATACAGTTTACTTAAGCAGGAGAAACTGGCTAGGAAGAACAGACATAGGTGGGTTTGTCCAGTGTTTATTGTACACATTATTATGGCCTACCAATCATGAATGTACTATTGTAATGTAACTACTGTACCAGGCAAGGTATGGATGGTAATCAGTGCAGTTGGCAATGACCATCAGCTGAGGGTATGACAGCGATTTGACACGGGCTATTCATGCCCGTTCCTCATCTTGGATAGCTTAATCTTAATCAATCAATCAACACTTGTATTTCACGACCAAAGATCACATTCACTTCAAACTTCTACTACTTATGGGCTATTCATGCCCGTGTCACCCCGTGCTTCAACAACACTTGTAATAGTTCGAACACTGCCTTTAATAATGTTGACAAGGGTTAATGAAACGCATCTCTTAGGGTCAGGCCATAATAAAAAATTTCAGAATGAACTTTGGAGAGGGAGTGAATTATCAGGGGAAGCGCTAAGCCATTACGACTATAGCACTTGAAAGAAGTCGGGATAAGGATTTTGGGATGGAACGGGGGGGGGGGGGAAGAGTGGTGCCCAACCACTTGGACGGTCGGGGATTGAACGCCGACCTGCATGAAGCGAGACCCTCTCTCTACCGTCCACCCCAAGTGGTTGGACTTAACTTTGGAGAGTTAATTTGTAAACTTCTTTCTCAAGTGAAGACAAACATAAGAAAAATGCTGAAGATGCGAGCTAGAATCATCAATTCCAACATTTTTGTCATATTCAATAATATATTTATACAAGAAAAGCTGCTGCCAAATTATGTATGTATATTAAACCAGAGCAGTTGTAAAAAACAACAATAGTCGAAGGTGCAATAAGTACCTGAATAAACATTTGAAATCTGATTTTGAAATTTGAAATTTGAAATTTGAAAAATGGTGGAGAAACGGGATAATGTTCGGTCAGGAGACGCCATGCCAGGAGCCACAGGTCACCCCTGGCCCCCCTACCCCCGTCCACCAACTCCAGCCGCTGAAGCACAGTGCAACTCTGGCATCCTCAAAGCCCCCCAAGCTGTGTGTGTAGGAAAGATAGCGTTGTGCAAGGGGCCTCTGGCGGATGTAGTGGTGGGGCAGAAGCCATGGGGCAAGCGTCGTCAGCAGCTGATACCCGCAGCCTCTGCGTCAGCTGCCCGGCTGACCTCCCACCGACACCACCGTCAGCACAGGTAGCTAAGCGGGGGGGGGGGGTGAAGGCTAGAGTGAAATGTATTTAATTAAGTACAACTATAGCAAATTACACACACATAGCCCCGCTCTTGGGCCGGGTAAGTTCACTACGGGCTCACCATAGCCTGTGATACTCGCCCCGCTCCTGTGCCAGGTAAGTTACGGGCTCACCATAGCCCGTGCTACTTGGAACGTGTTCCGAGTAGCTGAATCTATAACAACAACAAACAGCAAATTACAGGGATGGCGCTGCTGTAATGATGCTTTTTAAGACGTAGTCTCTAGGATGGAACACAGTTGTTGCACATTATCAGCCCCATTCAAGGCTGAAGAACGCGCAAAGAACTGAAATCTCTGACGGGAGGACCTGGTTTCAAATTTGCATACGAAAATAATCCCTTACGAGACCAGGAGGCATGACAGATTTAAGTATGTTTATTGAGACAAGAAAGAAATACATCTCAAAGGGATAGAGTAGCTTAGGCTATCTCTAACTCCCAATGTCAGATGGTGCCAGAAAATCCGTTAAAAAGTCGAAGGTGCAACAGGTACGCCACGTGAATTACATCAACATTAAAGGGACACAACTCATTGACTTCTTTCGGCGTTCAAAAATGAACTCGCCACCAAAGGTCATCTGGTCAACTCGGGCCAGACTGCGAGCAGTTGCGTCTATATAGCCTGGTAGACAATGCCACCAATTAACCAGGCCGTCTGGTCAGAGACCGGGCCGCGAGGACATTGGTCCTCGGAAACACCTATGGTGTCACTATAATGGCAGGGATGTCACTATAATGAGGTCATTGTGGCACTATAATAAGGTCATGGTGTATTATATCATGATGCCAAGATTATGGTGCCACTATAATGAGATTATTGTGCCACTATAATGAGATTATGGTGCCACTATAATGAGATCATGGTTCCACTATAATGAGGTGATGGTGTCACTAGAGAGATCAGCGGTAGAACATTCCTACATGAGCCAGAGAGCATGGGCGGGGGATGGTGTGAAAATCCTGGTCCGGCTTCAGTGGAAGCCTCAGGAAACACTCGTGTGTTCAGTAAACTCCAGGATGCAATCTTTACACCATGTGGTGATCTAGTTGTCTAGAGCGTGGGAACACCCACCGCATAGGTTCGAACCTTCATCATGGCTCCTACGCATTTTCTCATTATTATTAGTAATGGTAATGTCTTCTCCCAGATATAATAACATAGGATAAAAGCAAACACTTGTGTATTTGTGAAATTTATAAAAGGAATTTACACCAAGTCTTTCACACTCTCCTGAGTGTGTAATTAGAACGAGACTTACATCTCAACGACTAATAAGGCTGCCATCCTGGGTTCAGTTCTCTCCTTCTTGACCCCCTGACCAGGTCACCACTATTCCCGACTGATGCTGTACCTGCGGTAATGCCATCTACGGAAATATGATTCAAGTTCAAGTATGTTTATTGAGATAAGAAATAAATACATCTCAAAGGGATAGAGTAGCTTAGGCTATTTCAATCCCCCCCCCCCTCCCCACGTGACCTTCCTGTAATCCTGCTATTCTGGGAACTGGAGTTGTTATTAACAAAAAAAATACTTCAGAGGATAGCTTTACTAGGAAAATGATTCTGAGTGAATTAAAATTAGGTGTCAATAAATAGATAATAATGAAAGCAGTTCCATTAGCCACGTTCCTTGGGGGGTATGGAAAGGGTTACAAGGGACAACAGGCAGATGAACACCACTATTAATAACTCCAGTTCCCAGAATAACAGGATTACGGGAAGGTCACATGACCATATTTCCGTGGAAGACATTACTGCAGGTACAATGGGAGACATCTCCCGTCACGCAGGGTGCAGTCGCACCTCCACAGATCTAAAGTATCATCTATTGATACTGGTAATGGCTCAAAAGGGCCTCCACTTACGGGCTATTCATGCCCGTGCCACCTTTTGGGTGGCTTAATCTTCATCAATCTGCAGGTACAGCGTCAGTCGGGGATAGTGGTGACCTGGTCAGGGGGTTATCTTGAGATGATTTCGGGGCTTTTTAGTGTCCCCGCGGCCCGGTCCTCGACCAGGCCTCCACCCCCAGGAAGCAGCCCGTGACAGCTGACTAACACCCAGGTACCTATTTTACTGCTAGGTAACAGGGGCATAGGATGAAAGAAACTCTGCCCGTTGTTTCTCGCCGGCGCCTGGGATCGAACCCAGGACCACAGGATCACAAGTCCAGCGTGCTGTCCGCTCGGCCGACCGGCTCCCTCGGTCATGCAGACTGGACCCAGGATGGCAGCTTATTAGACGTTGAGATTTAAGTCTCGTTCTAATCACACACTCAGACGAGTGCGAAAGGCTTGAGAAAGAAAGAATTTAAAGACTTAGATAAATTTCACAAACACACGTGTCGGTTTGTATCCTATATTATTATTATTATTAACAATATTAGGTCCACAGCATTGATATTTTGATTACTGGCGCCGGAGGTGCGTAGTTTGTCGTGCACCCCATACTCCTGCCCGTTCTCCTAAGGTTCCCAGCGTCAAGAATACAGTAAATTTAAAATGTCTTATCCTAACCTACCAGAGGACCCAAAACAGAAAACGGGACAGTACGTCACTTTCGCGAGCCGCTTCCATTTTCTAGTACGACGATTTTTGTCCTTGTCTAACGCACACGAGCGAAATGCGACGTTCTGTGTAGGAGTACAAGTCATCCTTTGAGTGGTAGTTTATTGTGCGCCCCATACTCCTCCTATGAGCGGTAGTTTATTGTGCACCCCATACTCCTCCTATGAGTGGTAGTTTATTGTGCACTCCATACTCCTCCTATGAGTGGTAGTTTATTGTGCACTCCATACTCCTCCTATGAGCGGTAGTTTATTGCGCATCCCAGAGAATTTAGACATAAATTGGACAGTTTAGCGTGTCTAAACTCACAGTTACATTGGTTAGTGGAGCATATCTGAAAATGTACAGCGTCTTAATTGTCTACAGTAATTCAAAGATTTTAAGAAGAATGGAACCACTTGTAACGTAAGTATTTGGGGATATGAATAGTTTCTACCACAATCCGTGTATGGTTGAGTCCACCTACAAAAGTTGTGTATGGAGTTTGCCTCCACCACTCCACAACCCACGAATTAGTTTGTTCCATACATGGATTGTGTATAAGTGTATCTTGAGCTTGTGTGAGCCTCTAAATTGCTTGCAAGATGTATGCCATGGTTGAAACTGTGGACTACTGAGGTGTCAGATTATATGTTAGGATGGGAGTGACGTCAGATATATTGGTAACAAGCGGAAGGTGGACTACTGAGGTGTCAGAGTATATGTTAGGATGGGAGTGACGTCAGATATATTGGTAACAAGCGGAAGGTGGACTACTGAGGTGTCAGATTATATGTTAAGATGGGAGTGACGTCAGATATATTGGTAACAAGCGGAAGGTGGACTACTGAGGTGTCAGATTATATGTTAAGATGGGAGTGACGTCAGATATATTGGTAACAAGCGGAAGGTGGACTACTGAGGTGTCAGAGTATATGTTAGGATGGGAGTGACGTCAGATATATTGGTAACAAGCGGAAGGTGGACTGCTGAGGTGTCAGATTATATGTTAAGATGGGAGTGACGTCAGATATATTGGTAACAAGCGGAAGGTGGACTACTGAGGTGTCAGATTATATGTTAAGATGGGAGTGACGTCAGGTATATTGGTAACAAGCGGAAGGTGGACTACTGAGGTGTCAGAGTATATGTTAGGATGGGAGTGACGTCAGATATATTGGTAACAAGCGGAAGGTGGACTACTGAGGTGTCAGAGTATATGTTAAGATGGGAGTGACGTCAGATATATTGGTAACAAGCGGAAGGTGGACTACTGAGGTGTCAGAGTATATGTTAGGATGGGAGTGACGTCAGATATATTGGTAACAAGCGGAAGGTGGACTACTGAGGTGTCAGAGTATATGTTAGGATGGGAGTGACGTCAGATATATTGGTAACAAGCGGAAGGTAACTAAATAATAATAATATAGGTTACCACGTTTAACGATGTCTTAAGTATCGTTCCTTAATCCGCTGAAGTGAAAAGTGGCAATTGAACGTCGTATTAAGAGACAGGAACAGTGCTAAGGTGTGAAGGATAGATGAAATTGTTTATGTAATAATCTAAGATGAGGTCTGATAAAGACCTTTTGTGCCCTCTGTAATGCTTTTGATCTACCGCTCACAGGATGAGTATGGGGTGCACAATAAACTAGCCGCCGAACAATCAAAATCAAATGTTATGCTGACCGTCGGGTGTGAACATAGGCTACCATTCCCTCCCTCCCCACACATCCGGTAACGTTAATATAATCTGTATCACGATAATCTGACGGCATTTACGGAACACAATCTGCGACTGTTGTTATCCGCACATCACCACGAGGAATTACAGGCTGGCTGGCTATCACAGAGGAGTGGTGAAAAGATAAGATAGAGCGGCGAGGCTTGAGTGTTGCTGGGGATGGGGGAGCCACCAGGACGCCGTCTCCAGTTGTTCTTCAACACTGTTGGTGTCCTCAGGCAGCCGCTCCTGCCTGACCACCACCACACCCGACCCTCAGGACACACACACTCTCCTCTTACTGTGGGGTCTTGTTAGTCTCACGCTTACTATGTGCTCATTATAACACAATTGCTCTCTCGTCTGCATGGCTTAGAAAACAATTAATTAGTTAAGCATATCACACAACGGAATTGTGATATTGAGACCCGGTAAGTACTCATACACTTCAGATTGTCACATTTATTTATATAAATAAAGGTTTGCCTAATTTTTCAAGATGACACATGGGTGGTGTGTGACTGTCATAACCTAGTCGTGGTCGCCCACCTCCCCACCTCTTGCTCTCTCTCGGAAAATGATTATTATGAAGCACCGAAATTGCAAAATAATTCTATGGAAACACGACCTATATTTCAGACCGTGAAAATCGTAGGGGGGTCGATATCTGGGCCATCTCTGTCTGGCCTATGACACTCCCATACCACCCATGTGTCACATGTGAAAGTTGGGTAAAGTTAGCGCCAAGGGTCTGGCCTCATACTTCGGACAGATAAAGATTGTTGTTGATTTATTTAATTGTTCATTCATGACTGTCATTGTTGTTGTTTAAGATTCACTACTTGAAACAAAAAGTTCCAAGTAGCACGGGCTATGGTGAGCCCGTTGTGGGTTTACCTGGCACAGGAGCGGGACTATAACTTGGACTTTGTCAATATTTATTCACGTTACACAAATTTACAAGGTATCTTGTTTATTTAACCCATCACCACAGTGGCATTGATTTACTGTACGTGAAAGTGAGGCAGTAAGAGGTATGCAGGGAGTTAGTGCCTTGTATCAACGTGATGACAGCACTGAGCCAGACAGTATTAGGGGTATGTGGAAGCTGATCAGAATTACGTTTCACCTTTGTAAATGCACATTAATGACACTATGTAAAAGACACATCGAACACTTGATGTAGCATACATAAATCTGTGTATCTATGTATTTACGTATGTAGCTTAGCCTAGCATTTTAAAAGCACTACAATCACCTGTGGTTGATTGTTCAATAAATCCCTGAACTGTATGTTTGACAAATCTCTCACCCTCGTCCATGGAGGACAGAAGAAAATGTATATATGCTGGTTAGCATTGTAAATGTGTGGCCACGTCTGTGGTAGAAAATAATAATAATAATAAACAAAAATGTATAAGGGGTTGCAGCCTACTGGCGGGTAGTTGTGTAACTTGTACCGTATGTGTTGGCGATAAGGTCGTTATCTATGTGTTACTAATGTGTCACTCAAGACACTATAGCCTCATCCGTCTCTGGCTTCTGTCTGCAAACTTGGTCAATATATTTCCCATTTAACATATATTTAATGTTGTCTAAATCATTAACTTTGGCGCATGATTGTAGATAATTAAGGGGCTCCGGTAGTGCTGTCGGGTTCATCCTCAACGCACAATCCAGCTTTTTTTTCAGCCCCGCTCCTGTGCCAGGTAAGTCCGCTACGGGCTCACCATAGCCCGTGCTACTTGGAACTTGTTCCGAGTAGCTGAATCTATAACAACAACAACACAATCGAGAATTCCGGGTTCGAATCCCGGATGGGGCAGAAATGGTTGGGTGTATTTCCTATCACATAATGCCCCTGTTCACCTAGCAGTAAGTAGGTACTCAGGAGTAAGTCAGCTGTTGTGGGGTTGTTGCATCCTGGGCGGGGTCAGTAATTAGACCTTTTCGATATAAGCCTAACGTATATGAATATACTCTGGCTTCCTGTCCCCCGATACAATGAATGATAAATAATTCATTGTAAATTTGGTGATTGTACATAGCTGGTGATGAGGCAAGGCGAGTGGAGCTTATAAGGGCGCCGGTAGCGACTGTGAGAGCACAGTATCTCAGAGTAATGGTAACTCATCACTGAATCAATAGTATCAGTGTTAATTCATCGTTGAATTAATGGTATCAGTGTTAATTCATCGTTGAATTAATGATATCAGTGTTAATTCGTCGTTGAATTAATGGTATCAGTGTTAATTCATCGTTGAATTAATGATATCAGTGTTAATTCAACGTTTCGTGCTGCCCATATACATAGGTTTCAGGTCTAAACGAATCATAACTTTTTACAGTGGTGCTCTCATGGCGTTTGAGAGTCTGAGGAGTTAATGGGCTATCATTATCTGAGTGTTTTAGGGCTGGGCTAGATAAAGCCCTGATAAATGTCAGACTTTGGAGGAATGATATTGTGACCTCAATGTGATAAAGAGCATATGTGTTAGGTATGACCGTATGAGCTCCTGTAGCACAGTGGTCTACGTCCTCGACTTCCAACCAAGGGACTTGGGTTCAGTCCCCGGGCATGACAGAAACGATGGCTCGTTTCTTTTCACCTGATGGAACTGTTCACTTAGCAATAAAATAGGCATCCGGGACTAAGACAATTGTTGTGGGTTGCATCCCGGGGAAGGTGTGTCCTGTGTCAAGTAAGTCCTTAGCGGGCTCACCATAGCCCGTGCTACTTGGAACTTTTAGTTCCCAGTAGCTGAATCTTAATCTTAATGGCTTAGGGAGGCCTCAATAAGTATAAGTATAGGCTTCCTGTCCCCTGACAACGGGAATCATAAACTCACAAACAAAGCCTAGCTGTTCGGCTACGTTAGTCTCGGCGGTGAAACCAACTGGCAACAGCGATATCGGCAATCATTTGTTTTTTTGGTAACGAAGGGCCAGATTCACGAAGCAGTTACGCAAGCACTTACGAACCTGTGCATCTTTTCTTAATCTTTGGCGGCTTTGTTTACAATTATTAAACAGTTAATGAGCTCCGAAGCACCAGCAGGCTGTTTATAACAATAACAACAATTGATTGGAAAGTTTTCATGCTTGTAAACTGTTTAATAAATGCAACCAAAGCCGTCAAAGATTGAGGAAAGATGTACACGTTGGTAAGTACTTGCGTAACTGCTTCGTGAATCTGGCCCGAAGCTCCCGAGGGAATGAAGAATGGTCTACGGGAGTTACGATAACATTACGAAGTGAATGACAACATCATAAATAACAACACAGTCCAAGTGAAGGGAACATCATAAATAATTACAAGCAATGCTATTCCGATTTTGATGTATGATTATAATGCTCAAGTATATTATAGCTAGCAGCCTATCAAAACTCAACGCAACTGTGGTAGTACAGTTTACCGGAATTAATTACAAATATTTTGCCAAAAAATCGACTTATCCGGCAAAGAAAGTACTCGAGTACTAAAATAATTAAATTTAGCCTTATGTGAATATATATTGTGATCATTACTGGAGCCTCGCCCTCACAAGTGTGTCCACAACCCGTGTTGTGATCATTACTGGAGCCTCGCCCTCACAAGTGTGTCCACAACCCGTGTTGTGACCATTACTGGAGCCTCGCCCTCACAAGTGTGTCCACAACCCGTGTTGTGTTCATTACTGGAGCCTCGCCCTCACAAGTGTGTCCACAACCCGTGTTGTGATCATTACTGGAGCCTCTCACTCTCAAGTGTGTCCACAACCCGTGTTGTGACCATTACTGGAGCCTCTCACTCTCAAGTGTGTCCACAACCCGTGTTGTGACCATTACTGGAGCCTCTCACTCTCAAGTGTGTCCACAACCCGTGTTGTGACCATTACTGGAGCCTCTCACTCTCAAGTGTCCACAACCCGTGTTGTGACCATTACTGGAGCCTCTCACTCTCAAGTGTGTCCACAACCCGTGTTGTGACCATTACTGGAGCCTCTCACTCTCAAGTGTGTCCACAACCCGTGTTGTGACCATTACTGGAGCCTCTCACTCTCAAGTGTGTCCACAACCCGTGTTTTGATCATTACTGGAGCCTCTCACTTTCAAGTGTGTCCACAACCCGTGTTGTGTTCATTACTGGAGCCTCGCACTCTCAAGTGTCCACAATCCGTGTTGTGTTCATTACTGGAGCCTCGCACTCTCAAGTGTGTCCACAACCTGTGTTGTGATCATTACTGGAGCCTCGCACTCTCAAGTGTGTCCACAACCCGTGTTGTGTTCATTACTGGAGCCTCGCACTCTCAAGTGTGTCCACAACCCGTGTTGTTGTTGTTAATAATCTTTACAGGTGACGAAATCATTCTCGTAATAGGCACAGTGACGACCAGAAAATTATGAATATGTCATAAAACAGATTTAAGCTTAAATATAATGTATTTTAAGGAACTCGTAGCTAGACCTGAACCCTGGGATTGTGAAGGCCTTCAGTTTACCGGATTTAAACCTAGGATCACTTAGGCCTACTGTTAACCGGATCTGAACTTGGGATTATTTATACTGTATTATTCTCGGGATCTCGACCTGGAATTATGTAGACGTACGATTTACCGGATCTGAACTTGAGATCATGGTAGGCTTTAAACATGCACTAAGGATGCTCTTAAAATTATTGAAGAAACTGTCGTATTAAAGTGCCCTTATCCTAACGTACCAGAGGACCCTAAACAGAAAATGGGACAGTATGTCAATTAGCCGCTTAAATGTTCTAATACGACGGTTTTTGGCATTAGGTAGTGAATACGTCTGAATGCGAGGTTCTATTAGGACAGGTTGAATTATTCATGCGGGAAACATCTTGGTGATGGTGATGGTGAGTAGAGTGACAATGACGTGCAGTGTTGGTGGTGGAGGCTGTGAGGTTCCCCTGTGGTGACCTGAACACAATTTACCACTCGTCAACACTGATGGATAAGTAGTGTATGCTTCTGCTATCTTATCACAGATTAAGGCTGCGACAGGCGAGCCCCGGGGCGCTCTCACCCATGTTGTAATCCCACCCATGTGTGGACATTAACACATCCTCATGTTTGAGTAGTCATTTACTGAGGAAATATGCCTTAGTGTACATAAGCCATACAGCCCCGCTCCTGTGCCAGGTAGGTCCACTACGGGTTCACCATAGCCCGTGCTACTTGTTACAGCCCCGCTCCTGTGCCAGGTAGGTCCACTACGGGCTCACCATAGCCCGTGCTACTTGTTACAGCCCCGCTCCTGTGCCAGGTAAGTCCACTACGGGCTCACCATAGCCCGTGCTGCTTGGAACTTTTGGTTCCCAGTAGCTGCATCTAAAGCAACAGCAACAGCCTTAGGTATACCCCTTCCCCTCGGGGGCAGGAAACTAGTTCATGGTTGTTGAAGTCCACAGGGTTACCCCATCCATTAACTGTCCAGATTTAACGGTTCCTAACCTGGTAGGTACTAACACAGCGACATATTGTCATTCGCCATACGTCAGTCTGTCGTTGGCATAATACACATGCACGCACACAGTCTTGTACACATGTTAAATTAACCACATATGGGTCTGTCTGTCTCCCATACATCTATCAATCTATCCATCGCCTATCCTTTCATATATCCATCCACCAATATATCCATTCATGTATCTATCCATCCATTTATTCATCCATCTATCCGTCCATCCATTTATCTATTCATTCATGTATGTGTGTATATATCCATCTATCTTTCTTATGTAAATGATGAGATTGCTCAGGTAAACGGCGGGAGTAAGTTTAAACTTTACAGAGATCCCCCAATTTAATTAAGGACTTTATGAAAGTCGCTTCAGGAAAGGGGTTACATTTAATTTTTTTAAGCATTTAATTTAGGTGTACCCCGAGCAGCCTATGTCCGTGCCCTAACCCAGATCACATCCCCCTGCAAATTTGGGTGAGGCTAACCCCAATCGTCTGGCTTCCAACTTTGCACAGACAGATAGACACTCTCTCTTATAGTACAGATATGTTTGTCACAAAGATATATATATATATATATATATATATATATATATATATATATATATATATATATATATATATATATATATATATATATATATATATATATATATATATATATATATATATATATATATATATATATATATATATATATATATATATATATATATATATATATATATATATATATATATATATATATATATATATATATATATATATATATATATATATATATATATATATATATAAGGATAAATGTTCTAGGAACTGTTGCTGAATCATCTTTACACACAAAGTAGTACTTCATTTATACGCTAAGGACAATTTAATTCTTAAATCACTACAAACAAATATATTTTCACATTTCATATGACCTACATATATATATATATATATATATATATATATATATATATATATATATATATATATATATATATATATATATATATATATATATATATATATATATATATATATATATATATATATATATATATATATATATATATATATATATATATATATATATATATATATATATATATATATGTTCTTTTTGTGTGCTAGCATCTCTTATCTAATATATCATTGGTTCTTTTCTGGTATATCTGACAAGACGATATACACTAATCAGTCAGTAAGTTGGTTACGTGATACCGACGTGGTTGGGCTGCCTGTTCATGGGTGTATACAAATGTTAAAATAGATGTTTAAACAACGAAAACAAAGGGTCGTGTTAAACGGGAATGTATCTGACTGGAGAAATGTGGTGAGTTGGGGTACCACAGGGGTCCATTTTGGGGCTAACCCGTATGTCAAATACATCAATAACATAGATGAGAATATTACAAAGCACATCATTAGATTTGCAGATGACACTTAAGATCTATTGCAAAGTTGGAAGTGAAAATGATATTGAGGCTTACAAAGAGATCTATATGAACTCCACAAATGGTCAGAAGACTGGCAAATGCTTTTTAATATCGATAAATGAAAGACCTTGCATGTGGGGTATAACAACTTATGCCACAACTACTAAATTAATAACACCACATTGCAGCAGATTGATGAAGAAGAGGACCTTGGAGTCGGAATCCATCATTCACTGAAAGTTGTACAATTGGGAGCGGAACTAAAAAAATAAAAGCTTTTCAAACCCTAGGAATAATCAAGCGTTAATCAAGTAACTTTAAGGAAAAGAAGGTAGTTATTCAATTGTATAAATCCCTGGTGCGCCCCCACCTGTATTATTGTATCCATACATGGAGACCTCATCTTCAGAAAGACAGCTGCGTTGGCGAAAGCTCAACACAGGGCAACAAAAATCATTCCAGAGCAAAGTCAACTCTCAAAACAGGAACGGTTGAGGGCCACAGGGCTAACAACACAACAAACCAGGCATGACAGGGCGGATCTCATCGAAACTTAAACTACTGAACAAATTGGAAGATGTTGATACGGACAATTTATTCAAAAGCTCAGATGTAACACAAACAAGGAGCAACGGTTTCAAGCTCAACAAGCCACAATGTAGGACTGAAAACAGGAGATGCTTTTCACTCACAGGGTTCTAAACCCATGGAACCTCCTACCCGCAGAAACCATAAATCCCAAAATAAGACAGGGAAAAAGATTGCTAGTTGACTGTATTTTCCTAAATTGTCAAAAAAGCATTTGACACGTCGTCATGAAAGCCTGGTATACAAGATGTAGACGCAGGCTGGGATAAATAATTGGGAAAATGCTGAACTGAGTAAGGGAGTACTTGAACGGCAAAAACAGTAACAGAGAGAATTCAATTTCTTTCTTTATTATGCACCCCATACCCATCCCCTGGGCGGTGGTGTAAAGGATTACAGAGGCAAGTTTCGAACAGGAGGAATGTAACGAGTGGGGTCCCAATGTATGTAATGTAGTGATGACAAGATTTGGTCATCGGACCGCTGGTGTTTCTAATTAATGTGAACGACCTACCCGAGGGAGTGAGCTAGTACATGTCAATGTTCGCAGATGACGCAAAGCTGATGATGAATGTGAAATCAGATGAGGCTTGCAGGAAGTTATATGAGGACCTTAACAAACTCCAGATGGCAAATAAGTGGTTACTGCAATTCAATCCCAACAAGTGCAAGATAATGAAGATGGGAAATTGAGAAAGAGACCAGGAAGTATCTACACCATAAGGGGAAGGCAACTACAGGAATCGGAAAGAGAGAAAGATTTGAAAGTGGATATAATTCCAACACTCACGCCAGAGGCACACGTAACAAGGTTACATTGGCAATATATGAGACGCTTGACACACATTATAAAAATCTTTTAGAAACCTAAATCAAGAGTCCTTCAAGGCAATTTACACAACATTTGTTAGACGAATACTGGACTATGCAGCACCGAAATGGAATAAGCAATTTGTGAGGCATAAAACCCAAATTGAAAAGCAGAAGTTTGCAACAAGATTGGTACCAGAGCTAAGAGGGTTAAGCTACGAGAAAAACTAACCCGCTAATGGAATTTCGCAATCCTAGAGAACAGAAGAAACAAATGAGAAATGATCACATTATGCAAGTTATTAAGAGGAATAAACAAGTTGGACAAGGGCAACATCTTTAAATTGAAAGTAAGACGAAAGGAGTGGAAGCTGGAAACGCAAATGAGCCGAAGAAATGTAAGGAAATACTCGTACTCTGCACGGGTTGACAAGTGCAATACACTGAAAAGTTGTGGAAGCCACCTCCATCCACAACTTTAAGGATAGATTCGACAAGGAATTAGAACATTAGGACTGTTAAATTACAATGCTACAGTTGCAGGCGATGAGTCACAATAACGTGGCTAAAGTATGATGACCAGACCACACACTAGACGGTGAAGGGACGACGACGTTTCGGTCCATCCTGGACCATTCTCAAGTCGATTGAGAATGGTCCAGGACGGACCGAAACGTCGTCGTCCCTTCACCTTCTAGTGTGTGGTCAATGCGACAGTCGCTAGTGTCAGAAGGTGGGGCGTAATTAAACAGCTAGACCTCACGCTCTCGTAGACACTGACAGGGAAGTACTGATATAGTCTCCACGAGATCCTACGTCACCTGTACTATCAGTGACAGCTGGCATTAGTTATCACTGTATTGCTCTAACCGGTTCCTGTATCATAATATTTGTCCAGCTAATATTCGTCTGTCACATACGAACATTAGCACATACAAATCACTGAGGCTATTTCTACATTGCCGTGTTAACTTCCATATGTAATTAATCACGGCTTTCGTTTTTTTATTCAAATTACTTTCAGATTTCATTTGAATTTGTTATACTATGTCATGGAATGCTTTTCAGAATCCTTTCTTAAGCCAAAACTGGGGATAGCAACCGAACCTGTGCTTTGGAAAGGTCATTTGTATATCCTAGTGCGTCGCGAATTCTTATTTGGGTTTGTACAATCAGCTGTCTGATGTTGTATAGGCTTTTACTGTGCATACTCCAGTTGTGCATTCCTCAATTGTGGATACACTAACTGGATACCAAACTATGGCCATTTAAATTTAAATATCTAGAGGTGCAGTTTTAAGGAGTCATATAAAGCATCAGTCAATTTTAGATGAAGATTTTTTTGTTTACCTGTCGCAAACTTATTTATTTATGTTGTCATTGACACAAAAGCATGTTAGCTGCCATACTTAGTGTAACGTTGATCTTTCCCCTGCCTCTTACAGCTGTGTTGGGGACTCGAGTCTGAAGACTGGTCTGCGTAGCGGCGTCAGCAAGGGGAACCAATAAGAAGCAGCCTCAGGACACAGGTCCGTGGAGCGGCGGCAGCAGCAAGGCGTCAGGAGACAGGTCAGAGGAGAGGAGGAAACAGCAGGGAGCAGTGTTCGGAGACAGGTTTGTGGAGAGGCGTCAGCAGGAGTCAGAAGCAGGCGTCCGTTAACACTACTGCTGAGGTGTCAGCGTGAGGGAAGATGTCAGCGTGAGGGAGGGGGACTTGTCAGGCTCTGGCAGCGTGGGAGCCTCCTCACACTGGCCTCACTTTTCCCGCGGGAGCCGCTGTTATGGACAGCTTTCGGAGTCCCCAGGTGTGTACTCGCTTTTTATTTGTATTTATTTGCAGTGAGTTTGCTCTAACTCCTGGACCTCACCTCTTACCCGTTAATAAACTACTGTGATGCCTCCCAAATCTCACGGTTTTGTCCATATTTAAATCATCACTATTTCAGAGGAAACAGGTGGGCAAAGGTTAAATGGAACCAACTCAGAGCTGGAAGCCATTGCTAGTGGAGTGCCCTAGGTCTCTGCCCTGGGATCTCTGTTGTTTAACATAAATATTCCTGATTTAGACACAAGATTCAAAAGCAAAATTAACAAATTTGCAGATGACATCAAAATAGAGCGGGGAAATAAAATCAGAAGAATATACAGATGCAGTTTAGCTGAATTGTATTTATTTATGAATACACAAGAATGTTTGGGTTTATCAGAGTACATTGATGTTTTTACATTCTTGTAAAGCCACTAACTCGCATAGCGTTTCGGGGCAGGTTCTTAATCCTATAGATGGCTGAGAAACGGTGTTCGAAGCCTAGGACATTATAATATTGCAAGATATCATTTGGACAATTTGAAAATTGACGAACTTTAACAAAAATAGTGATCTGATTGTCATAACTAGAAGTGATCTAAATCAGTTAAATCATTAACATTTAATGGCATAATGTTTCAATTATTTCACTTAGAGTATTGTTGAAATCCTGTCGCAAATCTTGGCTAACTGTACCAGTCTGTACTCACGTCATCTTGGGTATAATTGGGTTTATATATATATATATATATATATATATATATATATATATATATATATATATATATATATATATATATATATATATATATATATATATATATATATATATATATATATATATATATATATATATATATATATATATATATATATATATATATATATATATATATATATATATATATATATATATATATATATATATATATATATATATATATATATATATATATATATATATATATATATATATCTGAGGTGAGGCCACCTTCTGAGGTGGCCTCACCTCAGAAGGCTGACAAACGAAGGTCTGGACCTTCGTTTATAACTGCTGTTATTAGGCTATTGTGTCTACTCCCTCATCATTTTGCCTTACTCAGGAAACATTACCAATATCATGTCACATTATCATAAAACAAAATTGTAAACACAATAATTCTGAATAATATGTTAATACAAGAAGCTCTGAATTGCAGTAGTAGTAATAGAGTAATAACACTAATAGGCCCACTCTAAAAAAATCCATAGGCAAGCCATACAAGACTAATTTATCCACACTTTTGTCACCTGTTGTGTAAAACTGTTGACTGTGTAATGTTGACTGCAGGAAACAGTGATCAATAACGTCAACGGTGTTTACACTTGCTACAGGACACAGCGGCGTTGCTGGATGTGGCTTATGTCATCCGCTTCGGTCACTTCCCCAGCGATGACGGCCCTCATAACGGACTCAAGACCTCACACCTGACTACCTCACATCCGCTTCTAGAGACTACCGACATTTCTCCCTCCCCTGTGCACAGTATTGCCAGTGATGATAACAACCCTTTCTCTGATGAGAGTCTCTTTATCGAGGATCAGAATCCATTTACTGATGAGCCAAACTCCTCAGTCGATGATACAAATCCCTTTACGGAGGACGATAGTCAGGCTTCCCCCACCAGAGAGTCAAGTCCCAAACCTGACGATGATTACCCGCCGCAAACGTCACCGGCAAGAGAGAGGAGTAGCCCCATGTCAGCTAGCGCCTCCCCGTCCACACCGCCATCGCCAGCCACCCCCACCTTCCCCACACCTCCATCGCCAGCCACCCCCACCACCCCCACACCTCCAGCAGGAGCGTCTAGGACGCTGGAGATCAGCGGCGTCTCCCGAGCCCATGTCATGGAGGTCATCACTCAGGCGTTCAACGTGACCCGTCTGGACCTTCGACGCTTGGTGGAGGACATTGGTAATAGCAAGGTTAGTTGTGCTGTGAATGAATCGCTGTGATGAGGGTTCGAACTTAGGTCTAGGATGATCCCAGACGCACCTTAATCGACTGCGCCACGACACGGTGAAGAGAATTGCAACCGGGAGTGCTACTGCTCTTACACGGATCCCGCAGTCTCTCCGAGACACAAACCGGAGTTTTACACAATTCCCCCCATGCACTCGGGCTCTGTCAACAAGCTGAGTCCATCACCCAAGATCAGCTGTGTCTCGGAGAGACTGCGGGATCCGTGTGAGGGTAGTAGCACTCCCGGTTGCAATTCTTTTCACCATGTCGTGGCGCAGTCGATTAAGGCGCGTCTGGGATCATCCTGGACGTAAGTTCGAACCCTCATCACGGCCCTTGAGATTTATTCATTTGATATATCACGCTGTTGTGATTTCTGTGTTTATTAGTTGTGCTGTATTCACTTGCTATAGTCAACACAGGATATATATTTTAGCAGGTAATTTCTTTTTAATCCAGAGTGGCACATGATTGCTCTGAAGTAATATATTCTGGCGATCAGTTTCGTAACACAAAAAATATATCTATAGATACTATTTACGGGGTTGGATAACTTTCGACTAGATTACGCGCGCTTTATGAATACACAGCCTTTAGATATTATCTTAGCATTTTTTTGCTATGTTATTATGGACCCCCATGTCCATCGTGTGGGCAGTAGCAGTTAGTTTATAGACAGATAAGGAAAGTGACAGTCACACGAAGGTGCTCCCATCAGATATATAATCGCTAGGCACCTGTCAGGCTTGACAACCTGTGTGGTAAGGAGGCGCCTTACATTATTACCTTTGTGATTACTTATCAGACCCGCAAGTGGGGCTCTGAGGCCATCACCCAAGATCAGCTGATGGCAACCCCTGTGACTGTGTATCAGCTGGGATTGTGTGTCAGCTGGGATTGTGTGCCAGCCAGCTGGGATTGTGAGCCAGCTGGGATTGTGTGCCAGCTGGGATTGTGTGCCAGCTGGGATTGTGTGCCAGCTGGGATTGTGTGCCAGCTGGGATTGTGAGCCAGCTGGGATTGTGTGCCAGCTGGGATTGTGTGCCAGCTGGGATTGTGTGCCAGCTGGGATTGTGTGCCAGCTGGGATTGTGAGCCAGCTGGGTTTGTGTGCCAGCTGGGATTGTGTGCCAGCTGGGATTGTGTGCCAGCTGGGATTCTGTACCTGATGTGATTGTGTACTCTACCACCCCATTCCTTTTTCATCAGCATACAATTTCTTCATGTACCTCATCTTTTACTGATGGTCTCAACTCGTCAATCGAGGTCTTGGCTGACATGCTATTTTGCACTCTTCTCAACGCCATCAAGTCCTATCACGTTCACATCACCACTTCTTTCATTATTACTGCTTTCATCACTTCTTCTCATTAGACGTTGAAGGTACTCTCTCCTCCACTTGTAGTCTCCTGTTCACCATTTAACACTGCACCATCTCTATTGACCCGTCTATCAGTCTCCCTCCTGCACTTCTTTCTTTTCAAAATAGCTTTCTGTTTTCTGAATTATTTTTTTAATTTGTTCTCACTATCTCCCTATTCTCTCTCTTTTTGTTCTACTTAACTAATCATTTCACATGCCTTTTGCTCTTTTTATACCTTCTGTTTTTTCTTTCGTTCACTTTCTGTCAATAAAAATGCACTACTTTATCTTATCGTGAAGAATTCGTGCCACTTAACCTCCTCCAAGTTGTTCCTCACATTCCCTGTGTGGAACTGTTCACTTGGTGTTCTTCACTGAACATTTCTTGTATACGTCTCACGTGGAACTTCATATGTTCAGAGCCTCTTTCTCCAAGATCACTATCACTTTCGTCTATGTTGTTATTCATCTACCGGTTCTCTTCCAGTCAACTGTTATTCTTTCACCTTTCGTATCCTTGTAAGATACGATCAAACTCATCCTATACGATCCAATCCAAATACATCCAATACGATCCATCCAAACTTACCATCATTTTTACCATCCAAACCATCATCATACGATCGTATGAAAGCATGAAACATACGATCAAACTTGTAAGAAACTCAGTGAACACAGCAGTAAAATGTAATCAGACGAACCTCCCAGAATTGTTCTCTCTCAATCCCTGACCGTCCAAGTGGTTGGGCACCATTCCTTCCCTCCCCGCGTCCCATCCTAAATCCTTATCCTGACCCCTTCCCAGTGCTATATAGTCGTAATGGCTTGACGCTTTCCCCTGATTGTCCCAGGGCAGACCACCATGCCATCATCATCATCATGGGAGACCATTATAAAGGGGAGACCATTATTATCGCCCTACCCTCCCTTAGGGCCATAATAATAATAATAATAATAATAATAATAATAATAATAATAATAATAATTAATTATTATTATTAAATATAAAAATAATAATTATTATTATTATATTTATAAATAATACAATTTATTATTATTTGCAAGAGATAGAGCGGAGAAAATTATTATTAACAAATATAGATAATGTGTCAAAGTGAAATAAAGTTTTGCTGAGCCCTTCAATACAGGCCACGTTTCGGGCCAGTATAAAAACCTTATTGTTAACATTGTTTAAAGGTTAAAAACCTTATTGTTAACATTGTTTAAAGGTTAAAAACCTTATTGTTAACATTGTATAAGGGTTAAAAAAAACTTATTGTTAACATTGTTTAAATTCAAATTATTATGAATTATAAGATTTGTACAAATGAGCGTGACGCTTGAAAGCAATATCCCAGCACGGCTTGTACAGATATATCTGGCTACACTGCTTTTCGTTAAATGCACTCCAACCACTTGCACTGTCGGTACAGTGGCGACCTAACTTCCTGCAGGCCAACATTCGATTCCCACTGGTCCAAGTAGGTGGGTGTCGTTTCTCCATTCCACCCCCCCATACCCCCTATTTTATCCCTATGCAATAATGAGGGTCCCGGTTGTACAGTTGGGTTCTTTCTCGACTCACAATCGAGATTTCCGGGTTCGAATCCCGGGAGGGACAGAAATCGATGGGGACATTTCCTTTCACCTTATGCATCTGTTCACCTAGCAGTGAGTAGGTACTCAGGAGTTAGTCAACTTGTTGTGGGGTTGTCTCCTGGGCGGGGTCAGTAATGCGGCCTTGGAGGGGGGGGGGATATTCATACTTCATATGAATATGAATATTCATATGAAGTATGAATATTCATATTCATACTTCAGAGTGTATGAATACACTCTGGCTGCCTGTCCCCCGACACTAATGAATTATGAACATTATTAAATCTAGTCATACTGACTTTGCACTTTTCCTTCATAATGTCTTTTCCTTGCTACAGTGAGGACTAGGCTAGAGCGTACTGTACATATTGGCTTAAATACTGATGACTTGTGTTGTCCATATAGAATCGAGAATAAGGTTTACCACGGAGAAGTGTTATATGTGTGTGTGTGTAGCGACGTGACCGTTACCAACCATGTTATAACCTTGAGTGTTTACAGTATGGCATCATGGATCACGTGTAATGTGCTCCCGCAGGAGGTGCCGGCGGTGGAACTGATGCTGGAGGAGATAAGAACGGAAGGCCTCGCCCTGGAGCACACTACAGGTAAGTATTCTGGCTGTGTTGGTGGTGGTGTGTTCTCAACCCAACGGCTGCTGTACCTAGTGGCTGTACTAACACACTAACACCTAGTGTTAGTGTGTTGCTGTACCCAGCTGTTGTTGTCTTGCTGTACCTAACTGCTGTTGGTGCTCTGCTGTACTCAAATTTAAATTTTTAAAATTTTGCCCCGAGGGGCGAGTTTATTGGGCAGCGCCACTCATCTTGGTAGTGGATATACCGCCATAGCAGCATGTACAACACTCCCCAATAGGAAGAAAACCCGCTGGGTTGTTCATCCTGTCACTTGTACCCAGACACAGCTGGGACTTGCTTAACTGTCTCAAGTGAACAGCTCCTCAAACAAGAATATTAACATCTATCAACCCTTAAAAGCTTACGTACTCAATTAGTGATGTGTTCATGTACAGTTAAATTTGTATGTTTTACTATGTCCATTAACATTTGCACTTCCCTATATTATTTAGCAGGGTCGATATTCAGCTCCTGGTCCCAATTTTTCTAGCTGTCGGTCATCTGAAAGGCTGAGACCTTTCTACATTTTATCGGTACAAGTGCACTTGATAAATGCTTCCTCAAGTTCCCGCGACTCATCTCAGTACCCAGTGTTCTTCAGTGTTCTTGCCACACGTATAAATGGAAGCTCTGATACCGTTTGTGAATGGAGTACCGCAAGGTTCTATTTTAGGGTCAATGTTTTTTTTCGTAACAGACATCAACGCCCTATATGGCAACACTTCGAGTTAACAGACAACACGACAATCTACGGGAAGTTGGGAAATGAAAACGATAATGATGCAATGCAAGACGATCAACGTCACGTCTAAAAATATTTGAAAATGAACAAATGTTCTTCATTATTTAAAATGCAAGACATTACGAATATGGCATAACAATATAGACCATAATAACCGCATCAAAAACACGACCATAGATTTAATAAAAAAAATCTCTTAATCACTGAAACCTGCTCAGCAAGATTTGAGTTACGATAAAAAAAAAGCCAATCAAACTTTAACTTTAAGTTAGACAGAGTGGCTACTGAGGTGTACAAATGTGGCCCCTCTCCATCTGGACTATGTCTAAGCATGCAGACCGCACCTTCTAAAAACATAACTAGTGGAAAGTATTTTCACGCACAGCGACAAAAATAATTCCAAGACTAAATCAACTCTCACCAGGAACGACTGAGGGTCTCAGAACTAAGAACACTTCTGACCAGAGGGCAGCAGCTCCAGGTGTAACAAGCCGATTGATTGATTGATTGATGAAGATTAAACCACCCAAGAGGTGGCACGGGCATGAATAGCCCTTAGCAAATAGTCACAGTGTGGGACGGGAAACAGATGTCTTTACCCACTGGGCAATAAACCCACACAATCACCTACCCGCCGAAACCTAAATGCTGAAGACAGTAATCTAATTCAAAATATAGCCATACAAATCCTCAGGAAATATGGGGGAGCTTGAACAACCCGCCGGCTTCCTGTCCCTAACTAGGTGCCACTAAATGTAAAAAGCACTCTATACGGGGAATAGGAGCTAGGATATGTATGGGGACAAGGAGCTAGGATATGAAGATAGTGTGAATGAATGAAAGCTGATATTAATAAAGTTTTCGACTGGGCATCAGAAAATAACATGATGTTTAACAGTGATAAATTCCAGGTACTCAGGTACGGTAAAAATGAGGACCTTAAACATAATACAGAGTACAAAACACAATCAAATGTACCCATAGTAGGAAAACAGCATGTAAAGGATTTGGGAATAATAATGTCGGACGACCTAACGTTTAAGGAGCATAACCAAGCAAATATTGCGACAGCCAGAAAAATGATAGGATGGATTACGAGAACTTTCAAATCCAGGGATCCCATCACAATGGTTGTAGTCTTCAAGGCACTTGTGTTGTCCCGTCTTGAGTACTGCTCAGTACTCACTTCCCCCTTCAAAGCAGGAGAGATTGCTGAAATAGAGGGAATACAGAGAACATATACGGCACGCATAGACGCAATAAAGCACCTAAATTATTGGGATCGTCTCAAAGCCCTCCAAATGTACTCACTAGAAAGAAGACGAGAGAGATATCAAATAATATACACCTGGAAGATACTGGAGGGCCAAGTACCAAATCTACACAGTAAAATAACAACGTACTGGAGTGAACGACATGGAAGAAAATGTAGAATAGAACCAATGAAGAGCAGAGGTGCCATAGGCACAATCAGAGAACACTGTATAAACATCAGAGGTCCGCGGTTGTTCAACGTCCTCCCAGCAAGCATAAGAAATATTGCCGGAACAACCGTGGACATTTTCAAGAGGAAACTAGATTTATTCCTCCAAGGAGTGCCGGACCAACCGGGCTGTGGTGGGTATGTGGGCCTGCGGGCCGCTCCAAGCAACAGCCTGGTGGACCAAACTCTCACAAGTCGAGCCTGGCCTCGGGCCGGGCTTGGGGAGTAGAAGAACTCCCAGAACCCCATCAACCAGGTAACCAGGTATCAACCAGGAATGGTGCACAACCACCTGGACCCCTTGGAATGACGGCCCTTAGGTAAATTCAGGCAAATATTATCCACGACCTAAGTATCTTGTATGTTTCAGCCATGTCACCTCTAATTTTCCTTTCTCCCAGAAATGTTAAGCCCTCCCAGCCTATATTCATGCCTAAGTTCAATCACTTCTGGGACTAATCTTGTTCAAAACAACAAGTTTGCTTCATGTTTTAATTGATGTGTCATAAGATGAGGACTCCAGCCTGGCCATGCTAATTTTTGAGCTGTTGTTTCATTCTTCAGGCTCTTAAATGTTTCACAGGTTCTCATACACCGCTGATATTATTCTCTTTACATTTACCTTCCTACTATTTTTGATTTACCCGGTAGTGCTTTTTCAGGGTTGATACAGTCAGATACTTAGACAAGAAACAATTTTAAATCGAGTATTTGGCTGAAGAACAGTTCATTTAATATGTGAAAGGCAAGATTACTCAGTCGGGCCTACTTCAAGTTCAAGTATGTTTATTGAGATAAGCAAGAAATACATCTCAAAGGGATAGAGTAGCTTAGGCTATTTCTACCCCCTACTTGGGCCTACTAATGTCTTCCAGGAGCAACAGTAGATTTAATTATTTAAAATACATAATAAAAAATAAATAAAGGAGAGAACGTAATATCAAAATATTCTAATAATAAAAATGGGAATGGGGTGAGGTAAATATATATTAATTTATTGTCCCCGTGGCGCAGTGGTAAGACACTCGCCCGGCGCTTCGCGAGCGCTTTGGCCTGGGTTTGTATCCTGGCCGGGGAGGATTAACTGGGCGCCAATCCTTAACTGTAGCCTCTGTTCACCCGGCAGTAAATGGGTATCTGGTTAAACGATTTAGCGGGTCGTATTCCGGGGAAAATTAGGATTAAGGACCTGCCTGAAACGTTATGTATTCTAGTGGCTTACAAGAATGTAATAGCTCTTGTTTATATAAGTAAAATAAAATAAAATATAAATTATTATGCAAAATGAAAACATGAGTGCAATATTTGTTTACGTTTTCCCCAAGCAGACAGTCCCTCACCACCAGTGGTGTTCGTGCGAGCTGTGATGGGAGGCGAGGGGCGCTTCACCACCTTCAGCAGCACCTCCGCCACCAAGGTCACCCACAACACTCTCACAATGTACGTGTTATCAACTGGTGCCGGCAACACGTCCACAACCTGTCCTCTTAAAAAGAACGTCGCTTTTGGCCGTTTGCCCGAATATGGACGTAATTTGAAAGTGAAAAAAAAAAATGAATATAAATTTGGGATTTTTTTTTCAACAACAGTAAGTTAAGGGTCCTCTGGTAGGTTAGGTGGGCAGGAAATTCTCATAAAGTTTCAAAACGTTATGAAAAACGTTAATGGAAAGAATCCTCTTCAAAGCTTACCGAGTAAGCCGGACGACTCAAACAGAAAACGAACAGTACGTCACTTTTGTGAGTCGATTTCATTTCAAATTACGTCCAAATTTGGCCATAGTGCGCATACCAGCGAAAAGCGACGTTATTTTTAAGAGGACGGGTTGTTGGCGCAGTCCATCCTCGTCTTGCGAGCGGTGGCGCAAAATTATTTCAGAGAGAACAACGTTCTTGCTCAGACCCCACAGGGTAGACTCTGATAATGTTAGATAATACTTATTTATATATGAATACACACTCCTTATTTGATTTATCTATTTCATACAATATAATGGGTGCATAATAAGTCCTGTAATAGAGTAGTCTACGTCCTCGACTCATAACTAATTGACCTGGGTTCAGTCTGTTGTGATTCTATTATTTGACATGTGATAAATGAATGTTCGCGGAAAATGTTCCGCTTATTACCCAAAGACATAAAGGAAAAGTTGAATTACTGTTTTGTGACCAACTTTGGTTCATTTACTAAACTTTGATCAGTATTAATATGGTGACATGACTTGCAGGGGCGTGAAGAACATGTACACAGAGACGCTGCTGCTTGAGGTCTGGTGAGTACAAACTCCTCTTACTCTTAGTGAGTACAAACTCCTCTTACTCTTAGTGAGTACAAACTCCTCTTACTCTTAGTGAGTACAAACTCCTCTTACTCTTAGTGAGTACAAACTCCTCTTACTCTTAGTGAGTACAAACTCCTCTTACTCTTAGTGAGTACAAACTCCTCTTACTCTTAGTGAGTACAAACTCCTCTTACTCTTAGTGAGTACAAACTCCTCTTACTCTTAGTGAGTACAAACTCCTCTTACTCTTAGTGAGTACAAACTCCTCTTACTCTTAGTGAGTACAAACTCCTCTTACTCTTAATGAGTACAAATTCCTCTTACATTGAGCACGGACTCCTCCAACTGTCAGTGAGTACAACTTCTCCCTCACTCTTACCATATTTACGTTCTCTGACTATGCTATCAAGTATGATAGCCTTAGCATCTTCTTAAATGAAACCAATAAACAGTTTTTACTCTCCTCTCTCACCTGTACATCTATAGCATCACACATTGACAAAGATTGGCAGTAGGTTAATTACTCATTTTGTATGTCCATCTCTTCGAGAATATTCGGAAGACCTGGCTTGTATGTGCATCCCCCCCCCCCGGTACCCGGTATATGCAGAAGCCCTGACTTGATATGCAGGCGATAAGTCACAATAACGTGGCTGAAGTATGTTGACCAGACCACACACTAGAAGGTGAAGGGACGACGACGTTTTGGTCCGTCTTGCACCATTCTCAAGTCGATTGTGAGAATGGTCCAGGACGGACCGAAACGTCACGGTCCCTTCACCTTCTAGTGTGTGGTCTGGTCAACATACCCCTGACTTGATCATTGCTAAGTTAGTGGACATGTTGTGTTGTTACGGTGGTGACCAGGACAAGGCATAAGGAGTGTGGCGTGTTACAGGAAGGCTGGGATCCCGGCCGTGGTGGAGGAGGCCCAGACCAGCCCCGTTATGGACATCCTCGGTCGCCTCATCATCAAAAGCATCAGGAACAGGAGAGATAAAGCCAACGCTTCGGCTTCCTCCAGGTAAGTTCCCACAGTTGTTAAACCAACATGTTCTTAAGATGCCTTAAGTAGGTACCAAGCACTTATTTACTAATATCCATATTGGGTGGGGTTATATGGGCAACATGTTCATACAAATCAGGTGCATAAATTCATGTTCAACTGCACAATACTTGGAATTTCTTTAAATAATAACTGGTTTTAGCCGAAATTTGCCCGAAATACTATGCGTATTAGTGGTTTTAGGTACTGTATGTACTAGCTCTATCTATAAATCCAACATTATGTTTGTAACTCATCTTCTATATATGTACTTTTACCTAAATTTGAATTTGAATTTGGTGAAGATATGGCCGGTACACGGTGAGAAGGTGAGGTCCAGGTCTAAGGTGTAGAGATGTGTGAGAATATTACAGGGCAACGGTCAAGTGACATATAATGAACCTGAAGTGTAATGTTAACATTTAGCAGAATGGGAGTTAGGTGTAGGAGAGGGGGAACTGGAGACTGTTAATGATGGAGGAGATGGTGGGAGTGTTGGGGTGGGGAAGTGTTGGGGGAGATGGTGGGAGTGTTGGAGGAGATGGCGGGAGTGTTGGGGGAGATGGCGGGAGTGTTGGGGAGATGGCGGGAGAGTTGGGGGAGATGGTGGGAGAGTTGGGGGAGATGGCGGGAGTGTTGGGGGAGATGGCGGGAGAGTTGAGGGAGATGGTGGGAGTGTTGGGGGAGATGGCGGGAGTGTTGGGGGAGATGGCGGGAGAGTTGGGGGAGATGGTGGGAGAGTTGGGGGAGATGGTGGGAGAGTTGGGGGAGATGGCGGGAGTGTTGGGGGAGATGGCGGGAGAGTTGGGGGAGATGGTGGGAGAGTTGGGGGAGATGGCGGGAGTGTTGGGGGAGATGGCGGGAGAGTTGGGGGAGATGGCGGGAAAGTTGGGGGAGATGGTGGGAGAGTTGGGGGAGATGGTGGGAGAGTTGGGGGAGATGGCGGGAGTGTTGGGGGAGATGGCGGGAGTGTTGGGGGAGATGGCGGGAGAGTTGGGGGAGATGGTGGGAGAGTTGGGGGAGATGACGGGAGTGTTGGGGGAGATGGTGGGAGAGTTGGGGGAGATGGCGGGAGTGTTGGGGGAGATGGCGGGAGTGTTGGGGGAGATGGCGGGAGAGTTGGGGGAGATGGTGGGAGAGTTGGGGGAGATGACGGGAGTGTTGGGGAGATGGCGGGAGTGTTGGGGGAGATGGTGGGAGAGTTGGGGAGATGGTGGGAGAGTTGGGGGAGATGACGGGAGTGTTGGGGAGATGGCGGGAGTGTTGGGGAGATGGCGGGAGTGTTGGGGAGATGGTGGGAGTGTTGGGGGAGATGGCGGGAGTGTTGGGGGAGATGGCGGGAGTGTTGGGGAGATGGCGGGAGTGTTGGGGAGATGGTGGGAGTGTTGGGGGAGATGGTGGAAGTGTTGGGGGAGATGGTGGGAGTGTTGGGGAGATGGCGAGAGTGTTGGGGAGATGGCGGGAGTGTTGGAGGAGTTGAGGAGTGTGCGAGGAGCGTGATCACGTGCACTGTCCTGGGAAATGTCAGCCAAGCTAGTGACTGTCATCACGGTGAGGGACGGGGGAGGGAAGGGGGGGGGGTCACGTGTTGTGTATACACACTGACAGTACTGGAGATAAAACAAGAACATTGTTAAATAATATTTGCATTTATTATAGTTTATCTTTTTTCTTAAATTATTTGATATCTTATTTCCTAAACCTTGGCGTCACAGATGGCGGCTCACGTGAGCAGTTCAGTACTGAGCAGAAGGAGGCATCAACTCAACTATCAGGGGAAAGCGCCAAGCCATTATGACTATATAGCACTGGGAAGGGGTCAAGATAACGATTTGGGATGGGACGGGGGGGAAGAAATGGTGCCCAACCACTAGGACGGTCGGGAACTGAACGCCGACCTGCATGACGGGAGGCCATCGCTCTATACCGTCCAGCCCAAGTGGTTGGGCAGGGAGACACTGCTCCGTCCTTCCTTCTCCTCACACAAGCAAACCTTGCAGGTTTTCTCCGACTAATTACTGGCAACGTTATGAACGCTCCTAAGGAGAAACTTACTACAATGCCGTAGGCACACACGCAGATCACACTAACGTGATGCATCAAATCCTTGTGGATTTGTTCAATTGATGCATCACGTTAGTGTGATCTGTGTGTGTAATGATGTTAGGGCGAAGAGGGAGAACGGCCTATTGACATAGCTCGGGTGCAAGGGGGGGAGGGGGAGTTGTGTAAAATCCTGGCTTGTGCCTCGGAGAGGCTGCAGGATCCAGTAAGTTCAGTAGAACTTCGGTTTCAACTCTTTTACCCTGTCGTAGCTCAGTCGATTAAGGCAGTGTCTGGGATGCTCCCGGACGCAGGTACGAATCCTCGTCACGGCCCTTGTGGATTTGTTCAATGCCGTAATGCTTGGATCAAGGTGAAGGACAGACCCAGTATATGGGGGCCTGACGGCTGAGTGGGCAGCGCTGGGCATTCGTAGTCCTAAGGTTCCGGATTCGATCCCCGGCGGAGGCGGAAGCAAATGGGCAGTTTCTTTCATCCTGATGTTCCTGTTCACCTAGCGGTATATAGGTGCCTGGTAGTTAGACAGCTGCTACGGGCTGCTTCCTTTGGATGTGTAACAAAAAGGAGGCCTAGTCGAGGACCGGGCCGCAGGGACGCTAAGCCCCGGAATCATCTCAAGATAACCTCAAGATATGTGTAATTGTATTAGAAACCAAATTTTCGGATGTACCCTACACCCTTTCACTAAAAACTGTACACAGCACCTTGAGGAAGGATGTAGGTTATATACGAAAATTTGGTTTCTAATACACTTACACATATATTGGGTCTTTCCATCACCTTCAACTTTCCTATTATAATGCAAGCGATGAGTCACAATAACGTGGCTGAAGAATGTGGACCAGACCACACACTAGAAGGTGAAGGGACGACGACGTTTCGCTCCGTCCTGGACCATTCTCAAGTCTCAAAATCGACTTGAGAATGGTCCAGGACGGACCGAAACGTCGTCGTCCCTTCACCTTCTAGTGTGTGGTCTGGTTAACTTCCTATCATAATAATCCGAACACGATTTCTATTCTAATTTTAATTTTTTTTTAAATTTTGCCCCGAGGGGCGAGTTTATTGGGCAGCGCCACTCATCTTGTGAGTGGACACACCGCCATAGCAGCATGTACAACACTCCCCAATAGGAAGAAAACCCGCTGGGTTGTTCATTAATTCACACGCCACAGGATCGTGCAGGTCTGGCCTTTGCCAAAGCTGAGAATATTAGTTCAGATTATTACATTGCACTAATTTGCAATGCTATTTACATTACTTCTTTGCGGGATCAATAAATTAGGTGATTTCGCCTCATCACAAATTCAATGCAAGCTGAGAAAAATAGTAAAATAATGATATTCAGTAACACAAAAGGGAAAAAATTTGACATTATTCCAGAACACATTTAGCTACAGAAATATATTTATACCGACTTTTCCCTTAAATTAAAGGCCGTAATTAATCATAATTTACTCATATGAGTATTTCAAATGATGGTACTGTATTTGTGTTCTGATATTTTTTGTTATAATGTCAAATTTTGTCCCTTTTGTGTTATTGAATATAATTTTGTACTTTGTAATAAACATTAAATGAATGATATCATTAAATATTATTTAAAGAGGTGTATAATAACTGATTATAAGGCTTAATGTATATATGATGTGTATACCACAGAGTCTCAGATGAGAGCGCCGCCAGCACAGAGCCGGACCAGAAGGGTCAGTCATCTGATGTGGCAGCTGATGAGAGAAGCGTCGTTCAGGAGGACGAGGTCGACCACTCAGATGACACGCCTATCATCAATGTGTCACTCTGGGAGAACAGGCACCAATCAGATCCCTTACAACCACCACACCACGACTCAACCAAAACCGCAAAGCACAAAGTTGCTCCAAGAATCGTGCAAGTCAAAATAAAGAAGACAGTTGTTAGTACTGAGAGTGCGCCCCTTCACAACGACAGTACAGACAGCAAAGGCTTTGGTAGTGGACAACTTTTAAATGGGGACGAAGTTGACTTGGAGGGAAGTGAAAGCCATACTCTTGACATATCAGATACTATTTCAATCAATTCAGAACTGAGCCCAGACACCATGATGACAAGTACTCCAAGAGGCAGGTCCGCCAGTGTCCAGAACCTTGACCTGCCTCGCACCAGCGACAAGGCGAACGAGAGAAACAAACTGCATAAAGGCGGCTTTAAAATGAGTGCGAGTAACTTTAGGGCGTCATTACGCTCCAGTATCAGAAAGCTGAATCATAATAGTTCTTTAGATTCAAAAGATCTACAAAATAAGCCTCCTTTGAGATCCAAGACAAGTGATGCCTCATCTACTGATAATGGAGAGTCAGGTAATTACAGTCAATGCAAAGACGGTCAAGATTCACCCACGAGAGAAAAAGAAAATCTGGATAAAAACTCATCTCAAATAACAAAAGAAAATGTAAATAATAATCTAGACCGCGAGAGGTCAAGGAGTACATTAAGCGTCACATCCTTCTCTAAGATCAATTTTGGCATACGAAAGTCATCACAAAAAGCTACAGAAATATTCAGAAGAATTGGAAGCAAACGCGATAAAAAGTGTGTGAGTGAGACATCCACTCCTGAGCTTCGAAGACAGCAGTTGCCAAGTGATAATATATCAATATCAAGTTTCCAGATGGAGAGTGTCCATGAAGGGGATCACACTAACGGCTCACTCACGCCAGATAACACCATTAATACTGACCAATCACAGCTACACACTAAGGACGCTGCTGCACACGGCTCACCAATGATTACTTGTTACATGAGAAAGTCTTTTAAAAAAAAGTTTTCCACACCAAGAACTTTAAGAGCATTCAGAAGTTTGAGAGACAAAGGAAATACTAAGAAACAGAGCGACCCCAAATACAACAGAGAAGGCTATACAACCGATAAACTTGATGAAAGTGACAAGTCCTTGGAAGCCCCACTAAATCCTCCAGAAATACAGACTTATCTGTCAGGCATTGGCAAAGGTCACCTCAAGGCTGAACGTCTGGCGCACGTCAGCGTCCCAGTTAAGGTAAGGAAGGAAAGATACATTGGTTCCTATTGGTATTATACATTACATTTGAATATCTCTTTAATACTTCAGGTTACATACACTTTTCTTTTAAACATTATAATTTCATTTTTAAGAGTCTAATAGGTACATGGAGAAAGGAAGGCTGGTTGCCTCTGATTCTTAACCAAGATAAAGACAACTCAGTTCAGGGCCAGAAGAAGAAGTCTAGCAAGGTGGATGGGAACGGTACATCGAAGACGGTCAAGAAGGAGGCTAGAATGGCTTGTAAGATTCACATCCGCCTGACACTACTCCCGCCGGACTCTGACCTCACCACCACCAGCTATGACACCTACAGTGCCACTCTTCGCAAGCTGATTGATGTGCACGTCCAAACCCTGGTAAGGGAACCCTTGGTAAGTCCAATCCCTAGTAATCCAAACTGGTATGTCCAATCCCTGGTATGTCCAAACCCTGGTATGTCCAATCCCTGGTATGTCCAAACCCTGGTATGTCCAAAGCCTGGTATGTCCAAATCCTGTGTAGTAGAACAAGATTGCCTAGAGACCAAGCAATCATCGTAACGAAGGAGTTCTTAGTGAGATAAAGACACGGAGAATATAAACAGATATATACATAATTATTTATGGTTTCTGAGCTTTCTTGAAGACCAGTAACTTCATACAATGCACATATATACGACGTTGACGAAATGATAATTTGTACCCGCTTAACAGCACCCTTCCTCTCCCATATAGCATGATATTCCCTTTACAGGACACGTTGGACCAATATAAGGGTAGTGTAGGAGTGGTGGGAGATGTTCTCCTGCAGCAACTGGTGTTCTTCTCCCGGGTGTCTGAGCCACACCGGACACTGGCCAGATGGCTGGTGATGGTCGAGATCAAGCCCTCGGACCCCGGCCTCCTGCTGCCTCTCCTCCAAGCCATTAGGACTCACCTGGAGGCTGGCCTCTACCTCACCACACAGGTACACCATCACCAAATGTTATCTTTTATCTAAATTCTAAAAGTCAAATTTGATCAGGCTTTGTTGCATTTCCTCATTGCTTCATGCAACATTTTGCCAAACCGTCTAACATGGAAGTAATATGCTTTTAGCGAAGAGTTATGTGCTTCAAATTTTATAGTACATTGTTACACCTTGGATTATGCATTACACTTCATAACGATATAGTTCATTTAATTTTCTTAAAAATTAAGTTAATTTCATGTTCTTAAAAAAACTTTTTCTGCCTCCCTATGGGCTGAGGAGGCGCACATGATGTACAAACGACATTTTTCCTCTTTTTGAAAGTTTCCAGTTTATTGAAAACTTTAGTGCTGTATTGGATCAATAGTATCTGTTAATTCAATTTATCTATCCTATTACATCCGAAGCACAGCGATGCCTTAAAATAGTTCCCGGTTCTCAGTTTAGAAAGAATATCGACAAACAGCAGTGTTATTCTGGGCAGACAATTTTAATTCAAAATAGGCCGTTGCTATGTTTATAAAAACTGTTGCATGCACATCATTCCTGCTGCTAACAATATGTCTTCTTGCTAAAAAGTTGGTGACGAACTTCATTTATATTCTGCTATCATACACACACATTGGTACGCCATAGGCACATGAGAATAGAGGAAACTGGTCGTTGTTGTTGTTGTTTAAGATTCAGCTACTAGGAACTAAAAGTTCCAAGTAGCACGGGCTATGGTGAGCCCGTGATGGACTCACCTGGCACAGGAGCGGGGCTGAAAACTGAAAAAAACTGGTCATGCAGAACAGCTCCTTTTATACCCACCCAAACTCCTAAGTGAGTCTCACCTACTCTTGAAACACTCCAACGATCCCACGTCGATTGTGTTACCCGGTAATTTGTTCCATAACTCTGTAGAAACGTCAGCTGGGGAGCGCCCTCTCCAGGTGGGTGCGGAAGGCGCTCTTGGAGGAGTTTGAGATGCTCCACTCATCCTTTCCAAGCACCTGTAGCCTCATAGAACTGCCAAGGCTGGAAAATTTCCTCAGGTAAGTGCAGTAGTCATCTCAAACGTTTATCTTCAAATTTGTGATAACATTCTTCATTAGCCATCATTAAAGACATGAAAATTATGCAGTAATATGTTGTTTCTGCAATTTAAGCAATTAATATTAATTTTCAGTAGATTACAATACCTTCCATAGGCTAGATTAGACGTCATAAAGTGTTGCATTTTAAACCACTGTCATTACTGATAAATCTTGGATAGACAAGTACACAAAGACCTCTCTCCGGGTTCTTGTCTGACCTCTTATTGGCACTGTGCCCCTCATGCTGAGTTTACTGTGCACCTCATATTCATCCAACCCGTCATCCTAATACAACGTCGCATTTTGACGTATACTCTACTTAAGGCCAAAAATGGTCGTACTAGAAAATGGTCGCGGCTCACGAAATTGACAAACTGACCCGTTTTCTGTTTTGGGTCCTTTGGTAGGTTAGGATAAGTGCACTTTAGTACGACAGTTTCTTGACGTTGGGAAACTTTAGGAGGACGGTGATAGCTTATGAAGCACCTCATATTCATCAGATGTGAGTGGTAGTTTATGAACCACATATTCATAGTGTGAGTGGTAGTTTATGAACCACATATTCATAGTGTGAGTGGTAGTTTATGAACCACATATTCATAGTGTGAGTGGTAGTTTATCGTGACTCTCATATTCATCCTGTGAATGGTAGATTACTGTGTACCTCATACTTATCCTGTGAGTTGTAGTTCATTGTATAAATACAAGTAAGAAACTACGCCAGCAGTTTTTTTTTCTAAAATGAAGAAAGGTATTTATAGATTGTGAGTGAAGGTGGTGGTGTTGGGTGGGCTTTACACACAGGTGCTTCAATTACGGGCTATTCATGCCCGTGCTTGAGTGGCTTAATCTTTATCAATCAATCAGGTGCTTCAACACCGTGGAGAACTGCTACGAGCTGCGGGTGCTGTTCGAGCGAGAGATGGTTCAGCTAGGCTTGCCCTCCCTCACCGACCAGCTGCACGGCGCCCTGTCCAAACACGTCGAGACCTGGTCAGTTCATTAGAAAAACAAACTAATTAAGTTACGAAAAAAGTTACTAATTACGGTTACTCAGTAGACAAAATATTTAAGTTGTTGTGAGACAGGATCAAGTACTGTATACCATTTGGTGTTTAAGGCTCATGCTCTGTGATGATATGGAAAACTGGTTTACCGAGAATTATATAAACTATATATAAATGTAGTATATTCCCTTGTAAATTGATGTAAATGCGATCTTTGTGTTATATATTATTTAATAAAGAAACAAAAAATTACGCATAGCGTCAGTCGTCTTAATGTTATGCTTAATTTCGAATGCAAAATATCTCTTCCAACATATACAGTATATATATATTTTATAATTACAGCCATATAAACATGTGAAAGCTAGTGTAATATATATCTAAATGTACACGACTTCTGGGATTTGATGGTTAACAATTATATCATTCACGGTTATCATGATCTTAGGAATATCAAATTAGAACTTTATTACCTTAACACTGGAAACCTCATTCAATTTCATCAGTGTAATATTATTATAAATTGAGAGCATATTAGAAACCTTTAATTTAAGGTAGACATAATTATATTAGGAAACTCAAATTGAACCTAGATAGCATATAGAAACCTTAAATTAAACCGTGATGGTAATTTAAGAACTAACTTAAAATTATAGATAGTAGATTATAAATCTATTAATTAAACAATTTAAAGGTTAACTTATTAAGACTACTCATAGCGCAGTTGATAGAGCTTCGGGCCTCACACGCCACACGCGTGGGGTCCAGGGTTCGAGTCTGCTAGAGCCCAGGTGAATGTAAATGTTTAAATTAAAGTTTGAGACACGTTAGGAGCGCGAGGTTAATATGAACAATGTGTGTATGTGTGTCAGGGTTGAGGCCCTGAACAAGGAGAAGGTGAAGAGGGATAGTGACGCCAGCTTGGTGCCCAGCCAGGCACCAGGAGCCTTCATGGAGTGGCGGGACGCCCAGCGCAGAGCCACCATCCTCACCAAGCCTATTCTAAACTTTCTCACCATCTCCTTTCACACGTATCAACCAATTTTCATGATGTGAGTTACATTACTTGTTTGTTGCTCCGGCGTACTATTCAAACTGTAATGGCGTTTTGTTGCATGCTTTTGCTTATTAGTCTGATTTTATTTATTTATTTATTTATATTGTGACGATAATCTCCTTCAAGAGATTGAGCCTGCTCTTCCCTCCAAAATTACGTCTTCACAATTATATAAAAAGACTATGGAAGAAATGTCCAACAACGACAACAACACCAGCAAGGCTTGCAAGGGTGAGCAGAAACGTATGCAGCCCGCCACCTGTTCGGACCCAAATCACCAAACTACCCGTTGATCGCTACGGCTCCGCTGATTGGTCGCCGGTCTGGCTGCACCTGCACTCGCCCCCCAATACTACCCGATGTCTGGGGTCGCCCCAACATCAGTCTTCGGAATGTTCCGTGCTTTCGTAGCCAGCACACCTCCCAGCTAGACTCTAGAGTGTACTGAGAGAGGTGGTGGCTTTAAGCCAATATTCCAGCACCTCCCACTTACTGTTGTATTGCACTTCTTGTTATTTTGCCTTAACGTAACTTTTCATTTTGTCATTTAATTATTCTTATTATTTTGATTGATTTTATTATACATATTTGTTTGTGCATTATTTTCATGTTTTGATTTATTTAACGTAATTAAAATTTCATTGTTAAAGTTTACTTGTGTTTTGTGTGTCTTCTCCTTACCTTACCACAGACGAAGTTCCAGTTTTTCTATTTTTTTTTTATAACTATGTGACGAGGCCATACCCCTAGCCTTAAACAGCCGAACACCAACGCGTTACCGTCACAAGTTTTATGGGGGCCTGTCCTAGGAGCTTCACTCAGGTACTGGTGCTAAGTGGTAATTTATGGTAAGCGTATTTAACTCTGTTAACGTAGCTTTACTATTTTTCATTCAATTTCATTTTTTATAAGGTGCGGTGTATTGTGCATTACGAGAGTAACATATAGTGAAGGTGAGACAACTTTGGATTACGTGGTGACTGTAGGCCGCAGTCATACTCTTAATTGGTCATCTCTCCCTCCATGTTATTACTCGTATTTACCATCTATGTCCCTTGAATATTTCTCATTCTGACAGATCATCATATTGGTACCCTGGTACTGTGGTCTGCCCCGGGTCAAGAGTACCCAATCTTCTGCAATCTGACTGTAGGAGGACAAAGAGGGCCATAGTTCCTCTAGCTCGAACTTTAGTTGCTGAATTGGGACCTCAGCAGCAGTTCTCGTCACCAGTTGACACCTCGCACCCCTACACGTCAGTCAGAGATGATGATACATACAACGGTAGGGAATTAGCTTATTTTTTCAGAGCACAAAAGTTCGCTAATTCTGTAAGTATCATATTAAATTCAGTGGGAAAAACTTGCTTTATGTCCTATAGAGACTTGGCAAGGTATGCCTACATCCTTGGACTACCAATTTTACTTTTGAAGCATTTAACTGTTTCATTTGTTTTCGAAACTTTGTTTCATTTGTTAGTAGGATTTTCTTGCCCTTATTCTCTTACATGAGTACCGGGTACAAGATTTCCTGCGCCCTTGATTTAATTTAATATCTTTCACTTAACGTTAATTGTTAAAGATCACACAGGATAGGTACCAGTTGCCACGTTGTCCTGTTTCTGACATTTCATTATTGAACATTCGTGTACCTTTATTTGCTAATTTCACCATGTTTCGTCTCCAAACTTTCCGTGCAAATCCAGCAGGTGAAATAGGGACTTTAAGTCGTGCCAAGAGGACTGAACTACAAACTCTTGCACATGAGTATCAACTAGAAGTTCCCTACCAAGCCAACAAAAATGACCTACACAACCTGTTGCTGGATTACTATTTAGAGCAAGGTAAGATAGACTCTGAAACTCATGAAACTTACTATATTGCAGATAAAACTGACTTGGCAACGATGAAACTTAAACTAGAGCTGGCTAAGATTGAACGTGAGCAGCAAAGGGAAGCCCGCGAACAGCAAAGGGAAGCCCTCGAACAACAAGAACGAGCAGCTGCCATACGAAGAGAAGAACAAGAACGCGAAGCTGCTTTGAGGAGAGACGAACAAGAACGCGAAGCTGCTTTGAGGAGGGAAGAACAAGAACGAGAAATCACCCTCAGAGAACGTGAAGCTGCTTTGAGGAGAGAAGAACACGAACGCGAGGTCGCATTACTCCGTGAACGTGAACGAGTACAGCTTGAAACCAAACAACGCGAGTTGGAAATACAACGCGAACATGACAAGCAGCAAGCGACTCTGGTTCTTGAGTGTCGTCAACGGGAATACACGTTGGAAACTTCACACCTCGCTCAACGCCAGCAAGCTACTGCCAATCTTCCCATCAGTTTTAATATATCACATGCAAGTAAGTTAATGCCATCCTTTGTAGAAGCAGAAGTTGATGTGTTCTTTACCACCTTTGAAACCCTTGCTAATCAACTCAGTTGGCCTGTCGACCAATGGGCCACACTTCTCAGAGTCCATCTTACAGGTAGAGCTGCAGTCACACTCAGTACTTTGGCGTCTGAGAATGACTACTACACTCTGAAACAAGCAGTGTTAGACGCCTACCTCCTCTCTACTGAAAGTTATAGAAGGAAATTCCGTGACCACCTGAAGGCAAGTACCACTACCTTCCTCGAGTTTGCTAACACGAAACGGAGGTATTTCATGAAATGGCTGGAAGCAGCACATGTCTCTACTTTTACAGAACTCGTCAACCTGATGCTTGTTGAAGAATTCTTGAGACGTGTGCCGCCTCCTGTCCGCCTCTACTTAGCAGATAAAGAAGAAACCGACTACCTGAAGTGTGCTAAGTCGGCTGACACTTACAGCCTCATCCACCGGCTGACACCCGAACCATCCTCCAGTAAGAAGTCGTGGTACAGTTACGAGAAGGTGAGCCCCGATCAAGCTACTTCACAACTGTACTGCAAGTATTGTAGACTCTATGGACATACCATAGACAAGTGTGGTAAGTCTCAATACAAGGGAACCACTGACCAACAACGACCCAAACCAACTCCTCCTAAGTCCGGTAAGCCTGTGATGAATGTTGGTGTTGATGTTAATGATCTTTCTCTTTTCAGTAACCACCTGTATACTGGAACTGTCTCTGCCAACGGTTCAAATCCGGAGGGACGTTTCAAATTGAAGATCTTGAGGGACACAGCGGCTCTACAATCGATCATCTTGAAGTCGGCTGTGCCCAACATAGTCTACACCGGGGAAACAGTCTTCATCACTGACCTCACTGCTACCACTCCATACCCTCTCGCCAGAGTCCACCTGAATTGTCCCTACGTGAACGGGGAAGTCCAAGTCGCCGTCAGGGAAAAGCCTTTTCCCATGCCTGGAGTGCAACTTCTCCTAGGCAACGACTTGGCAGAAGACCTGCAACCGACCAACCTGATCGTCATGGACAAACCCCAGGTGTGTAACTCTGTGCCAAGTAACCCTATTCTTGAGTATGTTCCAGCAGAGGTTCAAGAGAGTGATGATGTTTCTCCTCCGGTTCTCGTGACCACCCGTGCACAAGCCGCACGTCCACAGCCAGCTGACTCTACTGCTACCGCTGTCCCTCAAGACCCTCAGAAACTACCCCCGCATCTGACCAAGTTGGAGTTCCGTAAGTTGCAGAGGGAAGATCTTACTTTAACACCATTGTTTTTCCAGGCTGAGACTCAACCCGACAGTATTCCTGGGTTATTCCTAGAGAACGACTTGCTCTACCGCAGATATAGACCCAGTAAACTGAAGGAGGAGGACGATTGGGCCAACACCGAACAACTTGTGATTCCCACCAGCCTGCGGCCCACTATTCTACACCTGGCCCACGGAGCATTCTCCCACTACGGCTTCAACAAGACTTACCATGGGATTCGTCAAGACTACTACTGGCCAGGTATGGTAAACAACGTCAAACAGTACGTAAAACAGTGTCATACATGTCAGATGGCAGGCAAACCGAACGTCTCCATTCCCAGAGCACCACTGATTCCCATACAGGTGCCTGCGGAACCTTTCCACAGACTCATAATAGACTGTGTCGGTCCTTTACCTCGGACCAGTTCAGGTAACGCCTACATCCTAACCATCCTGTGTCCTACCACCAGATTTCCCATAGCAGTTCCAGTGAAGAACATCACGGCTGCTACGGTTATCAAACATCTATTGAAGATCTTCACTCAATACGGATTTCCCAGGGAGATTCAAAGTGACTGTGGCACCAACTTCACCAGTGATCTCTTCAAAAGGACACTGGAGGAGTTCAACATCAAACAGGTATTGTCCAGCCCCTATCATCCTGCTTCACAGGGTTCTCTTGAACGTAGTCATCAGACCATCAAAGCACTCTTGAAAAAGTTTTGTAGTGAAACCTCAAAGGATTGGGATAAGCAGATTGACCTAATAATGTGTATTTTCAGAAGTCTCCCCAATGAGTCCCTAGGAGTATCTCCTTATGAGATGCTCTACGGCCGTAAGTGCCGTACTCCCCTTAAGGCTTTCAAAGACTCTCTCAGAGATGCCACCTTCAGTGAGCATCAGAATGTGCCCCAGTTTCTTCAAAACCTTCAGCACATTCTAGAGAGAGTCCACCGCTTTGCCCATGATAATCTATTGAAAGCCCAGGTGAGAATGAAGACTCATTACGACCAGACCAGCAAAGTAAGAAAATTCAAGCCGGGAGACTTCGTCCTTGCTTATTTCCCTATCCCAGGTTCACCTTTACAAAACAGATTTTCAGGACCCTACTGCGTCAAAGAGTGCAGGAATAATAATAATTATGTGATAGAGACTCCAGATAGGCGGCGGAAGACCCAGCTGTGCCACGTCAACCTCCTGAAGCAATATAATGGTACTCCTCCCACTGTCTTGATTAACTATTCCACATTCACAGAACCTACATCCACAGTGAGACCTTCCCAGCTTCTCCTCCCGAAAGCACTGACAAGGAGTCGGCGCTTTCTAATTCCAAAATCCTTAATGATCTTCCCAAATGCTTTCAGGATAATAATCGTGCTCCTTTGCCCTCTTCTAATTCCACTCTCACCTCGTCAGATAAGCCCTTCATCCTCCATTTCGACGCCAATGGTACCGACGATGGTGGTGTCGTGATGCAGCAACGAGGCGAGAAGAATTCACCTGTCAGCGACTACTGCTACAAGGAACGACGGAACAATTGGCAAGGAGCTACTCTTCCTCCTCCTGAAGCTTCAGCACTTCACTCCACACCTGAAAAGTGCTCGGTCCACCATCAATACGGACCACACCACCCTACACCTCCTGCAGCACGCCCACTTCTCATCTCAACGTCTTCTACTATGGGCTTGCTACCTGCAGAAATTCAACCTGGAGACACGCTATACCAAGAGTCTGACATCTTAGCCCATGATCTCTCCAGAGTTTATGAAGTAGAAGCAACTCCATCCATTACTCCACCACATAACGACGTACTTCTTCCAGAACCGCAGGCTTCGGGGGAGAGTTGTGACGATAATCTCCTTCAAGAGATTGAGCCTGCTCTTCCCTCCAAAATTACGTCTTCACAATTATATAAAAAGACTATGGAAGAAATGTCCAACAACGACAACAACACCAGCAAGGCTTGCAAGGGTGAGCAGAAACGTATGCAGCCCGCCACCTGTTCGGACCCAAATCACCAAACTACCCGTTGATCGCTACGGCTCCGCTGATTGGTCGCCGGTCTGGCTGCACCTGCACTCGCCCCCCAATACTACCCGATGTCTGGGGTCGCCCCAACATCAGTCTTCGGAATGTTCCGTGCTTTCGTAGCCAGCACACCTCCCAGCTAGACTCTAGAGTGTACTGAGAGAGGTGGTGGCTTTAAGCCAATATTCCAGCACCTCCCACTTACTGTTGTATTGCACTTCTTGTTATTTTGCCTTAACGTAACTTTTCATTTTGTCATTTAATTATTCTTATTATTTTGATTGATTTTATTATACATATTTGTTTGTGCATTATTTTCATGTTTTGATTTATTTAACGTAATTAAAATTTCATTGTTAAAGTTTACTTGTGTTTTGTGTGTCTTCTCCTTACCTTACCACAGACGAAGTTCCAGTTTTTCTATTTTTTTTTTATAACTATGTGACGAGGCCATACCCCTAGCCTTAAACAGCCGAACACCAACGCGTTACCGTCACAATATATATATACAAGAAAGTACATTGGGATTGTGAGGATACAGAGCATAGTAATTACATTCTTGTAAAGCCACTAGTACGCGCAGCGTTTCGGGCAGGTCTTTAATCTAAGAAAATTTTAAGTAGGTAAATACTTCTTGCAAAATTTGTAAAAATGATAACAGTTACATAGCAAGAAAAAAAATAAAAGATGAGAGAAAATTGTAGGTATATTAAAGCACATAGGTAGCTCAGATTGATTGCAATGACAGCTTGAATGGTAGTTTAACAAAAATTTGTTTAAAATGAATTTGTTTTATTTGTTTTTTATTTGTTTAAAATGAAATATGTGGGATAAAAAAATTGTGTTTAATGTAATCCCACATAGTTAAGAAAAAGTACTGTCACAGCTGCGGCTGTATGCATCCTGGGATACTTAAGTACTTACTTCTGATAGAGAACACTGATGGTCAGGTGTGTAGAGGCAACAAGTGGGTACAGGTGTGTAGAGGCAACAAGTGGGTACAGGTGTGTAGAGGCAACAAGTGGGTACAGGTGTGTAGGGTCAACAAGTGGGTACAGGTGTGTAGGGGCAACAAGTGGGTACAGGTGTGTAGAGGCAACAAGTGGGTACAGGTGTGTAGAGGCAACAAGTGGGTACAGGTGTGTAGGGTCAACAAGTGGGTACAGGTGTGTAGAGGCAACAAGTGGGTACAGGTGTGTAGGGGCAACAAGTGGGTACAGGTGTGTAGAGGCAACAAGTGGGTACAGGTGTGTAGAGGCAACAAGTGGGTACAGGTGTGTAGGGGGCAACAAGTGGGTACAGGTGTGTAGGGGCAACAAGTGGGTACAGGTGTGTAGGGGCAACAAGTAGGTACAGGTGTTGCAGTCAGTGGTACTCTTGAGATGTTACAGGTCATCCCTTAATAGTAGAGGCAATAATTACCTTTGTCTTTGATTTTGCAATGTGTGTATTCCAGTGTTGTATATTGGATTGTTTCCTGCAATATTATGGTTATTATATATAGAATGCACAGGCATTCTATATATTTATGGTGATTTTACTTAAAACCATTGTTCCCCGCTTTCATAATCTCAGTAAGATGCTCGTACACATCTCTAGCTCTCCTTAACATCAACGAATTCTGTGCTAACCTTAGAAAGTGTCTATTTTCTCCCTATAATTTGTCTAACTTTTGTATCTTTCGCTTCACCTAACAACTTCACCATCGGGCACAGGAATGTTTATGAAATATTTAAAAAATAATCACACATTTGTAAGTATATTTAGGCTATCTTTGTTATATTTCTTCATTGTATTGCATTGTTTTATCACATTAATACTCCTCTCCTCCCGCCACTTCCTACATGTAAATATGGATGTATACGAGAAATATAATGAGGTGATGCTTATTTACTGGAATGTCAGAGAGTTGTCTGTGGATTACCTGTACCTGGTGATGCCCAAGATGCTGACAGCAGCCCTTCATCTGCTGCTCCCACTCCTGGCCTATGATGTGCACGGGGCCAGTCAAGTCCCACCGGAGGTGACGCCCTCTGCTGCCCAGGCTGCCTGGGTCCTCACTACAAACCTCAGTCAAATCAATATGTACGTAATTTGGAATAATTAGTGTAATATTTAGACTTATTAGTGAACTATGGACTGATTTCTGTATTTAATATCAACATAATTATGTACTGTTTAGTAATTGACATTTAGCGATAGAATGCCACACGGTAACTTCTATAGACATTAATCAAAGGATATATATATATACAAACCAAGAGATGTACCCAACTTCTCTGTGTATATATATAGTAAAAGTTTACTCTAACCCTGGACTATGTTCAGGACTATAGTACACTTATTTGTTGTTAGTCAGTAAGCTACTGTGGTGTACACCTCTCATTACCCTTAAGCCCGACCCAAAACCATACAGTAATCAAATAAATTATCAGATGATTATTTTTATCCCTAGGATTGGGATTGAGAGTCGTCTTCCACAACACTTGATACCCCAAGAGTACCGGGATGCTTTTTCCACCACCCTTCTACACTGGCTGGTATTTAGCAAGCTCCTGGCACTAGAAGAAGTCGACAGAGATATTCAGAAAGATGAGTTTGTGGCTGTTGATGACATGGAGGGATACAGCCAATCAGCTGTTGGCTGTGCAGACCTTTTGAAGGCGGTGAGTTCCTTGAATTGTCTGATGGTAATGATGAGGAGAGAGCACTAAGCCAGTGTGACTATACATGATATGGGAGGGAAGGGATATGAGGAAAAGGAGCTGGGATAGGATCGAGGGAAGACACAGTACCCAACCACTTGGCCCATCGAGGATCGAACGCCGACCCTGTATCATACAAACAGATCTCTGTACCGATTAGTTCATGTGATCAGTTTTAATGATCTGAAGAAAGCAAGTTTAACAACATTTAGCTTGACAGTCACGGTTTCTAATGTTCGCGTCGGGACTGTACGTGATTTGTGAAGGGTCCTCGTTCAATTCAAGTTCAAGTATGTTTATTGAGATAAGAAAGAAATACATCTCAAAGGGATAGAGTAGCTTAGGCTATTTCTACCCCCCCTGTGGGTCCTCGTTATTTGTGTTTGTATCAGTGGGAGTTGCTGCCAGAACACTTCTGGGTAGTTACACTGTGTTAGCCTATATGTCATGGTCACAGTTATGCAGCATGTTGTCACTCTGCATACGGCCTTCGGGGAAGCTACCAGGCGACAAGTAGCCTGGTAGTTTTCGTTCAGGTAATTTTGTAATAATTATTTGTATATTAGGCTCTGAATAACCAACATAATTCCAGCTACTGCCTTTAGCCGAATGCTATCAACTAAACAATCAATTATATTATCGAATATGCTCTTCCTTATTTTTAGACTTTAAAATATACCCAAATTGTTGTTGCAAGTTTCAAGTCATTTGGTGCATGATAAGGGATTACTAAGGACGTGTTGCAGCTGATGGAGCGGGTGCGTGAGGTGAGGTGGCCAGGTGACACGGGGCCCAGTGGCGCCACCCTCACCAAGGTCAGCCAACAGGTCATGGATCTGGCCGCTGAGTACACTAACAAGGTCACGCACCACTACACTGGCCGTCAGGGGAACTCGGGCACCATCTCCAAGCAGGTGAGGCACTTTGTCTCGTTAGTTACAGTAGGTCGTCTCAGAAATATTGGCGAAAACTTTAAGCAAGGCGCCGGCGCCCTGTCCCCGTCGAGGCTGCTGACGATGGCGGCCCTCAGGTAGACTCTTCATGTCCACAATAGTTCAGTAGCTCAGGTACATTGCAACTTTAATTTAATTTAAATAAAATTTAAATAAAATACTTATTAATTTTAGTTTTTAAATATTTATTTGAAGGTCATTAGATAGTTATCTTAACCTATCAGAGAGCGTTAAGACAGTATAACTATATAGCACTTGTTAGGTATATGAGAACAGACTGGAATATGAGGAGCTCTTGATACTGGTAATGGCTCAAAAGGGCCACCACTTACGGGCTATTCATGCCCGTGCTACCTCTTGGGTGGCTTAATCTTCATCATCATCATCATCATCATCATCATCATCAGTGCCCAGCCACTGAGATCATCTTGCCGAGCCCCGCAAGAAGGGAGGCTGGGGGCGCTGCACCAACCAGTCTAACACAGTCAGCGGAGATGCCATCAGTGCAGTCTCACCATTAATGACATTCTGTACACTTCCAGCACTGAGTTTAACAAACTCATCAATAACAAGTCCATTATCATCATCGGTTAAGTTTACAGCAATATAGAACTGTGTGATGTTAATTCTTCAGCATAAAATTAACCCATTTTTAAAATCAAATTTAAAGAGAATATGATATACAATGAGGAAATATCGAGGCCAAACTATAATGGGATAAAACTCGCGTCCTGGATCCACAGGGACGAGAGTTCTATCCTCTGGTGTATTGCCTAAATATATTCTCCTAGATACATTACGTTATTGTGATACCGTTGTGCATAATATACAACTGTTGACCTCTGTCAAGGTGACGGCGATTACAGGCTTTATGTTGCATAATTGTTGTCAGGTGTGTGTAGTGGTGAGGAATGTGGAGCACGTGTGTAACGAGGTGAGAAAACACCTGCTACACCTGGCCACCATGGCTCAAGATGAGGTGGCACAGCAGCTGCAGGAACACACAAGACACCTTCAGGAGCACATTGACTATGCTGCCGAGGTCCTCCTGCAGCGGGTGAGCAACACTCTTTTATGTATATATTCAAGGCTTGAAATTGAAATAGTTTCTGCATCTGGAACTCCCAAGTGTTCAAGACATATTATAATAGTTTTATTACTAATGTGTTCTTGGTGTTCAAGTGTTGAACATGAACAATAACAAGTGTTGTGGCTGCATTTCCTGAATTACGAATGTTTCTGTTCAATAGTTTTGCAGAGAGTATAATGTTATTTATTATAATTTCATATATTTTTTCCATATTACATCTTGGCTTTGAGACCACAATACAATTTACAGGTTCCGTGCCAGACAATTATGCGTAGTGAGAATATCCAGGTAATAAACTGACTACAAAACACACGATATATATATATATATATATATATATATATATATATATATATATATATATATATATATATATATATATATATATATATATATATATATATATATATGGTTTTTTTCCTTCATACTTAAACTATATATAACTTTAACTCTTTGTAAATAAAATAAAAATAAAATAACTTTAAATAAAATAATGCCTTGAGTGGTGCGGAGTGTACTCCACTATCAAGCTTGGAATATGGGCTATTTCTTATTTGTTTTGGCTTTTCACAAGTATGAAAAATACTTTGTGTTGGTACGCGTTTAACTGCCAGGCGGTAACCGTTATTATATTATATTATATTATATTATATTATATTATATAGGAGGGGTACCACCTCTAGTGCAATTGTAGGGACCCATGGCCTCGGAGAAGGGAAGACAGAACATTCAGAGAAAAACTTGCCATTCAACTTTGAATACGTATGAGTGCTCTTACCGCCCCTTTTGTATTATATTCTTGCCCGAAACGCTGTGCGTATTAGTAACTTTAGACATAGTATGTACTAGCTCTATCTAGAAAACCAACATGTTGTTTGTAACTCATCTTGTATGTACATTTACCTAAATAAACATTAATTATTATTTATTATTGTTATTATTGCGACCGGGCAGAGGCTGGGAGTCATGTTCTGCCTGACTGACTTACTTGGCTGTTTACACCAAATAGGTTTAACGCTTCAGAAGCCTAGTTAACTATATGGCTGAAAATGTTCCAATTTGCTGAGAAAGAAGAGCGTCTAGTACTAGGCAAGAGAGTATTCAATGTCGTTCTCTTCCCCCTTTAACAGTGTCTGCCACAGCTGGAGCAGATATTGACACAGGCTGTGAGTCAAGGAAGTTCTACATTCATAATTAAAGAGCTAGAGGTTGCTATGGAACCCGTGGAGGACCGGCTGTACTTCGCAGAGCCCCTTCTGCACCAGATGTGGCTCCGGCTCTTCCAGCACGCAACTCTCCTCATGAGCAACTATATCCAGGTCTGCTAATATCCGCTGTTTTAGTCACTATAATCATACATTAATGGTGAGAATACATTATCCAAGATTATTACAACTAATTATGATAGGAATTTACTTTCTTTATACTCAGCATATATTATATATTCAGGGCGTTAATTCAGCCCGTCCTCGTAAGGTTTCCGAACGTCAAGAAACTGTCGTACTAAAGTGCCCTTATCCTAACCTACCAGAGGACCCAAAACAGAAAACGGGACAGTATGTCAATTTTGCGAGCCGCTACCATTTTCTAGTTCGACCATTTTTGGCCTTAGGTAGAGTATACGTCAAAATGTGACGTTCTATTAGGAGGACGGGTTGAACACTTAAAGGGGTTTTATGCTAAAAATTATTAAGTCTGAACATCAGAGCATATACGAGTACCGCCATGTCTTCAGCCCCGTTATTGTGACTCATCGTCTACATGGGGTTAGTTTATTGTGCACCCCATACTCCTGTGAGCGGTAGTTTATTGTGAACCCTATACTCATCCTGTGAGCGGTAGTTTATTGTGCACCCCATACTCATCCTGTGAGCGGTAGTTTATTGTGCACCCCATACTCATCCTGTGAGCGGTAGTTTATTGTGCACCCCATACTCATCCTGTGAAAGGTAGTTTATTGTGCACCCCATACTCATCCTGTGAGTGGTAGTTTATTGTGCACCCCATACTCATCCTGTGAGTATGGAGTACTCATGTCTATTATGTTACTTGGTAAACTGTTCTACAACTCAACAACTGTTTCCAAACCCGTATTTACCCAGGTCTTTCCTAAATAGCTTATCCAACTTATATTCATTCTTTAGTGTTTTATTTTGTGTTGATAAATTTAATACCTGATTACTATCCCTCTAGTTATGCCCACTCACCCACTTACTCATGCCTATTCCCTTAACCCTAACTCTTCGTCTTTCTAGAGAATGTAAATCAAGTTTTTTCAGTCTATGTTCATAACGGAAGGTATCTGATTTATGGGGTTAATTTTGTCATCCTTCGCTGAACGCGTTCAAATGAAGTTATATCCATTCCATAGTATGGCGACCACAATTGAACTACATAATCTAGATGGGGTCTAACAAGAGCATGATTAGGTATTTTTGGGTTAGCGTTTCTACAGATAATCCCAGCATCCTATTTGCCTTACTTTGAACATTTATGTATTTGATTTTTTGGCTTTAAATTGTTAATGAATATGACCATGTACTAATTGCTGTCCATGTACTGTAATTACCTAAGTGTGATTATCTAAGTTTAATTACAAGATAAGAACTACGCTCGTGGTGTCCCGTCTTCCTAGTACTCTTTGTCATATAACGCTTTGAAACTACTGACGGTCTTGGCCTCCACCACCTTCTCACCTAACTTGTTCCAACTGTCTACCACTCTGTTTGCGAAAATGAATTTTCAGATATTTCTTCGGCATCTTTGTTTAGTTAGTTTAAATCTATGACCTCTTGTTCTTGAAGTTCCAGATCTTAGGAAATCTTCCCTATCGATTTTATAAATTCGTGTGTGTGTGTGTGTGTGTGTGTGTGTGTGTGTGTGTGTGTGTGTGTGTGTGTGTGTGTGTGTGTGTGTGTGTGTGTGTGTGTGTGTGTGTGTGTGTGTGTGTGGCAATGCTAGGCTTCCTCCTTACTCCTCCAGTGCTTAATGTTGTGGTCTGGAGCTCATTACACCAAACATTAATATCAATAGCGGTAAATTCACGACGAGCTTTGAGGAATGTTGATGATACGTATTGGTTTAGGGTAACTGGAGGGAGGACCTTCGGCGGCTGAGGTCGGTGTTGGCTGAGACACACACCTTCCTCACCAACCAGGAGGGCGTCGGCCTCCAGCTCCACCCGGAGGTCAACAAAGGTAAGCCAGTTTCCTCACTAACTTGGGGCCAGATTCACGAAGCAGTTACGCAAGCACTTACGACCCTGTCAATATTTTCTCAATCTTTGGCGGCTTTGTTTACAATTATTAAACAGTTAATGAGCTCCGAAGCACCAGGAGGCTGTTTATAACAATAACAACAGTTGATTGGCAAGTTTTCATGCTTGTAAATTATTTAATAAATGTAACCAAAGCCGTCAAAGATTGAGGAAAGATGTACACGTTCGTAAGTGCTTGCGTAACTGCTTCGTGAATCCGGGTCCTGGAGGCTATCGTTAGTGCTGTTTTAATTCTGTTTTCAGCAATCGTTTTCAATCAACGGGAACGTTCTTAGCGTCACTTGTCAGCAGCGTGACACTCCCTACTATTTATTCCCATAACACAACAACATTGAGCAAACTACAGAAGGCTTATAAACCCGTACGACGCAACTCCTATTTATAACCAACCAAACTGAAACAATCAAGTGATCTATCGTCTATCATATTACACAGTAATCTATTCCACAAATTAACACCCCTGTCTCGAAACCAATCACAGATCTTTATAATTGTCAGTGAGGACAATAACGTAGCTCCCTGTATGGAGGATTATCTGCCTTTTTCCTACTGGTATGAGGCTTACCATTGCCCCACAGGGTGCACACAGCCCCGCTCCTGTGCCAGGTAAGTCCACTACGGGATCACCATAGCCCGTGCTGCTTGGAACTTGTTCCGAGTAGCTGAATCTATAACAACAACATCCCCCACAGAGTTCGAGACCCTGCAGGCGGAGCTCAAGATCCTCGGAGCCACCTCACAAGAATTAATATCACAATTTTACCACGAACGGTATCAAGAACAGCTCCGTGAGGGAGAGAGTGCAGCCCGCACCCTCATTGTTAATGTGAGTACTGTGCCCCCCTCATTGTTAATGTGAGTACTGTGCCCCCCTCATTGTTAATGTGAGTACTGTGGCCCCCTCATTGTTAATGTGAGTACTGTGCCCCCCTCATTGTTAATGTGAGTACTGTGCCCCCCTCATTGTTAATGTGAGTACTGTGCCCCCTCATTGTTAATGTGAGTACTGTGGCCCCCTCATTGTTAATGTTGTTAATATAGACAGTTCACGGGAGGAACCAGACATGGGAAACGTAATGTAAGTTTTGCATATTTTGTGTGTACTCACCTAGTTGTGCTTGCGGGGGGGGGGCGGTGTTGAGCTTTGGCTCTTTGGTCCCGCCTCTCAACTTCTCCCACTTGTGTGTGTGTAATTACCTAAGTGTAATTACCTAAGTGTAGTTACAGGATGAGAGCTACGCTCGTGGTGTCCCGTCTTCCCAGCACTCTTTGTCATATAACGCTTTGAAACTACTGACGGTCTTGGCCTCCACCACCTTCTCACTTAACTTGTTCCAACCGTCTACCACTCTATTTGCGAAGGTGAATTTTCTTATATTTCTTCGGCATCTGTGTTTAGCTAGTTTAAATCTATGACCTCTTGTTCTTGAAATTCCAGGTCTCAGGAAGTCTTCCCTGTCGATTTTATCAATTCCTGTAACTATTTTGTATGTAGTGATCATATCACCTCTTTTTCTTCTGTCTTCTAGTTTTGGCATATTTAATGCTTCTAACCTCTCCTCGTAGCTCTTGCCCTTCAGTTCTGGGAGCCACTTAGTAGCATGTCTTTGCACCTTTTCCAGTTTGTTGATGTGCTTCTTAAGATATGGGCACCACACAACAGCTGCATATTCTAGCTTTGGCCTAACAAAAGTCATGAACAATTTCTTTAGTATATCGCCATCCATGTATTTAAATGCAATTCTGAAGTTAGAAAGCATAGCATAGGCTCCTTGCACAATATTCTTTATGTGGTCCTCAGGTGATAGTTTTCTATCTAGAACCACTCCTAGATCTCTTTCTTTATCAGAATTCTTTAAAGATTTCTCACATAATATATAGGTTGTGTGGGGTCTATGTTCTCCTATTCCACATTCCATAACATGACATTTATTAACATTAAATTCCATTTGCCAAGTGGTGCTCCATATACTTATTTTGTCCAGGTCTTCTTGAAGGGCATGACAGTCATCTAAATTTCTTATCCTTCCTATTATCTTAGCATCATCAGCAAACATGTTCATATAATTCTGTATACCAACTGGTAGATCATTTATGTACACAATAAACATCACTGGTGCAAGAACTGAACCCTGTGGTACTCCACTTGTGACATTTCTCCATTCTGATACATTGCCTCTGATTACTGCCCTCATTTTTCTATCAGTCAGAAAATTTTTCATCCATGATAGAAGCTTACCTGTCACCCCTCCAATATTTTCCAGTTTCCAGAACAACCTCTTATGTGGAACTCTGTCGAAAGCCTTTTTTAGGTCCAGATAGATGCAGTCAACCCAACCATCTCTTTCCTGTAATATCTCTGTGGCTCGATCATAGAAACTGAGTAAATTCGATACACAGGATCTTCCAGATCGAAAACCATACTGTCTGTCTGATATTATATCATTTCTCTCTAGGTGTTCTACCCATTTAGTTTTGATTAGTTTTTCCAATACTTTCACTATTACACTTGTCAATGATACAGGTCTATAATTGAGGGGGTCTTCCCTGCTGCCACTTTTGTAGATTGGAACTATGTTAGCCTGTTTCCACACGTCTGCTACGATTCCTGTACACAGGGATGCCTGAAAGATCAGGTGAAGTGGAATGCTGAGCTCAGATGCACATTCTCTCAGAACCCATGGTGAAACGCCATCTGGGCCAGCTGCTTTGTTCTTACCGAGCTCCTTGAGCATTTTTTCCACTTCGTCTCTAGACACCTCTATGTGTTCTATGTTGTTCTCTGGAATTCTTATTGTATCTGGTTCCCTAAAGATTTCATTTTGTACAAACACACTTTGGAACTTTTCGTTTAGTGTTTCACACATTTCCTTTTCATCTTCCGTGAATCTATTTCCCATTTTCAACCTCTGAATATTATCCTTTACCTGCAATTTGTTGTTTATGAATTTATAGAATAGACCTGGTTCTGTTTTACATTTGTCCGCAATCCCTTTTTCAAAATTTCTTTCTGCCTCTCTCCTCACTGCCGTGTAGTTGTTTCTCGCATCTTTGTATCGCTGGTATGTTTGGGGGTTCGGCCTCTTCCTGTATTGATTCCATTTTTGTGTCTTTCGGTCTCTAGCCCTCTCGCAATTTCTATTGAACCAATCCTGTTTCCTAGTTCTGCATCTCTGTTTTGGTATAAATTTTTTTGTGCCTTTATCATATATTTCACAAAACTTGCCATACATCTCATTCACTTCCTTGCCTAGCATCAAGTCTGTCCAATTATACTCACTAAAAAAATTTCTAAGGTCACCATAATGTCCTCTCCTGAAGTCTGGTTTTTCAACTGCTTCAACCTCCTTATTTTCTTCCAGCTTATAACGCATTGCATACTTTATTCCCAAAAAGACATGTGTGTGTGTGTGTGTGTGTGTAATTACCTAAGTGTAATTACCTAAGTGTAGTTACAGGATGAGAGCTACGCTCGTGGTGTCCCGTCTTCCCAGCACTCTTTGTCATATAACGCTTTGAAACTACTGACGGTCTTGGCCTCCACCTTCTCACTTAACTTGTTCCAACCGTCTACCACTCTATTTGCGAAGGTGAATTTTCTTATATTTCTTCGGCATCTGTGTTTAGCTAGTTTAAATCTATGACCTCTTGTTCTTGAAGTTCCAGGTCTCAGGAAGTCTTCCCTGTCGATTTTATCAATTCCTGTTACTATTTTGTACGTAGTGATCATATCACCTCTTTTTCTTCTGTCTTCTAGTTTTGGCATATTTAATGCTTCTAACCACTCCTCGTAGCTCTTGCCCTTCAGTTCTGGGAGCCACTTAGTAGCATGTCTTTGCACCTTTTCCAGTTTGTTGATGTGCTTCTTAAGATATGGGCACCACACAACAGCTGCATATTCTAGCTTTGGCCTAACAAAAGTCATGAACAACTTCTTTAGTATATCGCCATCCATGTATTTAAATGCAATTCTGAAGTTAGAAAGCATTGCATAGGCTCCTTGCACAATATTCTTAATGTGGTCCTCAGGTGATAGTTTTCTATCTAGAACCACTCCTAGATCTCTTTCTTTATCAGAATTCTTTAAAGATTTCTCACATAATATATAGGTTGTGTGGGGTCTATGTTCTCCTATTCCACATTCCATAACATGACATTTATTAACATTAAATTCCATTTGCCAAGTGGTGCTCCATATACTTATTTTGTCCAGGTCTTCTTGAAGGGCATGACAATCATCTAAATTTCTTATCCTTCCTATTATCTTAGCATCATCAGCAAACATGTTCATATAATTCTGTATACCAACTGGTAGATCATTTATGTACACAATAAACATCACTGGTGCAAGAACTGAACCCTGTGGTACTCCACTTGTGACATTTCTCCATTCCGATACATTGCCTCTGATTACTGCCCTCATTTTTCTATCAGTCAGAAAATTTTTCATCCATGATAGAAGCTTACCTGTCACCCCTCCAATATTTTCCAGTTTCCAGAACAACCTCTTATGTGGAACTCTGTCGAAAGCCTTTTTTAGGTCCAGATAGATGCAGTCAACCCAGCCATCTCTTTCCTGTAATATCTCTGTGGCCCGATCATAGAAACTGAGTAAATTCGATACACAGGATCTTCCTGATCGAAAACCATACTGTCTGTCTGATATTATATCATTTCTCTCCAGGTGTTCTACCCATTTAGTTTTGATTAGCTTTTCCAATACTTTCACTATTACACTTGTCAATGATACAGGTCTATAATTGAGGGGGTCTTCCCTGCTGCCACTTTTGTAGATTGGAACTATGTTAGCCTGTTTCCACACGTCTGCTACGATTCCTGTACACAGGGATGCCTGAAAGATCAGGTGAAGTGGAATGCTGAGCTCAGATGCACATTCTCTCAGAACCCATGGTGAAACGCCATCTGGGCCAGCTGCTTTGTTCCTCCCGAGCTCCTTGAGCATTTTTTCCACTTCGTCTCTAGACACCTCTATGTGTTCTATGTTGTTCTCTGGAATTCTTATTGTATCTGGTTCCCTAAAGATTTCATTTTGTACAAACACACTTTGGAACTTTTCGTTTAGTGTTTCACACATTTCCTTTTCATCTTCCGTGAATCTATTTCCCATTTTCAACCTCTGAATATTATCCTTTACCTGCAATTTGTTGTTTATGAATTTATAGAATAGACCTGGTTCTGTTTTACATTTGTCCGCAATCCCTTTTTCAAAATTTCTTTCTGCCTCTCTCCTCACTGCCGTGTAGTTGTTTCTCGCATCTTTGTATCGCTGGTATGTTTGGGGGTTCGGCCTCTTCCTGTATTGATTCCATTTTTGTGTCTTTCGGTCTCTAGCCCTCTCGCAATTTCTATTGAACCAATCCTGTTTCCTAGTTCTGCATCTCTGTTTTGGTATAAATTTTTTTGTGCCTTTATCATATATTTCACAAAACTTGCCATACATCTCATTCACTTCCTTGCCTAGCATCAAGTCTGTCCAATTATACTCACTAAAAAAATTTCTAAGGTCACCATAATGTCCTCTCCTGAAGTCTGGTTTTTCAACTGCTTCAACCTCCTTATTTTCTTCCAGCTTATAACGCATTGCATACTTTATTCCCAAAAAGACATGGTCACTTTTACCCAAGGGAGGAAGGTACAGAATGTCAAATATCTCTTCTTCCTTCCTGGTAAATATCAAATCTAGCATGGAGGGAACGTCTCCTTCCCTCATCCTCGTAGCTTGTTTAACATGTTGATACAAGAATGTTTCCAGGATGAGGTCTACAAATTTACAGGTCCAAAAATCTTCTGTTTTAGCTTCATATGCTTCCCAGTCTATGGAAAAATTCTAAGACGAATCGACAGGGGTAGATAAAGATAAATTGTTTAACACTGTTGGTACTCGAACAAGGGTAAAGACACAGGTGGAAACTGAGTACCCAAATGAGCCACAGGGACGTTAGACGTGTGTGTGTGTGTGTGTGTGTGTGTGTGTGTGTGTGTGTGTGTGTGTGTGTGTGTGTGTGTGTGTGTGTGTGTGTGTGTGTGTGCGCGCGCGCGCTCGTGTGCGTAGTCTGTATTTAATACCAATCACCCACTTGGACTGATTGGTACAGCGGCCTTGCTTGTTGCAGGGTCAGTGTTCGATCCCCGATGGTCCAAATGATTGGACCATTCCTTCACCCCCATCCTCATACCCATGTTTCTTGTCCCTCGTATCCATTCCCATTGCCATATAGTGATAGCGGCTTGGCACTTACTCCTCATAATGACTTCACTGAGCTAGTGGGCTCTCTACCCTGCCCAACAGGCGGCGCTGACGGAGGTCGGGCTGCGGGTGCACGTGGTCCAGGCACCCGGCGGCCAGCCTGGAGGCGCGCTGGTCAAAGTCCGGCTCGAGCCCCAAGAATGGTTCCCGCTCGCTGAACCCTGCAAGACGCATTTGGCCAAGGGCAGCCCGGCCGTCTTTAATGAAATATTTAGATTGTAAGTATTGCAACTATGATTTGGGTTTAAATTGTAAGTATTGCAACTATGATTTGGGTTTAATTTATAAGTATTGCAACTGTGATTTGAGTTTAAATTGTAAGTATTGCAACTGTGATTTGGGTTTAAATTGTAAGTATTGCAACTATGATATGAGTTTAAATTGTAAGTATTGCAACTGTGATTTGGGTTTAAATTGTAAGTATTGCAACTATGATATGAGTTTAAATTGTAAGTATTGCAACTGTGATTTGGGTTTAAATTGTAAGTATTGCAACTATGATATGAGTTTAAATTGTAAGTATTGCAACTGTGATTTGGGTTTAAATTGTAAGTATTGCAACTATGATTAGAGTTTAAATTGTAAGTATTGCAACTGTGATTTGGGTTTAAATTGTAAGTATTGCAACTATGATATGAGTTTAAATTGTAAGTATTGCAACTGTGATTTGAGTTTAAATTGTAAGTATTGCAACTATGATTAGAGTTTAAATTGTAAGTATTGCAACTATGATTTGAGTTTAAATTGAGTTTGCAACTGTGAATATGAGTTTAAATGCAACTGTGATTTGAGTTTAAATTGTAAGTATTGCAACTATGATATGAGTTTAAATTGTAAGTATTGCAACTGTGATTTGAGTAACTATGATTTGAGTTGTATTGCAACTATGATATGAGTTTAAATTGTAAGTATTGCAACTATATGAGTTTAAATTGTAAGTATTGCAACTATGATTTGAGTTTAAATTGTAAGTATTGCTACTATGATATGAGTTTAAATTGTAAGTATTGCTACTATGATATGAGTTTAAATTGTAAGTATTGCAACTGTGATTTGAGTTTAAATTGTAAGTATTGCAACTATGATATGAGTTTAAATTGTAAGTATTGCAACTATGATTTGAGTTTAAATGAATGCAAGTATGTCTGTGGTGTTATGTTCTGCGACTTTAAGCGTAAAGTTGACACGTCTATTGGTGTCTTCAGCCACAGTTTTGATGTTCTCTCTTATAAATTCATCCTTTCTGATGTGTATAACTTATAGCAACCTATGTGCGGTACTGAAGACAATAAACAACAGATTCATTACATCGTTAATGTAATCCCAATGAATTGATATTAGAATGATTTTTCAAGACGCGTAACAAAAGCTAAAATATAACAATAATGTTCATTTTGTATATTTTGAATCAAAACCAACTTAGCAAACCTGACCTAACCTAAATTGGCAAATTATTCCTTAAGCAATACGAAGCATAATGAGAGGACGGTGGTGTCTTGTGGAGGTCCAGTAAAGTTTCCGGTCAGACCAAACTGACTATTCTAAGAACAAATCCACAAGGGCCGTGACGAGGATTCGAACCCACGTCTGTGAGCATCCCAGACTCTGTCTCTCTGTGTGACCACTCTAAGGTACCAGTCACAGCACCATGCATGGCGACGTGCTGTGGACGCTGTGGGTAACTCTCACACTTGAACAATATAACATTAATTGCAATATTTGTGTATGTAGATGAGTGCGTGTGATATATTAACATGGGTTTTAGTCCGGATGTGATGGAGGACCGCAGCGACGTGGAGCAGGGCGGGGTGCTGACGCTGCAGCTGCGGACTCCTCGCCTCCTGGGCACCAGTATTGTTCACTGCGAGGCTGTCTTGCCTCTTGCTCAAGTGCTTCGCATATCTGAGTCAAATGTCCTCAGTATCCAACACCTCCGTCTGCCTCTCACCAGGCCCTGGAAGCTTACCTGTAAGTTCATGGCTCTGTTTATGTCCCGTCCCGCGCTCCTCTTGCATATGTCACTCACCAGTTCCATTTATTACAACTACATCCCCTCCCATATTGTACCATGTCTCAGTGCGGCTGCAGGAAGTCCCGTCCCACAACTGTTCCTTAACCATTACTGCTACTGAATGAAGGGTGGGAGCTTCCCATAAGTTATTACAGCTAGAGGACTTGTACCTTGAGGACCTTACACCAATATTCTCAATCATTCATACCATCTCCAGCTCGCTCCATCTACCATTCCATACTCATATTCATCTCCCATTCCATACTCATATTCATCTCCCATCCATACTGACATCCATCAGCTGCCAGCCTCAGCCACAATATGTTTATATCCCCAGCATATAAACCCTTGGAAGCCCTCAAGACCCGTGCCCTGGACAAGTCAGCGGTGGACTTCCTGAAGGTGTTGAGTGAGCGCTGGGAGCCTAAAGAAGCCTCTATCCAAATCCAGGAGTCGCAGAAGCTGCGGGCAACCCTGGCTAGGGCCAGCAACACCAGAAACAGCATTAAGGGAGCCAGAAAACCTCCCCTTAGGAGCACTCTTTCTAAGTAAACAACCTGAAAATTGCTAATGATCCAGAGCCTCAAGAAAGATGCTTAAGCATATATCAGTCGGAGGACAACTTAGAGAGCCACAGTGATGAGGGCAGAGACCTAATGTCGCATGTCAGACGGTTTTCAACACTATTTGGGGGGAACGGGAGGGGGGGGGGAGTTGGTTATAAATTTGGCATTAGTGATAGAACTATTACATTGAGTAAACATAATTGGACATCTTAGAGTCGGTTGCGAAGTATTCATGCGGGACGTCTACAAACTTTGTCACTGATGGCTCGTGAGTTTGTAATTAAATCAAAGTATACAGTATAGACTAATCCTTTTGTTCTTGTATTTATATGGAAGGTCGCCATTGTTGATATAATGGTTTAGTTACACTCGAAAAATATAAAATATGAGTAGATATAGGGGTTAGTGCAGTCTACTCAATTGTTTGGTCCTGGGTTTGATTACCGGGCAGGACGAGATGTGTAGCCACGTTTTCTTAAACTCAATGCCTCTGTTCACATTACAGTAAATAGGTGCCTGGAAGTAAGTCAACTGTTGTGGGTCGCATCCTGGGGAAAGTCAGTCGATAGCCTAAGAAGACCCCCGATAGACTTGACAGGTTTCGTATCCCTGACGTGAAACCGCGTTGACAGTAACACACACACATACACACACGTTAAGTTAAGTGAGAGGCCAAAGAGAGGAGAGGTTAAGAGAGAGGTGGAGGCCAAAACCGTCAGTAGTTTCAAAGCATTATATGACAAAGAGTGCTGGGAAGACGGGACACCACGAGCGTAGCTCTCATCCTGTAACTACACTTAGGTAATTACACACACATACACACACTATCTGAGAACAGATCAAACACTGAGATGTGAATGCCTTTTAAATGTCCAGGGGTGAATATTCATGCGACCCGTGCCGTCAAGGGCAATAAGTGATATTGAGATAATAATTATTATAATTAACTTAATACTATAGTAATATTACAATATGTATATTTATAATTATTGTTAGTAAATGAGAAATTATAATACACTCGTAACATTTTATGGGATTTAATATTTTGTAAATAAATTTCATATAAATATTTCAGTTCATATGACAATATGTTTAATAAAGTAATTTAAATAATGAGAGGTTGTTTGCATGACTTTGAGAAACAACACCTAACTTCTGTAGTAGGGAAAAAGGTGACTACGATCATGCGCAAGCACCTGTGCCGCACCTGTCCAGGTGAGCACGCACGTCGTAGTCACCTCTTTCCCTACTCACAGGTGAATGTGACCACAGATGAATGTGACCATAGATGCATCTATCAGTGTATATAATGCACAATAAAATCACAAGACCATGATGTACGAGAAAATGTTGAAGCCTTTTATGAGAAGATCAAACAGCCGTCTCTGAACCATGAGCTCATCATGGCTCAGGAGGTAATGCGTGTGCCTCAATACTCCAGGAATGCAGCGTCGATCAATATTTTTTCCGATGTATATAATGTTCACTGACAGTTTCCGATGTACATAATGTTTACGCATACATTTTATGAGCATACGCATTAATGTACGAAATAAGGCAAATATGATTCTGGGATTTATTTCTAGATGTGTTAGCGTCAAGATACTTAATGTTATTATTCTTCAGCTTTATTTTGCACTTACTATTTTGCCCATTTAGATTATACAGTTGGTTCAATTTTAGTCTCTGAACTATATAATGGGTACGTAGTCACCTGAACGCTTATAAAGAAGGTTGACAAAAGTAATCTCAGGATTTTTTAAAAACCTCCCTATTGAAGACATAAGAAAAACTAATTTACATTCTCTAGAAAGACGAAGAGTAAGGAGTACCATGAGTTAAGTATATAAATGGATTGAAGGATGTAAGAAATGGGACATAAATAATGTTTGAAAGAAATCAACACAAAACAGAACTCGAAACAATGGACTTAAATTGGAGAGGTTTTGATTCAGGAAAGACCTGTTAGAAAAAAAAAGAGTTGAACAAATTACCGGATAACACAATTGACGTGGGTTAGCTGGACTGTTTCAAGCGTAGGGTAAACATATATACCTAAATGAGCTAAACGCTATGCATGTTAGTGGCTCTGCAAGAATGAAAGAACACCGATATTATGAACTCTTGCAACCCAGTGTACCCCTCATGTAAATAAATATATAAATAAATAGATAAAATACAAGAGTTAATTTAGGTGGATACACACAAGAGCTGCCTCTTAGGAGCCACTATCTCTTGTGCAGTTTCCCTATTTCTTATGTTATGTTAGTGACACACTTATGAGTGCTACTTTGTGAGGAGGGTTCCTAGGGGGAGATGGGGGGAGAGTTGTTTAGGCTTCACTGCCCTGCCTATTGGAGCGGCGGCGGACAGGAGAGCAACACTCACCCACCTCATCACATTCCCGTCCTGGTCGTCCACAACCAGTTTCCTGCTGGTCCGGGACCTCACTGTTGTGTCGTGACACAACATTGACCACCTCTAAGTCATTGACCACCCCCACCTTTGACAAATTCTAAGTTTTTGAGTAGCAATTGTTAGGTAAGTATGTATATTTCTACCTGAATCACAATTTTTCTAATTAATGAATAAATAAAATTTATACATATATATAAATATATAAATATATATATATATATATATATATATATATATATATATATATATATATATATATATATATATATATATATATATATATATATATATATATATTAGGGGTACCACCTCTGGAGCAATTGCAGTGACCCACATCCTCGAAGAAGAAAACAAAGAGCATTCAAAGAAGATCTTGTGGATTCTCACTGAATACTTTATTCTTTTCTTCTCCTACCACCCCTATGGAATATATATATATATATATATATATATATATATATATATATATATATATATATATATATATATATATATATATATATATATGTCGTACCTAGTAGCCAGAACGCACTTCTCAGCCTACAATGCAAGGCCCGATTTGCCTAATAAGCCAAGTTTTCCTGAATTAATATATTTTCTCTAATTTTTTTCCCTTATGAAATGATAAAGCTACCCATTTGATTATGTATGAGGTCAATTTTTTTTTATTGAAGTTAAAATTAACGTAGATATATGACCGAACCTAACCAACCCTACCTAACCTAACCTAACCTATCTTTATAGGTTAGGTTAGGTAGGTAGCGAAAAAGTTAGGTTAGGTTAGGTTAGGTAGGTTAGGTAGTCGAAAAACACATTAATTCATGAAAACTTGGCTTATTAGGCAAATCGGGCCTTGCATAGTAGGCTGAGAAGTGCGTTCTGGCTACTAGGAACGACATATATATATATATATATATATATATATATATATATATATATATATATATATATATATATATATATATATATATCACCCTAGTCGGATAGCAACGTTCTTCCTGTAACGAAAAAGACAGATAAAGGCGACTCGACAAGATATCTACAAGGAAGGAAGATGTCAAAACACCCGGAAGATAATATGTCTCTATACACAGGTTTAGAGACAACTATGTTACCTCACGTATGCCGTTCAGGCGATGGTTGAGAGCCGGTCTCAGGAGATATAGTTCAACAACTTACACATGACTATCACTGGTAAGCGCACGCACACACACAACACAACACACACACACGCACATAAAAAAAGGTCCAGAGTTATGCAACCAGACTCGTTCCGGAGCTGAGGGGATTAAACTATGCAGAAACACTGATAGAACTGGACCTTACCACACAGGAGGAAAAGAAAGATAGGGGGACATGATAACAACATATAAGATTCTAAGGGAAATTGACTAAGTAAATAAGTAATTATTAAAAGAAGGCACCAAACCGGGAAGGCTATGTAAATTGACAAAGTAGACAAAGCAGCATTGTTCAAAGCTAGGATCAGCAAAACGAGGGGTCATAGATGGAAACTGGAGACGCAAATGAGTCATAGGGACATCAGGAAGAACTTTTTCAGTGTTAGAGCTGTCTATAAGTGGAACAGATTAGACCTAGAAGTCGTTGAAACTAATTCGACTCAAAATTTTCAATGCAAATATGATAAAAGTGTTCGAAATTAATCATTGCATTAATCTTAAAAGGTTCAGAAGGCGGAACTAGGACCCTGTAAGCACATCTAGGTGAGTACACATACACAAACCTTTGGTACATGTGTGTGGCCGCGTGGTATGTGTGTATATGTGTATTTGTTCATTTTTACTAACCGAATTGTATGAATTTAATTATTTGCAGCAGTTTGGTCTCAACTCTGAATTTGTAATTGATTGATGTAAAGGTTACAGAGCCTATAAAACTGTCATACCTAGAGTTAAAACTGTGTATTGAGTCTGCCTCCACCACTTCATTTTTTAATATATTCCATTTGTTCACTACTTTGACGATGAAAAATTATCTATAATGTCTGTAGTTCGTTTGGGAACATATGTATCCCTTTATTCGTATATCACTTATCTAAATAACCTGTCCTGACTCTCCTATCTTAATATTTTGTATGTGGTGATCATGTCTTCCGCCTGCTTAATCCCTTTTTTTTAGTCGCATAAAGTTTAATTAAATTAGTCTTCAAGTACCTCGTGGTTCTCGGCTGTGAGACTTGTCTGGTTTTGTGTTGAACGATTCATGAACTCCACGTCTGATATATGTAGTATACAAATGAGTTTTTTTTTTATTTTCTAGAGGTAGTTCTTGTGGTCGCCAATCTTGCAAGTGCGCTGACTATACCCCGGCATTTGTCGACTTCGTAAGACTTCGGTAGGCTATCGACCCTCAGAGCTTTTTATGGGTCCGTTGTATCTGTCTGCGCAGCATGTTTCCGGATTTACCAAATATAATATGACTAGTGCGAGTGTTTCGATAACCGCCGAATGGGGCGGAAGTAGTGAGAGCCGTGTGTCCCGGCTTCCCGAACCTCCAAGATTGTTTACCATGATGCTGCGGAGTGTGGCTCGCGGGGCCTTCTGCAGGAATGCGTCTCTGAGAGTCTCTTCCAGTAGCAGTGAGGCCCACAGAGCCTCCTCCCACTGGAGTGTCTCTCTCGTGGCCTCCTCCAGCAAGAGCGTGTACCTAAGAGAGATCGTGTGGGTAGTGTTCGTTGGTGGGTGGCTCGTCCAGGCTGCCCTGGCAATGAAAACAGGTAACTCGTCCACTTCATGCCTAAACGTCTGAAATGTATATAGTTTCATATGTGTTGTTGATGAATAACCTCGGTGTATAATTCCATCATCCTAAGGAAGGTGTTGTGTAATGTGTAGTAAGCCTCCAGTAACCTTTTATGTTATGTCTATTAAACCTCCAGTAACCTTGGATGTTGTCTACTAAGCCTCCAGTAACCCTGCCTGTTGTCTACTAAGCCTCCAGTAATCTAAGGCATTATGATTACTAAGATTTCAGTAGCCTAGTCGTTATGTCAATTATACCTTCAGTGAACTTCAAAGTTGTATTTTGGTGTTATTTGTCGGCTCCATGGACGCAGAATGGAGGCTGCAGTTTTCCTTACAACCCAGTTAATTTTTTAAAACATTCCTATTGCAGGATCTGCTGTTTTCGAATCACTCATTTATGCAAAATAGTCCCCAATAATTGTTTCTCCAGATGAAATGTGTACATCCCAGTCACAACTTCTGACAGAACTAATTACTTGAATAAACCTTCTATCAACATTATGTATTCCCTAGATAATGCATTCTTCATAATGCATTAATTGAGTATAACAAGTACTCACTGGACCATACTTGTCACACTCTCTGTTTACACAGCTACACCGGCACCTTTACGTTCTTCCACTTGGTACACTCAGATAAGGAGCTTCGTTGAAGCGCCTGGTGTACGATTTGACTATACCCCTGGCCAATCTCGAATTGGAATTGTTAGGAGAAAGCGCCAAGCCATTACGACTATATAGCATTGGGAAGGGGTCGGGATAAGGATTTGGGATGGGACGGGAGAAGGAATGGTGCCCAACCACTTATGGACGGTCGGGGATTGAACGCCGACCTGCATGAAACGAGTCCATTTGCTACATAAGTTACATATCCTTTAGTGTTTTTGTTTACCTGCGAAACAATGCTATTTTATGCACCTGGGCGACTCTGTTCATTCAATTTCGTATGTAAGGCACAGACAGATTGCCTATGTACAGAGCGGTCTTTTTGTTAATCCGTCTATTTCATACTTCTTGGGGTTCGCAGATATTTAAGGTTCCCCACCTTAGTTAATGATGAAGACACACATCTGGATTTAAGGTTATACTCTCACAAATCCAAATTAATGGCGAGATCGCGAGTTTAGTACATATTGACATCACAATAAACTGATATATCCATGAGGAAAACTTTGGAGCAAGACGGCAGGATACAACCAACGTCCTTAAGGGTTTAGTATCTTTAATAAGTTGTGGTTTTTCGTGGGAATTTCCCGCAACACAAGTTTTACCATGTCTTGATAAGAAATCAATGAATGACTATCACCTGGTCAATGGCTAGGATATATGTCCATACGCTAACCAGTCCAGTTACTGGCAGACCCAGCAGTAACTAACTAGAGTAACCACACACCCCATTCACAGCGCCACTCCACTGTCTGTTGCTTGCATGATTACCACCGTGATGACAGCCTAAACTAACCCACATCTGCCCACCGCAGGCAACTTTGGAATTCTAGGAGTTGACAGGTGCATTTTGATCAGCTCATGCGCCAATATTGATAATACCTATGGTACTATTCAATCAACGTACCAATATGTACTGTGGACTAAATGTTACGTTTTGTATTATTGAATGAACCCAAATGACATACTAAGAAACTGAATAACCTAACCTATCCAAACAATCCTAGGCCCTAATATACGCTAAGGCCTAATATAGGATATATATGTGCTATACTAGGCCTAAGAATGCTTACGTTTTCCGCACCCTCTATAAAATTAATAGTACAAAACGTTAACATTTTTGGCTGCAATAGTCCATTTCTGAACATTCGACTAATTAGTTGCTATTAGCAATATCACGTAATAGGGTGTCATAGTACAGTAGGCTTCGTTCTCACAATCGAGGGATCCCATGTTCGTCTCCCGGGTTGGCCACAATCACCTAATTCGTCTGTTCACTTAGTAATAAATAAGTATCCAGAAGTAAACTGTTGTGGGGATGCATCCCAGAGAAGCAGTGACCACAACACAGCAGTTGCAACATCAGGATCCGCGGGTTGGTACAAGAATTCAACCAACTACGAACCACTTAGTTTGATGAAACTGAGCAGTAGAGCAATAGAAGTACATTTACATCGCATCAGGCTTGGATACCCATGTGCATGGGAAATAGGCTTACAGGTTCCGGAAGATGAGAGGAAATGTCAACACTGTGGAGAAATGCCCGACAGACCACTGGAACATTATCTAACACAGTGCACAGTTACAGCCACAACAGACCACTGGAACATTATCTAACACAGTGCACAGTTACAAACCCATTAAGATTTCAACTTAGATTCAACAGAGCAGTAGTAGTTGTTAAACACACATGACAAAATCTTACTGAAGCGACCATACGAGTCATAAATACTCATACTCCGCCCAAGTAAAACAGAAACAAGCAACACTTAGTGGGCCAGCCAGAGGCTTAGGCCCCGCGCAGAAATATCCTTGCAAAAAAAAAAAATCCCAGAGAAGGCCAGTAGTCGACCATGGAGAGGGGTGGAATACGACACAAGCCTAAAATATATATATATACACACACAGGCTTTGTGTCCCCGACAAAACTAAATATTTTAGGATGATGCATTTTAAAAGCCATAAGTAGGCTCTATGACACACACATCTGGACCAAGAAATCATAGCATGTGCAGAACGATAAGCACGCACAATGTGGAGAAAGAAAGAAAAGAAAACAGGAAAAAAATAATACAATTTTATAATTGTATTATTACAATTATTTTATAATTTTATTAAAAATAATAAATTTCCTAATACAGGAAAAACAAGTTCATTATCATGACGGATGAAGCTGGTGACGTCACACTTCCCGTATCTGGGGTTTAAAAATTATATATAAAATTTAACGAATATCCTTGTTTGTGTTTCTGGGCATGAGAAATATATATTAAAATTGGGAAGTCACTAGATGCCCATACAGTGACGTCACATGGTACACAGTGACGTCATAAGTGATCATTTTTGACGTCACTAAATGCACATACAGATGGAGCTCAGTAAAAATAATTAAAACTAAAGGTTTTGTGGGCTACTGAGTAAACAAGTACCAGGCACCACTGACTAATCAATGCCCGGCGCCACTTAGTAAACAATACCAGCCACTACTGAGTAAACAATACCTGGCGCCACTTAGTAAACAACACCAACCGCTACTGAGTAAACAATACCTGGCGCCACTGAGTAAACAACACCAGCCACTACTGAGTAAACAATACCTGGCGCCACTTAGTAAACAACACCAGCCACTACTGAGTAAACAATACCGGGCGCCACTTAGTAAACAACACCAGCCGCTACTGAGTAAACAATACCGGGCGCCACTTAGTAAACAACACCAGCCGCTACTGAGTAAACAATACCTGGCGCCACTTAGTAAACAACACCAGCCGCTACTGGGTAAACAATACCGGGCGCCACTTAGTAAACAACACCAGCCGCTACTGAGTAAACAATACCTGGCGCCACTTAGTAAACAATACCAGCCGCTACTGAGTAAACAATACCGGGCGCCACTTAGTAAACAATACCAGCCGCTACTGAGTAAACAATACCTGCACCACTTAGTAAACAATACCAGCCGCTACTGAGTAAACAATACCTGCACCACTTAGTAAACAATACCAGCCGCTACTGGGTAAACAATACCTGGCGCCACTTAATAAACAACACCAGCCGCTACTGGGTAAACAATACCTGGCGCCACTTAGTAAACAACACCAGCCGCTACTGGGTAAACAATACCGGGCGCCAAGAACTACAAAAATACCAACCTCATGCAGGCGATGAGTCACAATAACGTGGCTGAAGTATGTTGACCAGACCACACACTAGAAGGTGAAGGGACGACGACGTTTCGGTCCGTCCTGGACCATTCTCAAGTCGATTGTGAGAATCGACACAATCGACTTGAGAATGGTCCAGGACGGTCCGAAACGTCGTCGTCCCTTCATTTTCTAGTGTGTGGATTGGTCAACAATACCAACCTCAGCTGAGTGAACAGTAGCAGGCAAGAAAGCGACGCTTCAACGTCTTGTAGTCCGCTCTGCTCCTAAAATCACTTATTAAATCACTTTACCTGTGCGACTCATCAATATAAGCAATAATAAAGGTCCCGGTGGTACAATCGGATTTGTTTCTCGACTCGCAATCGAGAATCCCTGGTTCGAATACCGGGCGGGACAGATATGGTTGGGTGCATTTCCTATCACCTAATGCTTCTGTTCACCTAGCAGTAAGTATGTACTCAGGAATTAGTCAACTTCTTGTGGGGTGGCATCCTGAGTGGGGTCAGTAATTCGACCTTTGGAGAGGGGGGGGGGAGAACCCTTGATATAAGCCTAACTTGTATGAATACACTCTGGCTGCCTGTCCCCCGACACAATGAATTATTATTATTTAAAAAAACATGGTCGCTGATTGCTTACTGTAGCGACTCTCCGTAAAGTTGTTACAGTTGTATGGCCTCTCTGCCCTGTGTACCATTGAATGTATACTTGGTTAATCATTGTATCAATTATCTCCGAAAATAATGTAATTCTCTGGTGCAGGTGAGTGCGTGGAGAGCAGCCAAGCCGGGAACACACAAGTTACATTCCAAAATCGCCTGGATTTTGGTTTTCACATGTCATCGCCTGCTCCTCCTCTCGCCTTTGAGCTGTGGATTGAAGATGCAGATCATCACACCCGAAAGTGGATCTTCAAAAGGTGCGTCCGCGTGCGCGTGCGCGTGTGTGTATTCACCTAATTGTATTCACCTAGTTGTGCTTGCTGGGGTTGAGTTCTGCTCTTTCGGCCCGCCTCTCAACTGTCAATCAACTGTTTCTACTACTACTATTTTTTTTCACACCACACACACACCAGGAAGCAGCCCGTGACAGCTGACTAACTCCCAGGTACCTATTTACTGCTAGGTAACAGGGGCATAGGGTGAAAGAAACTCTGCCCATCGTTTCTCGCCGGCGCCCGTGATCGAACCCGGGACCGTAGGATCACGTGTCCAGCGTGCTGTCCGCTCGGCCACTGGCTCCCTCCCTCCCTCCTTGTGTGTGTGTGTGTGTGTGTGTGTGTGTGTGTGTGTGTGTGTGTGTGTGTGTGTGTGTGTGTGTGTGTGTGTGTATGTACCTGCAGGATCGAGCTGTTAGCTCCAGGATCTCGCCTTTCAAACGGTCAGTTGTCTAATGTATTGAATTCCGACCTATTTTTCCTCTATCATATCTGCAACATATATTTCTTTCTCACACACACATCCCATGGATGCAGCCCTTAGCAGCTGTCTAATTCGCAGGTACCTGTTTACTACTAGGTGAACAGCAACGTCAGGTGAAAGAGACTGCCCATTTGTGTTCTGCCTCGGAGAGGAACAAAACCCGGAGCCTTAGGATAACGACCCCCCCCCCCCAAGAGCGCTATGCGTGCGTGCATGAGTGCTATGCTGGAATGAGTTCTTTAAAACAAAACTAAACAATCAAATTAGTACTATACCGTTGTAGTTGAGTGCGTTGAGAGAGGATTGTCTGGCCTTTCCATGGATATGTTAGAGACTGCTTCCTCGTATACACTCACCACTTCACTGGCCACCGTGTGTTCTGCAGGCTACACGACACTTAAATCACTCAAACCACCCATTCTTTGCCCTGAAATTTAACACGCAAACTGTCACCATACTCTTTTGTCAATCACTCAAATCATTATAGTGTTTTATACTTAACATTTTCTCAATTTAAAAATCAAATCTAATGTCTTCCTTTATAACTTTCGAAACACTAATATGGGCCACACATTTATCACTTGTTCTTATGCTGCCATCGTTAATAATTGTTCTCACAGCTGTATATAGGTGGCAGACCCAGAGTGACGGCAGTATGCACCAGCCGTTCTCAAGCATCAAACTAATTTTTCACTTGAATTGTCACCTCTCTCTTTGTATACGAGACACGTCTATAGCTTGATGAATACGTTATACTAAAGTTGACTACGGTAGCTAAAGTTCTACGGCTGTAAATGTTAAATAAATAGGAAGGATGCTGGCGGGTGCCCGCACAATGGCGAGGTAAACACTGAAGGAGATCACCTCGAAAAAAAAAAGAACGCGGTCCTACCTTATTATTCATTTAAAATTTCCTAAATTTATCTTAAAAAAATTTTGTAAATCTTATTTAAGTGTTATAAATCGATAATTGATCGTTAGAGCACACTGGACAAAAATCTAAATAGTGTAAACCGGAAGGCCATATATAGTATTTCTGGGTTAAATTTAATTGTCTGCTGATGGCGATTTATCGGTACAGAGGATTAATAGCTGTGCGCACCTACAGGAATGGGATCAATTATGACATTACCACATCTTCAAAAAAATCCTCGTCAATTCTGGTGATGGGAAAGGGCTGGACGAACTGGACGCTGACTATTGTTAACAAGGCCGAGCTGATGCTCATCTATAATAACAACAACATGGCCTACAAGTATGGGCTCCCGGCACGCCCGGACGTCTGCCTCCGGCTCTCCCTACACATGATGCAACCCTTCCAACACCGCTTCTGTTATCCAGGTAGGAGTATATACACATCCTAATGTGTTTTATGTGTGTATATCCACCGATCCTGATTAACTCTATCCTAATTATTAATTCTGATAGAATTTACCTACTTAAAATTATCTGTTAGATTAAGGACCTGCCCGAAACGCTACGCGTACTAGTGGCTTTACAAGAGTGCAATTACTGTACTATGCTATGTATTCTCACAAACCCAATGTACCTTCTTGTATATAAATAAATAAATAAATAAATAAATAAATAAATAAATAAATAAATCCTCGGTGAATATACACCGATGATGTGTATATACATCATATATTCAGTGTATATACATTTATTCAGTGTATATACACCGATCCTCGGTGAATATACACTGAGAGATTATATATATATAAATTCAGCATGCTGACCAACCACCAATTATACTTTAATATGCTCAAACTAAAGTATACTTGTTGGTTGGTCAGTACGCTATTATTGAATCCTTAATAACCGATAGGCTTTAAATTAAAGCCCGACAACAAACCCAATCAAACACAGTTTGTGGGTCAGACGCTGGTGAGAGAGAAATGGACATACTGTCCCTTTCTCTTTTTTGTGTCCTGTGGTAGGTTAGGATAAGGGCAGTTTAGTACGACACTTTCTTGACGTTGGGAATCCTTAGGAAGACGGGCTGGATTCTCGGCCCATCTTCGTAACATTTCCCAACGTCAAGAAACTCTCGTACTAAAGTGTCTTATCCTAACCTACCAGAGGACCCAAAGCAGAAAACGGGACAGTATGTCAATTTCGCAAGCCGCCACCAATTTCTAGTACGACAGTCTTTGGCCTTAGGTAGAGTATACGACAAAATGCGACGTTCTATTAGGATACGTTGCAGCTGACATTACTGATCCATCCTAATCGTTTTTATAAAAACAAGGATTTGTAGCAAAATTTAGCAGGGGGGGTTGGCACAGATGGGGATCTTTATGTATGTTTTACTTAGGTAGTACAGTTGAGTTCATTCTCGACTCACGATCGGGAATCCCTGGCAGGACAGAAATGGTTGGGCATGTTTCCGATCACTTAATGCTTCTGTAAACCCGGTAAATAATTAGTCAACTTTTGTTGTTGCCATCGGAGGCGGCTAGTTTATTGTGCAACCCATACTCATCCTGTGAGCGGTAGTTTATTGTGCTCCCCATACTCATCCTGTGAGCGGTAGTTTATTGTGCACCCCATTCTCATCCTGTGAGTGGGTAGCGCAAAAAAGGATTACAGAGGGCACAAAAGATCTTTATTAGACCTCAATGGTAATGATTACATTAACAATTTCATATATCCTTCACACCTTATTGTGCACCCCATACTCTTTCAGTGGGATGAGTTTATTGTGTCATGTTTATTGGATGAGTTTATAATGTCAGCTAGTTACAGAGATGGGTTACATCCTGCGAAGGTCGGTAGTTCCACCTTAGCGGGATTTCCATATAAGCCTAACATATACTGTATATACACAGGCTGCGTGTCCCAGACAAAATGAACTATACAAATTATGTATATACACAGGCTACGTGTCCCAGACAAAATGAATTATGCAAGTTAATTATTTTAAGATTATTTATTGAATATAATTTAAAATAATATATTTGTTCTTACTTTTACTTAAATGCATTTCACAATTTACATTTGTATTTACAATGGGGATGCTTTATTTTCTCAACTAATTTTACTTTAATAAAAATAAAATATTTCATAACTGCACATCTGAATAATAAACATTATTGGATAAAACAAAATGCCGCATTTCAGAGGAAAGCAACCAGTGTGTGATAACAACAACAACTAGCACCCTTGAAATGGTCTCGAAAACACCTGAAACAACTACACCCGAAGACACGCCCGGAACAACTACACCCGAAGCCACGCCTGGAACAACTACAACCAAAGCCACGTCTGGAACAACTACAACCGAAGCCACGTCTGGAACAACTACAACCGAAGCCACGCCTGGAACGACTACAACTGAAACACCACATACTTCTAAAACACCTGGAGCTCCTTCTGCAAGTAAAACACCTGAAATTCTCCACGCAAATACATCTGCAAACCCTAGTAAAGAAGAGCCTCTGACCAGCTCTCCGGCCTCTGCCATAAGACCCATGATTCCACCAAAGAAGGCGGCTGCGGACGCCAGAAACGACGACGAACCGGTGGCCATCAGAAAGGAGAAGGAACTCGCTGGAGAGAGTACCTCTGCAGGACACACAACGGAGGGGAAACTATATGTTCTCGTCGCCCTTTTGCATGCGTGGTTGATGCTGTTGGCGTGAAGTATAGAGTTATGTTGCACATATTAAGGTGATTCACGTCTTACGTTAGGGCTATAGCAATGACTTAAATACTTTGTATCAGGGCTTTATCAGTAATTATTATTTGATACTTCATACGACTGATGATCCAGTTCCCATATAGTAGATTATATATTTGCTAAATTCAAGTCTTTTTATATTTCCTAAGTGCAACACACTGGGGTTTTAGGATAAAAGAACATATAACCTGCATAGGTGGGAACCAAAAAATCCCTTACGCCTGGCTGTCATTTCTTTATGTATCCCTTTTAAGACATTTTTTTATCAATAAAATTTGTTTTAAATTGAAAAGGGTTCCTTGCTTCATTTATTGTATCTATTTTCCTGTATATACATCATATAATCCCAAAGGATATTTCTCTTAAAGATTCAGAAAGCAAAAACGCTTTGCATATTTCCTTTTTTTTTGTTGTTGACGTAGTGTGTCTCCGAGAGTTGAAGGAAGCAGAGGGGAAGATGAATTTCAGCCGCCTGCCTTCATATTTCTGTAAGTTTAGGGCCACCAGACCTTTCTTGAGGCCCGCAACCTGTGCCAAATATGCTAAGCGGTGTGAGGAGGGCCATGACAAAGCCGTCATGGATGACCTGCCGGAGGCTGAGGGGTCCAGGGGCCGCCGCCAGACACCCACCATGATGGCCGGCCTCCTCGCAAGCCTCGCCGGCCTCGCCACCTACAATGCTATTCGCACCCATAAATTTGATTTGTCGGTAAATGAACAGGAAACAGATTCCTCGCCGGCCGAACCTCGACCACGCGGAGAGCTCAATACACCACCAGCTGCTGCTCCTGTACCACTCAACGGGGCATCGCCTGTACCATTCAGCGGTGCACAATCTTCTAGTGATATCACACTAAAGCCTCAAGTTGTTTTAGTGCCTCCAGAGCACACCTTCCTGGTGATTGTGCCCGTTAAGGAGAGTGGTAAACCCCAAGAACCCGGTGGGGACGCGCCTCGCTACCATTATGAGGGTAAGAATGATATGTCATGAAAGCTAAGGAATCATTATCATGTTACAGGTTGTGCTAATAACCAATATTATGCATGGAATGCTTTACGTCGCCCTATAGTCTCTGCTAGTATTTTTTCAACACTTATGATATCGTAAATATATCACATTTCAAGCAACGTTGGGTTTGGTTAGTACTTGGATGGGTGACAGCCTGGGAACACCAAATGTTGTTGGCAATAATGTTTGGGGGAGGGGGTAGAAATAGCCTAAGCTATTCTATCCTTTTGAGATGCATTTCTTTCTTGTCTCAATAAACATACTTGAACTTGAAGGTCAGGTTGAAGGGGGATGATAAAGTACAGTTATAAGATTTTTATAATTATATTAATGATTGGGAATAAGTGAGTGACAAACCTGGATAAATTAATGTGCAACAATTAAGGTTACACACCACCCAGTTTTTATAATTAAACGCCTAAAATGGACTCCATATATTATTTTTACTTATTAATATTGGTAAAATTATAAGCATAATGCTGAATATATAATTCAATCTTACTTTTATGTTTGAGTGACATGAAAGTTCACGATAGTATTCAAAGAGATGGTCAGGTCTTACACAAGCCGATTCGACAAAGCTAGTTTAATGTTTAAAACAGTATATATTCTTGGGTTAATTTAGTTTGAGTTAGGTTTGGGTTAGATCGGGTAATGTTAGATAGGTTTTAAGATCGTTGGCAAACCGTTTGGTGTACGATGTGTCATCCTATTCAAACGGTATTTTTTCTGCATTGATGATGAAAAGATGTATCAAGTAGAATCCTGTCACTTATTCTTCCAGTGACTAAAGATAAACACTAAATTAGTTGAACAAATAACTGAATTAACTGAACACTAACGTAGCCAAGCCTCGCAGTATAATGCTGATCTTTTGGTTCATAGCTGTATCTTAGTGGCGTAGGTGTGCTTTGACTGCTATAGTAGAGACGCCTGAAATAAAGCATAAAATATGAAAGACCATGGAGTGGATTTTGTTGAATATATATAAATTAACGTAGGATCACAGGCATGCAATTATATTATCTTTAACGCAACTTGTTTCCACTAGTGTGTCAAAAGCACAAAAAGTAAAAAAGATCAGGCTGACAAAACCATGGACGAACCCCAACCACTTTTTCAGCAATAAAGATCTCCAAACCTTTCCTTTAACCATTTTTCTTTACTGGCCTTTTCCTGTGGCCGTATTGGCTACTCTTGCATCTGAGGGGAGAAAAGGCTAGATATGTCAAAAGCACTGTGTTAAGTTCTTGCATCTATCGTAGGATAGTAAACTGTAATGCCTAAATATCAAATACACTATCCCTTAAGACGAAAGATTATTCCCTAAGACAAAAGATATGTTAACTAAAGTTTCATTTGAAAAGGAAGAATTTGATTATTAGTTCGGTAAATCTACCAGGAAAATTATGACCGTTCTTTAGGATATTAATACTTGCAATGAAAATAAGGAAAGGATAAGACAATAATAGTGGTTATCAATATTATAATAACATTGCAATTCATCAGGAGTTTCATTGTGGAAGAAGTTTCAGAAACAGAATCTTTTGTTGGAGTAGATCTGAATAATTCTTAGGGGTCTAGTGCTGAGCCATGGGCCCAAATAATAATAAAACAAATAATATGTAATAATAATGTTGTGATACCTATAAGATTGACGAGTACTTACCCCCTATAGTATACTTAAGCTAGAAACACATAATTGGAGTAATTTTTATGAATATATATAAGTTGATATACCCAGTGAGAAGTAATTATATTTGGTCAAGGCTTTATATAAACATTATATAGGTCAAGGCTCTTTTTATATAAACATTTAATAGATTTTGGTGTGCAGTTAAGCCTTCTTAATAGATGATGGCACTTATTATTATTATTCCCCTTTTTATATAAACATTTTTAATCTGGAGCTTATGCTTTGTTTCTTTCTTAACATTAATTTTTTGACAAATAGTTACAGATATATATTTTGTATATACTTTTTCTCATATATGAGAAGCGTTTATTTTTAACCTCGCACTTCATCTCATCGGTGTTAATTATATACATTATTGGTGTAAACCTAGTAATGTATAAAATAAAAACTAAGAAGAAGGATAATGCAAAAATGTTGTAGCATAAATATGTAACTACATACTGTATATTAGGATATCTAAGCAACAGCAATGGTGTGTAAATTAAATGTATTCTTTCTTGCGGGAGGATCTCCCAACACTAAATACTCTAATTGTAAACTTTGTGAACAAGAGCTATGTCACTCCTTAACACTATGTGGTATTCGTGAATACTAGATTACGCTGATTAATGCTGTCAATAATTGTAGACCAAATGGTTCAAGTTTACCCTTGAGCTTTGTAGCTATTACATTCACCCGTGAATATTAGGAGATATTGTTATATTCTACTCAGTTTGCTAGTGCAGGCTAGTAGATTAGTTTTCCTGCTATTCCATGAATGCCAACATGTTCTGTGAGATGTGGATATTAGATGGACTTATAGCCACCTCATGACCTATGTTATATCCCTCATATAAAATAGGGTACCTAAGCTCAATAATAATGATAATAATAATAAATATATATTGTAGCAGAGATATACTGTTTAAATGGATAAATAAATTATATGATCTAAGAAAATGTACTTTTTACTTTCAGATTCACAATCAATAAATCTGTCATAAATTTAAAGATATCCTAGGTAAGGATGCTCTCTTGTATGAAGATATGAAAATTTCCTCTTTAGTTAAGAATAATTTTCTTTTCGCAGCTGAGAACACCGCGTCTCCAGATGCAAATACATTTTCCTACCCACCTGAGAAGATGTCTCCTCCACCTTTGAATTCTCCATCCTCAGCCAAGAAGACCGCAATTTCTCCAGCCGAGAAGACCCCATCTTCTCCAGTCGAGAAGTTCCCAATTTCTCCAACCGAGAAGACCCCATCTTCTCCAGCCGAGAAGACCCCATCTTCTCCAGTCGAGAATGCCCCATCTTCTCCAGCCGAGAATACCCCATCTTCTCCAGTCGAGAAGACCCCATCTTCTCCAGTCGAGAAGACCCCATCTTCTCCAGTCGAGAAGACCCCATCTTCTCAACCTGTGAATACTCCATCCTCCCCAACGGAAAAAACTCTATCATTCTCCGAAAAGGATGATGGACAGCTTGAAAAGGGTATTTCTCTGGATGGTAAGTGGAGCTCTTTTACTGTACAAATATAACGCTTATTGCCTAATTTGTGAGTTAATAATATGGGGTGTATAATAACGTTAGTTAGTTTAGTTCATTTATTATGCACCCCATACCCATCTTGTGGGCGGTAGTGGAAAGGGTTACAGAGGCACATAATGGGCTCAGGGACTGAACCCCACAATTCATTTAGCTAAGCTAAATGAATTGTAACTAGCTCATCAACTTACAATCTTGATGAGCTAGTTACAAAATTCAATATAAGTCGTCACATCAACAATGGGTTCGAGATCGACCTCAAGTACAGGTTCTAAATTAAGCAACTGACATATGTGGAGAGCTAGTGTCACAATTTATATGTTTGTCCTGCACACCGCCCCCCATCCAGTGGGCAGCGGTGGATAGGTTACAATAACTTAGTTACTACCTACAGTTAGCAAACTGGGGATATTTGGCTAGCAACTAAACTCTCAGATCTAGAAGGTTGTGTTGAAGTTCTTGGTGTATTATTGTTCTCGGTTTTCTTATAGGCACTCAAAGGTTATAGTCAACCTCTTTGAAGACATATTACATTATATTATAATCAGCAACGTTTGACACACAACACGCACTTGACTATTGCATCTCACACTGAAATTTGAGCCATTTAGTCATAAATCTTAAACGTTCGTTGCATGAAATGACAAGTTTTTTATTATAAATGATAAAATAGCTAAAATTCTTGGAATTTATTTTTTATTTCGCTTCTAGTAGATAAAGGAAATATATATGATGAAAATGTAAGCTGTGTTCCCTGATATCATAAATATCAAATCTATTATTACCCGTAGTATCCAATGGTGAAAATTGCTTGAAGTATTTAAGAATAGTTTTAAACAGTCCCCGTGTCTTTTACGGGCTATTCATGCCCGTGCCACCTCTTGGGTCGATTAATCTTCATCAATCAATGTCTCTATAGGGCAGTGGTAACACCCCACGCTTCGCGAGCACTTTGGCCTGGGCTCGAATCGTGGCCAGAGGGGATTGACTAGTTTCCAATCCTTAACTGTAGCCTCTGTTCACCCAGCAGTGAATGGGTACCTGGCTGTTAAATGATTTGGGTGATCGTATTCCGGGGAAAATTATGATTAAGGACCTGCCCGAAACGCTATGCGTGCTAGTGCTACAAGATATATACAGTACAATATATTTCAGAGCGGCATTGTAGCTACTTAATTCCAGTCTTAACCCCAGTTTATTCTAAAATCAGTATTTAGCAAAAAAGTAAGGAAAGTGTTAACGTAGAAATGATAATGGGAGAATAAACGGATTGCCCGAAAACGTCCGAAAATGTCCAAAACGCTATGTGTACTAGTGGCTGTACAGGAATGTAAGAACTCATTGTAGAAATAAATAAATAAATAAAAAATAAAAGATAATGAGCGGTGGATGAGGTTGGAGCGGAAACGCTTAGCTACCACAGTGCCAGACTGGACGAGGCTGCCAGTTAGCCTGGAGACCCCACTGACTGAGGACGTTGGCAGCCATGGCCACCATAAAGTGTCCAACCACAGACAAATGTGAAGGTGGGCTAAACCGAAAGTGCATGTGGTAAAGAAAGTGTATATCATTGATTTCAGTAGAAACATCCAAAGTTTTAGAATTAATTCTTTTTTTTTTCTTCTTGTTTTTAATTTGACGGTTTCCTGTAGATTACTTGTCGTTGGCCGCTTATCAGTGTGTAGTAGGAGAATGTTTCTGTATTGGGTATTTTCATCAAATTACCCCTACAAAAAGGTGTATTTGGAGTGTTTTTAATCTAAATAACCTCACTTTGATACCTTCCTGATGTTTCACAAGTTCGATATTGGTCATTTAATTATATAGCAGTTTACCAATATTATAAACAAAAAAGTCCAGTAGAATAGTAGAGTTAAATCTGAAAACAATTAATCGAAGAGCTTTGGAAAAAATAGTGAATTATAGTATTCAAATTCTGAACGTCTCCCAATATGTACTAACCCTTTTCTATATGGCGACCTCCCCCCCCCCCCCACACACATCCCAAAAAACTTCTCACTTTCGTAGTGGCAACATTATAGAATCAAAAAGAAAATGAATTGTTTAATATCCAACGTTTTAATACAATATACACTTAAAATAATTTACAGGCTAGAAGCAAAATTTGTGAGTATTATTTATTATTAACATCTTTATTGACAAAATTTAATTACAATTTTGCCTAATCTGAGGAATTCAATTAGATCTTATAATAATGGCGAGGATAATGCTGGTATTCACTGTCACACAGGACAGAGGGTCATACACAAGACAATAGGTCTAAACTGTAGGCTGATGCACATGTATATCATGGTTACAATCATTGTTTTAATGTATGAATATGTAAATACAACTTTTTATTGTGCAGTTGTACGGGTTCTGTTGAGCAGATGGGTTCATAAGAGATGCAGCTTTAAAATAATATAAATAAAATTGTTCTTCATTCTTTAAAATGGACAAACAAATTTTGGATAAATTGTTAGGATGTCGTCCAGTACACCTGATGCAATGAAATAGTTACACAGTTGGTGGTACAATAGGCCAGGAGGTTTAAAATCTTTTATGGTTCCACATTGAGCAATATAGTGTTCTGGTGAATGCATTAAAGGTTTGTCATAGTTTACAATATTCTGGCAGTGGCTCAGCCTCGCTAACCTGCCAGATGTGCCTATAGCCAAGGCGAATTACCATAATGACTACATTACATTGCCTGGTCCAGTTATTGTTTATTTATTACTATTTATTAGCAACCATTTATAGTGGCGCTTACCTTGAAGAAAACATGTCGCAGTGGTACTAGTTATTTGAAGGAAAGATCGCATATATCGTCACTGTTGTTATTGTCAATGTATATATGTTTACTGTATGGACAGTATCTTGTGAAAGAAATAATAATGTTGAAAATTAAATGTTGCCACTATAAAGCCGCATAAAGTGTCACTACCTGTTTGTTACGTCTTTGTAATAAGAATAATAAGTACTAGAAGAAGAAGAATGCAATAAGAATAAGAACAGACATTCTTATTTATATATATAGATTAGGTTAGGTATGTAATTCTGAAAATGTCTGTACTCGCCGATAAATCATCATAACACCATTGTCCACGTTTATGGGCTGGGGGGGGGGGAAGGAACTCATCTACTCGAATCGATCGATGGATTGATTGTACAGGTAAAGTGTGAGCTGGAAGTGGGGACAGAAGGAACAATAGTCTGGAGAGGAAACGCCGCAGTCAATGAGAATAGTGCCAGGGCTTTACCCAGCTGCAGGCCTTGTAGTCTGGGTATATATGCATATTGGCATTCAAGCTTGTTCGCATTTGTAGTGCTCACGTGGCCCCACAAAGCGAGGTGATTCGATGAAATAACTATGCCCAAGTTTACCACCAAGTGCAAAGTGCAAGTGGAAGTATGGTTATTTTTGTTTAATAATAATAATAATAATAATAATTCATTGTGCTGGGGGACAGGCAGCCAGAGTGTGTTGATACATACACACACAAATCACAACAGCGTGATACATCAAGTGAACAAATCCACAAAGGCCGTGGTGAGGGTTCGAACCCTCATCACGGCCCTTGTAGATTTGTATTCATACATGTTTTGGCTTTTATCGAGGTCTCGCCCCCCTCCCCAAGCCTGAATTACTGACCCCGCCCAGGAGACAACCCCACAACAAGCTGACTGACTCCTGAGTACCTACTTACTGCTAGGTGAACAGGTGCATTAGGTTAAAGGAGATGTGCCCAACCATTTCTGTCCCGCTCGGGATTCGAACCCGGAATTCTGGATCGTGCGTCGAGAACGAAGCCAACGATACTACTGGAGCCTTAATGTATTTAATGTATTAATGTACATTATGCGTAATGTGCATAATTTTATTTGGTTTTCAATCCCGCCGCCCGTCCCCTATTTAGTGGGCAGCGGTGGAAAGCTTAGTCACTCACATTCACTACCTACAGTTAGCAAACTGGGAATATTTGGCTAAAATTTCTGGTAGTAGATAATTTTGAATGACGTGATTTACGAATGACGTAATTTTGAATGACTCAAGATAATATAAGATATTTACATATTTCTTGAACATTTGTTATAGAGCTGTCTATAAAAATCTATGTATCCTTTCGCACTCCATCACATAGTGACGGAGGGTGTGCGTATTTTTGCTGACAGTTTACATTTGGTCAAGTTTCCACCAACAAGTAATCCAGAGATACTTATACTCGAGTCTCAGCCGAGCAATAGGAACATCTAGGAGTCTACTGATTTTAGTGAATGATCCATGGATATGTGGCCCTTCTTGCATCATAATATGATAGATGGAATTGCTGGAGTTTGATTTCACTTTACCTCAGATCCACAAAGGTTTGGTTGAAGTTCTTCGTATTTTATTGTTCTAGAGTTGCCTAGACAGGCAAACTGCTGTGGGTTACATACTGGAGAAGGTCAGTTGTTGGCTTATGGGGACCTCCACAAGCCGAATAGGCTTACTGTCCCCGACAATGGGAAACTACATACTGTACATCGAAACCACTGTTTAGTTTAGTTCATTTATTATGCACCCCATACCCATCTTGTGGGCGGTAGCGGAAAAGGTTACAGAGGCACATAATGGGCTCAGGAACTGAACCCCACAATTTATTTAGCTAAGCAAGTTACAATCTTGATGAACTAGTTACAAAATTCAATACACATCGTCACATCATCAATGGGTTCGAGATCGACCCCAAGTACAGGTTCTAAATTAAGCAACTGACATATGTGGAGAGCTAGTGTCACAATTAATATGTTTGTCCTGCACACCGCCCCCCATCTAGTGGGCAGCGGTGGATAGGTTACAATCACTTAGTTACTACCTACAGTTAGCAAACTGGGGATATTTTACTAAAATTTCTGGTAGCAGATCATTTTGAATGAAATATTTACACATCGTTGGAACATTTGTTATAGAATTGTCTCTGAATTCACGTATCTTTTCGCACTCCATCACATAGTGACGGAGGGTGTGCGAATAATTTTGTTGACACAGTTTACATTTGGTCAGGTCTACATCGGCAGATAATGAGAATTCCCAGAGATACTTGTAACCGAGTCTAAGCCGAGCAGTAGTAACATCTAGAAGTCTGCTGATTTTATTGGATGAACCATAGATGTGTGGCTCCTCTTGCATGATAGTATGATGATAGATGGTATTACTGGTGTCGATTTCACTTGGTCTCAGATCTACAAAATTTTGCTGAAGTTCTTGGTTTACTGCTGCTCTCAGACTGCTTATTAACAATCCAAGGTTATACTCAATTTTTCCTTTAAAGGCAGATTCTTTGGCTAACGTATCAGCTCTATCATGCATTCGGAGTCCAAAATGAGATGGAGTCCACTTGAAATGGACTTTGTGTCTAGCTTCAGACACGAGCATTTTACAGTTATGTCTTAAAGAGTTGAGAGCAATTAAGGATGATAAGGAGTCACTTACAATTAATGTATCAAGTTTGGAGACTTGTACACATTTCAGTGCAAGAAGCAAGGCAATTAGTTCGGTCTGAAGAGTAGAGGCCCAGTTGTTTATACGGACTCCCTACTAAAAATATAACCCATCACCCATTGTCAGGACAACTGCACTTCCAGCTGCACCCTTGGGGCGGTGTAGGGAACCATCAGTGTATATGATTTAATAGAGAGAATGTGACCTCCACTGTGCGGAACAAATGTAGATGCTTATACTAAAGTTATCCCTTTACTATTGGTTTTCTTATAAAATTTGGATGGTACGTTTCACATATGTAAATTCTATGATGAAAACTCTTTTATGTATTTTACCTTATGTTTTTTCAAACATTGAAGGTATATGTTTAATGCAGCAACATATATGTAGAATGTAAATTAACGCAAGGTCCTCCAGTGTTCCGTGTAGCTCCAGGTTTTCGCTGGACTTACCAACCAATCAGCGCTCGGCTTACAAACACCATTCATTGAGCTGGCCCAATCAGCTCTAGCCTTACAAGGACGGCCAACCCGCCTCGTCCCTTTCTACCACTAACTTGGTATCTTGCGGCCGGGTGTACCTTGACTCCTGAAAAAGTGAGTATTAGCGGGTATATTGTATGGAAAAGGCCTTTATTACGGTATGAACGCGAAGCACAAGGACAAAGCGTTGATGTGATCCAACTGGGAGATGTTTAGGATACGTAGATGGTGAGAAATGTGTTAGTGTTGTAAGGTGGGTGCTCGCGGTATGTGGTGGTGTAGTAATGACGAAATCCTAGAATCAGCTGGCCGGCTACGCGCTCCACAGATCGATATCTGCTACTTTCCCCAAGATAAATTTTATTTGCGTATTTAGTCAGTGTATAATCAAGATTTGAATTGCAATAGTTTTTATGAAATTTAAAAGTATACAGTAGAATATTGTTAATGTACGGTGGAGTAAAGGAAAATGCGTATAGCTCGAGCCGGCTCTCGAGAATAAACTGCCTAGAGTATTTTCTTATTATTAAGGAACTCTTATATAACCATCCTGCGAGTGACTGACAAGCGTTATTCACACAAGAGTTCAGGAAAACGACAAAAGTTAAAATTTGTGGCGAGCAAGTTCCGTATAGTTCAATTTGCTCCCCACCCATCTAGAGTGGGCGGCGGTGGAAAGGTTACAATATAACGCATGCACTACCTAGTGAAACCCATGGGTTACTGCGGTTAAGATTTTTGGTAGTACACGAGACAGGTACTGCTAAGTGCCTGTAGCCCCACGGGTCATGCAGCGTAGCTCGTTTACAACCATAAGGTACAACCTTTAACAAGCCGCCGGCTTTCTGCCACTAGTGTTTAGTAGCCCTCGGGTAAATAAGGTCCAGAGTTCTATTTCCGCGCAGAATGGAGACGTTTGGGATGATTTCTTTGTGCCTGATGCATCTGTTCACTTAGGAATAAATAGGTACCTTAGATGATCGAGAGGGACCCTTGGTAAGCCTAACAGGCTTCCTGTCTCCTACCGTGTGAAACCATTTTTTAGTGCAGGTGGCCAAACGTCACCCACTAAGAACGCGCAGGGATCGCAGATTAGGGAAAAACTATATTGAAATGTCGGTTCCGAATATACAGTGAGGGAACTAAAGAAACGAGCCAAACATTGTGTAAAACTGGATCCGGTGCAAGATGCAGTTTCAAGTGTGGGTTGGACATGTACATTAGTGGGATTGGGTGGTTATCAATAGGAGCTGCCTCGTGTGGGCCAATAGGTCTTCTGCAGTTACCTTTGTTCTTATGTTCTTAAGTTGACTGAACGGTACCTTATTGATACTACCTACCTTGTCTACCTTCCGGGGGATAGATTCCCGCGGCCCTGCCAACGTACGACCAGGCCTCCCTCTTGATTAAACATTGGCCAAAGGCGACCTAAACCATGGATAGTGAATGGATTACCACTGAAAACCACTAATTACATAGTGGTTTTGAAGTGATCATCGTCAGGGTAGTTCCTCTGGGGACAGGTTGTTGCTCTGTAGGTGGCAAGACCAAGGTAAAAATTGCATCTAATCTTGGGAATTGCACGCGTTTTTTTTTTTTTTTTTTGCCCCAGATGAGGCTGGAGGTGAAATTTTTACTACTGGTGGTGTAGCAGGTTTAGGTTAATAGCTAGAATCGGATGATGCACACGGGAGCTAGTATGACAGGCTGGTTATGCATTGGTAGTCTCCTGTCACTTGTTACTTTGTAATTTGTCACAGTGCATACAAATTAAAAACAAATGCATTGTTTAGTTGAATTGTGAGGGTTCAGTTCCTGCGCCCTATGTGCCTCTGTAACCTTTTCCACTACCGCCCACGGGATACGTATGGGGTGCACAATATGGAACTCAAATGTTAACCTATCCTCAATAGGGAGGAGGTTTAGGTTAAAATACTTTGTGAACACACCCATTCTTTGCGTGGTGGAAAAAGTACAGTCCTGCGTATAGAGGTTTAGCGCGCGCTCGCCTGACGTCGCATAGTTGCCAGTTAGTGTAACATTAATTAAATCTGGCAAGTAAGACAACATTCGGTTATTTTCGTATCGTTGAGAACATTGCAAATTTGGTTGGGAAAATATATTAACGTGTTAAGAAGGTACAATCGTTATACATTAACTTCTGGTTTGTAAATATGGCGACGTGAACTAGAACTGGAGGGCACTTCTAGGAAAAGGAGAGCCAGGGAATTTTAGTACTTGGCATTTCATCAGTAATTCTGACGCAAGACAATTATTGAGGTTGTGGTATAGATATAATTCTCGGTAATATAACTACAATACTCATGTTTTTGTTGCACATAGAGTATACCTAATGTAACGCTAATAGTAGTTAAGCCTAACAGATATACTGAGTTTATTGGCGGTCAACCTTTGATAGAATTTTGTTAAAAAAAAAAGATGTGTGTATTTTACAGTGAGCGTTTATCACATGCGTTGTGTGCACAGGTTTTCAAAATATGGTGCACTAGTGGAAGTGTAACTAAATATCAGCATTTTTTATTCAATTTTTCTTTATTATGCACCCCATACCCATCCCATGGGTGGTGATGGAAAGGGTTACAGAGGCACATAATGGGTTCAGCAACTGAATCCCATAGTTCATTTAGCTAAGCAAGTGACAATCTTAAAGATACACAATTGCTAATGTTACATACACATGTACAGTATATATACTGTATAATCATTTACACATACATATACATATCAATAATCTTTTATATCACAAGTGATTCAACAAGAGGCTCACAATGCTATGTAAAATGTCTTACTAGACCTGTAAACAAATGTTTACCAGAAAGATGAATAATTGGTGTGGTATAAAGGGTAAAATAAACCATATGCTTATGGGTGGGTGTTATTGAAGTTTGTTTATAGCAGAATGCATGACATGTATTAACATGGTTTCAATATAGATTTTAAAGTGTTATAATAGGTGACATGCTTTTTGTCTACGGATGTATGCTCCTCTTTGTTCGATATGCAACGATATACATTTAAATGTATTCCTTCTACATTAATAAGCTTGACAACTCTGTAATATAAAAATTAGTAAATAGTGGATCCTTGGATACCTCCTAAATGGGACCAGGATGAGCTTCATAAGTTTTAGTGGAGAGCAAAATAAAGCCTTGCATATTAAGTTTAACTATTAATTTATTATTTTAAAATATCTCCTTGCATTTATATATTGTCGAATATTAATACGAAGAAATTGGGTATATAGTACTGATATATAATATCAAACTTTTGCATAATTGAATCTAGATACTACTTCAGTCTAGCCAGCATTTTGATAATTTGTTACTAATAACATTTTATTGCATACATAGAGAATTTAAACTAAATATAAAATCTCTCTTCTTTGTCTAGAAATGGGTGACGTGGAGAAGGGAAAGAAGATATTTGTGCAGAGGTGTGCACAGTGCCATACAGTGGAGGCTGGAGGCAAGCACAAGACTGGGCCTAACCTCCATGGTCTTGTTGGCCGCCAAACTGGACAGGCTTCTGGTTATGTTTACACTGATGCTAACAAGTCTAAAGGAATCATTTGGAGTGCTGAAACATTGGATGAGTACCTCACCAACCCTAAGAAATACATTCCAGGTACCAAAATGGTATTTGCAGGGTTGAAGAAGAAGAAAGAGCGTTCTGAATTAATAGCTTATTTGGAATGCGCCACTAAATAGACACTTGGGACTTGTTCGCAGGAATAGAATAATCTCAAGAGTATTGAACCTCGGGGTACACGTCAGTGATTAGTGTTATCAATCAACATGGAAGACTCTTTGACTGTCTGAATTAGTCCCCATTGTACATATAGTTCCCAAGGGCTTGTCAGTGTCTGGGTTGGTCAAGAAGAGAATGAGAGCATTGCTCTTTACTAGGAAAGTCTTAATTCTTTTCCCTTCTTGATCCCTGAGCTTCTGCTAATGCTCTAAAGGAGTTTTATTTATTTTTACCCACAATGTACCATCTAGTTGAAAAGATTTTAACTATGTTTTGAAATAAATGTATAGTTCATTAATTGTCCCTTTATTTGTCCATTTTTATAACAGAAGTGAAGGATTTAATATTAAAACATTAAGGCTTTGCAGGATCATTTGATTGAAACTGTATATTATTTCCCACCAATAATCCCAGTGTAAAGTGTTACAAAATCCAATATTGAAAGCTGGAAACAACTGGTTGTTTAATATGATTAAGACGACGACCGTACACAGTAAAATTATCCCTTAATCGCTAACATAGACATAACACGTTGAAGGCTGATAAGATAGTCTGTGATATAAAGTGGTTGATGGCTAATGGGACTGGTGCTCGAGGCAATGTATTTCAAAGGAGCATTAAAATTTCACTGTCTAGACAATTCAAATATGCGTTCTTAAATTTGACTGCAATGTACATAGGTTCTATATTCTGTACTGTTGTCATTAAAATAATGCTCTATGCAGAGATCCCATTAAAACTCCACTGAGTTTTGTGCACTTATATTGCACTGCATAATTTATGCTTGCTTGTTTTGTCTAGTAAAAATATCTTAATCCAATTTAGTATTTAGTCTCTGGTGCCATGTACAAATATTCTAGTCAACCAGATGCAAATCTGGTTGACTATTCCAAATCCAAGATCCAAATTATGCTTCTAATACGTGTGGGCAGGTTTCTTCAGACTTTTTTTTATGAACTGGCAACCCCTGTACAAATTTTCCACCACTTCCCTTAATGTCCAGGATAAAATCATATCTAGGCCTTCTGTCTAATTATGTTCAGTTCTAACAAGTTTGCTGGTTGGGTGGGGATAAACAAGTGAAATGTACTTGTTAATGCCATCCCACTTTTTCTGCACTGTCACACAAGCTGCAGCAATGTTTTCTATTGTTTGTAATTATTGCCTCAAACACCCGAGGTAATACAACGGTTACAGCTTAACCTCCAGCTTAGAGGCAGGAGCCAGAGATCTAAAATAATATCTACTCATGAAATAGTCGGATTAGGCGAGACTGCTACCTGCACTACATTAGCTACTAGTATACTACTAGCAGCTAAATTACTATTAGCATCACAGTAGTAATTTAAAATGAAAATGAACTTTCAACTATTATAAACGTGACTGATGTAGAGCAAATGCTTCAGGTAACCTCAAGATAGCTTGAGGGGTAATTACCCCTTGGACTTTAGAATCTTAAATCAAAGTACAGGGTAGTGGTCTGAACTGTTAAACCATTCTTAAATTGGTACAGTATATTTGAATATAAACGTACAAGTTTTACATAAAGCAAACTACTGCATCATTTGATCCAAATTAGGGTGGAAATAAAAAAACCCAACTTTGCCCAGGGTAAAGACCTACATATTTGAATATAAAATTTAGTTATCGTGTTAGCCATAGTTTTATCGTCACCGTAACCAACGTAGACCGACCATTTCCAGGATGCAACACGACAATCTACTAACTCCTGGTCACCTATTTCTTACTACGTAAACGAGGCATTATACATGGGTTAGGATCGAAATGGCCAAACTTTTCTTTCTGGCCCAGAATCTAGGTTAGTTGGTGTTGGGTTAATGTGCTAACCATTGCTCTTACAGAAACTGTATAGTTATACGGATCTTGAACGTACTACACAAAAGATTGCTAAAGAAAATGAATACCTGGAGGGAACAAGTGATGGGAAGGTGGTGTGTGGAGCAGCAGCAGGACCAACACTGCCTCTCGGCTGCTCAACCTTGCCAGAGCTCTCAAGCTATTTCTAGATGCTCTACTGGCTTGGTAATGCACGAGTATGGGTATTGTACAGTGTGTGTAAGCTAGCACTGCCAGTAAGGTTCATAGTCTTCTCGTAACTACCATCATATACAGAAGTGCCACAAGACAACTACCCCACCCCCAAAACAAAAACAAAAATGATAAATTTGCGTACCTAATGAACACTAAGTTTGTAGCCGAGCCCGTGTGCGACTCCATGCACGTTAGTCTAATTATTTCATCAATGCTGTAACGGCAAAAAAAAGTTAGGTACTTTTGTAACCATTCTACCACAGGTCGCAGGATGGGTACGGGGTCTATAATAAACTAATAAAACTACTGCTTCAATTAGTACAGCAATTCGCCATGCATGGGGTTACTGCAGCATCCACATTTGATAGAACAAGCAATGTGTGTGGCAATAATTAGTGGCTGTTTACGAGCACCATTATAAAAAATGGAATGTGTAAACATATGTAATATTACAAACGATATATGGTTGCGAAATAGCAGTGGTGGGCAGATATGACGTCATCATGGCGTCTGCTCTACACGTGAGGCAGCGGGTATACCGGTATTTTCCCACTGGACGACGACTTCTATTGCTACTCTTGCAGTACTCCACTGTGCTTCATCTTGGTATTATATATATATACATATGGATCTATCTTATATAGTTATGGATATATTGTTGGACTGCAGTGAGTAGGCGTGTCTGAAGCCATTGCAGACAATCACTTGAGAAAGTTGGTTCTCCACTAACAAGTCGACAAACTTAGGAACAAAAACGTAAAGTGTGTAACCCTATATTATAACATTTTATGTAAAATGTAATGCACGTCGATTTCTTAGTGGCTACGTGTCATATTGATAATTCTAACATTTGGCAAATGATGACGCCTCCCTCCACCCCGAGGTGGGGGTGGGGGGTATGGCCGGCGTATACTGTATATATATCTTGGCTCAGGTGTGACTCCGGCAGACTCTTCCCACCGGCAGCTGTACCCGTGCTTCACCAACACTTTAATAAGTATGTATTCGGTTGTAGTGCTATTTCATGTGCTGTGAAATTGTCATTAGTAGTCTGAAGCTACAATCCGCTGTTCTCGGTTGGTCGGTAAAATTGAATAATAGACACAAGTTAAAAAATAGTGTTTGCCGGTGAAAAACAGAATCGAAGGCAGGGAAAACCGGCAGGAACGGATTACTGTGTTAATGAAACAACCGGAATCTTCATACTGTGAAACTGGACATTTTGGTCATAATGTGTTCAGTAACTGGTGTTAATAAGTTTTAAAAATTTAATAATAAATTCTTTGATTTGCATTAATGAATCCGGCAAGAAGACCCCCCTTCCCTGGCACATCTGGGAAATCGACCGTATTGTAACACGGAATCAACGTTAATAATGTTGATCCAGCGTTGATTTAACGGAACATGCAAATTTCTGTATTTTGCATTTTATCAAACTGCATATGTTTTCACTAACATATTCATTGGAACAAATCTGCTCTTAACTGTTCAAAAGTTTAACATTTAGAAATATATATATTCATTAAGTGCAGAATAAAGCTTCATTTACAAAATTTAGATAAAATATACTAGTGTACATACAACAAAAATTAAGACAAATCTGATCTCTAAGCATTTTACTGAATATTGGCATTCGGGGATCACAAATTTGTATATAAATATGAAACTGCAATATTAGATAAGAGAACGTTTTATGGAGTATGATTTTGTGAAGGTAACATTGGCTGACCTCTGCAGCTATAGACTGACCTTCAGCCGGGAACTTTATCACGAAGGAAGCCTTACTGGGTTGGTGCTTTAATCTTATGATAATATACGTTTTGATCAAGTAATTATCTGATTTTCTGCCAATCTTGATTCAGCTAACCCTAAGTGGGGAAAACGTTCGGTTAATTCGTCAACTAGTTTTAAATATACCGCAGAGGTCTTGATAAAATATGAACAAATACATTGATTACCATAGCTTTAATTATTATATTGACTGCGTGGGAAACATTAGCATATTATACTAGAAATCAGTTACGGACCAACAGATTATGCGCGATTATTATTAATGGCATAGTAATGAGGCTACAAGTGGTGTAAGTAGAGTACCTAGTGGCGTTCATGTGACTGGTTTTATATATAGCTGCCGGGATGACAAGCTGGGAGGGAGGGAGGCGCCGGGATGACTCCACCCAACAGGCTAGGCTCCTCACTCACCTAAATCACTGTGCTGGAGGACAGGCAGTTAGTGTGCATTTATACATGTTTTTATATGTATTTATTTATACATTATTAATTTATTTATAAATTATTAGGTAAGTACACGTCCTTTATCGAGGACTTCTATCGAGCCCCGCCCCCCAGGCAAGATCGAATTACTTACTCTTCCCAGGATGAAACCTCTCAAGCTAACTCCAGAGTACCTACTGCTAAGTGAACAGGTGAATTAGGTGATAGGAAATACGTTCAATCATTTCTGTTCTGCCCGGGATTCGAACCCGGAATTTTCGATTGTGAGTCGAGAACGAACCTGACTGTACTACCGGGGGCCAAATAGTCCGCATGCTCAATGAGTATACGTAGAGATAATCTGCGAGAGGAATAAATAGCACGCAATAAAATTGAAGAAGTATGATAAATAATTTAAAGAATTTTTAGGCAAGCTACAAGATAGGTCAGGCTCACAGCCTTAGTAAAATGAGCTGTGCTTGCCATTCATTATATTAGAATGTAAAATACAGAAATTTCAAATAGTTGATTACAGTACTTTTTCATAGCGGGGTTGATAAAATGCCAAGAAGCACCCAACAGCTTATAAGCGTTCAATTCAATGTTAAGGCGCGAGTATTTAATTGGCAGGTTCTTTCACCACCACCTTTCATGTTCAATAGTGATACAATATTTAGGTCATTTGTTGTAAATGAATGTTTTTTCAGACTATGGGTGACGTGGAAAAAGGCAAGAAAATCTTCGTGCAGAGGTGCGCGCAGTGTCACACTGTTGAAGCAGACGGCAAGCACAAGACTGGACCCAACCTCAGCGGCCTCTTCGGCCGCCAGACTGGTCAGGCTCCTGGCTATCCTTACACTGATGCCAACAAGGCCAAGGGCATCACGTGGGATAAAGAGAATCTGGATATCTACTTGACCAACCCCAAGAAGTTTATTCCAGGCACAAAGATGGTGTTCGCCGGTCTTAAGAAGAAGAATGAGCGTGCAGACTTGATTGCTTACCTGGAAGCCTCCACCAAGTAGAGCAAGCGACTTGTGATCTCACCACTTCAAAGACTAACTTCACGTAGCCTAGGACCAAAGGCCACTGTCCGCTCAGCCATCAACCGAGGCAAGGAGTACGGGGGTTATGCTAGGACGGGGAACTTTGTCTCACCCACTCATGCTCCACTGTCCCATTCATCCTGAACGTTTAATCGTCATAATTCAGACATATTTTATCCAGGTAAAGGTCTTCCTATGCCTGGAGGGCTCAGGCAAGTAATGCAGGTGTGGTAGGAGCTAATCATGTGATGGGTGAGGACGATAGGCCCTCATTCTGCTATTCATCATTTGTATAAATCATTATATCATCCTGCTATCATTGCTCATCCGGATGGGCACTTAACTTACACAGCAAAATAAATAATATTTAGTTTTGCTGGTCTAAATTAACCTTTCTACCCTTCGAAAAGAAACAAAAAGATAAATTACAATTTTATTAACAGACTTTATATGCAAGTGGTTCATCACAATGGTAAAGCAATCTTCAAACACAAATGTGAAGTCTATGAAAAACATAACATTTTAAAAGATAACTGTGACCTAACTTTCTCTGGGATTCGAGAAGGCAATAAATTACAACAGTTGCCGGTGAGTTAAGATCAGTGAGGTCGGACACCGGACTCTGAGATGAAGTCTTCGGCGGTGTTGAGTCCCAGGCACGTCTTTATGCCCACGCTGGCCAGCTCGGCCACCAGGTACTTGAAGGCGAAGGGAAGGCTCAACTGGCGGACACCAGCCTCTGGTCCGCACAACACGCACACTGGCTGCTTCTTGCCGTAATATCGCGTTCCTCTCGACAACCGCACTGACGGAGTCAACAGCCCACCGCACTTCTCGCACACCCATTCCTAAAAGTACAAGAAAAAATATTAATATCCTGCAATACAAGACACACTTAGGTTAATAACATTTGCATATTTTTTGTTAACTAGTTTGCTGGCTGCAACAGAATTAAGTCATAATAGAACCAAAACTTCCTAAGTCTTGGGCAAGACAATGGGCTGTAAAAACTCTCGAGAGCTCAGCACAATAATGAGTCGGCTCATTGTATGACCGCAAGGTAATACAACCGCTAGCACTTGTTCACTCCCACACGCACACCACGAAAGTAACCCATCTCTGTTCTCTCCTTACAGTGAGTAGGTCTGCAGTCAATCCCCGACCGTCCAAGTGATTGGGCACCATTCCATTCCCCCGTTCCATCCCAAATCCCAATCCTGATCCCTTTTCAATGCTATATAGTCGTAATGGCTTGAAACTTTCCCGGATAATTCCTTCCCTCCTCCCTCTTATTTTTTGACGTTCTAAAATTAAAAGTTCACGAATGACTGACATGGGTCAAAGATAACCCCCCCCCCGTAATTACCGAGTTGGGTCGAAAACCTGGGAAAAGTGTGTACCCCTTTACGAGACTGTTATTCTTTAGACACGCCTAATCTAATCCAACCCAACCGTAAATAACGAAAATATTAAATGCGTGTTTTATATATGGTATATACGAGGTGTGACGTCACTATAACGTCAGAAGTTTCATGGCGATACAGGTTTTCATGCCTAACATTGATCTATTATGGTACATAATATATCTGGAGAGACTCACATCATCTGTGTAGGAAACAGCCACGTCCCAGGACAGACACCTATCCCCCCCCCCCCCCCCCCCGGAGTGCTCAGTGTACCCCAGTGAAGCCCAATGTCCAGTGTCAGGTCTGCAAGCAGTAAATAGGGACCCGGAGGAAGGCAAGTGTTGTGAGGTTGTATCCTGGGGAAGGTCACTACTTCCATATGCAGATGATGATGACCCACAATAACGTGGCTGAAAAATGTTATATCGACTTGAGAATGGTCCAAGACCGACCGAAACGTCGTCTCCTCAATTTCTAGTGTGTGGTTTGGTCAACACTACTTCCACCTTGGAAGGGGGTGGTGGGTAAGGGGGGGGGGGATCGAGGGTTGGTAGTGTCTAGTGTGGGTGGTGGGTAGTATATATTTACACAGGCTTCCTGTCCCAGACATTGAGAATAGAAGAAAATAGTACTCGCCGGCTTCCCCTGCGAGCGGGCGACCCCCACCCCCCCACTACCAATCAGCTGACGCTTGACATCATAACCTACATAGCGCCAGGGGCGGCGGTCGTCCTCCCTCACAACCATACTAGAACCCCCCCCCCCACCCCCCTCTCCCCTTTATTTATGCCAACAAAGTTATTAAACATACACAAATAATTGAGACGCTAAGAGAAACCATTGCCTAAGTTACTGAACGGGGTGAGAATAGCTTGAGCTACCTCATCCCTTTGTGTGTATTTTACATCAATAAACTTATTTCAATTTCAATTGGCTAAGAGAGCCAAGAGCAATAATAAGCCATGAGACCAGTAATCAGCTGCTGGCCTAGACAAGAGGGCGCCTCACACGTGATCTCCTCCCACCACCCGCCAGTGTGACGTGCAGCCGCGCCGGATGGGTCCTGTACTCACCTAGTTGTGCTTCCGGGGGTTGAACTCTGGCTCTTTCGGTCAGCCTCTCAACTCTCAATCAATCAAGTGGGCAGTGTGGGGGGGGGGGAATTGGGCAGTGTGGTGGGGGAAGAGAATGGGCAGTGTGGGGGGTGGGGGGGGGGCGGCGGACAGTGTGGGGGGGTGGGGGTGGCGGCGGACAGTGTGGGGGGGGGGGGTGGCGGCGGACAGTGTGGTGGGGGGGGGGGGGTGGCGGCGGACAGTGTGGGGGTGTGGCGGCGGGCAGTGTGGGGGGGGTGGTGGACAGTGTGGGGAGGTGGTGGACAGTGTGGGGAGGTGGTGGACGACAGTGTGGGGGTGGACGACAGTGTGGGGGTGGCGGACAGTGTGGGGGTGGCAGACAGTGTGGAGGTGGCAGACAGTGTGGAGGTGGCGGACAATGCGGGGAGTGGTGGCGGGTGTGGGGGGGGATTGGGGGTGGCAGTGTGGGGGTGGCAGACAGTGTGGGGGTGGCAGACAGTGTGGGGGTGGCGGACAGTGTGGGGGGTGGTGGCGGGCAGTGTGGGGGTGGCAGACAGTGTGGGGGTGGGGGACAGTGTGGGGGTGGGGGACAGTGTGGGGGGTGGTGGCGGGCAGTGTGGGGGTGGCAGACAGTGTGGGGGTGGGGGACAGTGTGGGGGTGGCGGACAGTGTGGGGGGTGGTGGCGGGCAGTGTGGGGGTGGCGGGCAGTGTGGGGGGGGTGGTGGCGGGCAGTGTGGGGGGGGTGGTGGCGGACAGTGTGGGGGGGGGGGTGGTGGCGGGCAGTGTGGGGGGGTGGTGGCGGGCAGTGTGAGGGGGTGGTGGCGGGCAGTGTGGGGGGTGGTGGCGGGCAGTGTGGGGGGGTGGTGGCGGACAGTGTGGGGGGGTGGTGGCGGACAGTGTGGGGGGGTGGTGGCGGACAGTGTGGGGGGGTGGTGGCGGACAGTGTGGGGGGGTGGTGGCGGACAGTGTGGGGGGGGGGCAGTGTGGGGGGGGCAGTGTGGGGGGGGGGCAGTGTGGGGGGGGGCAGTGTGGGGGGGGGGGTGGACAGTGTGCGGGGTGGCAGGCAGAGTGGGTGGGGTGGTGGGTGACAGTGGGGTGGGGTGGTGACAGTGGGGTGGGGTGGTGACAGTGGGGGGGGGGGGGGTGGCAGACAGTGTGGGGGGAGGAGGACAGTGTGGGGTGTGGTGGGCAGTGTGATGGATGGCCATGTGGAGGGGGGGGGGCAGGTGGTGGGCATTGTGGGGTGGTAATAGCTGGGAGAAGGAGTGGTGGTGATGGTGAGGAGGTCTACCTAGTGTGGCAAGACAGCTTTAGTGTCAGCACGTGCCAAAACGGCGGAGCATGTCTCCCAGCGCCTCACCAGTCTTGGTCAACTCTTGTCTATGGGAATCGCCTGTCTGGCCTCCACACCTGTTTCTTATAAAGCCATTTTCTGTTTAGCATCATTTAACTGATATATATGGGTGTGTGTGTGTGTGTTAGCTTAGTTCATTTATTATGCATCCAATACCCATCCTATGGGCAGGACAGTTGTGGAAAACATTACAGAAGCACATAATGGGCTCAGGAACTTAACCCTGCACACCACCACATTTATTACCTACAGTTACAGTATCCCCCGTTTGGTATTTGGTTAAAATTTCTGGTAGCAAATAATTTTTAATGAAATATTTTTACATTTCTTGAACATTTGTTATAGAGCTGTCCCTAAGTTCTTGTATCTTTTCATACTCCCTACTTACAAAATTCTCAGAGGAATTGATAGGGGTAGATAAAGATAAACAGTTTAACATGGGTGGTACGTGAACAAGAGGACATAGGTGGGAACTGAGTACCCAAATGAGCCACAGGGACGTTAGAAAGAACTTTTTCAGTGTCAGTAGTTAACAGATGGAATGTATTAGGCAGTGATGTGGTGGAGGGTGACTCCATACATAGTTTCAAATGTTGATATGATAGAGCCCAGTAGGCTCAGAAATCTGTACACCAGTTGATTGACAGTTGAGAGGCGGGACCAAAGAGCCAGAGCTCAACCCCGCAAGCACAACTAGGCGAGTACATAGTGATGGAGGATGTGTGAATAATTTTGCTGGAACAGCTTACATTTGGTCAGGTCTACATCAGTAGGTGATGCAGATTCCCATAAATACTTATAACCGAGTCTAAGCCGAGCAGTAGTAACATCTAAGAGTCTACTGATTTTATTGGAAGATCCATAGATGTGTGGCTCTTCTTGCATGATGGTGTGATAAAATAAAATTAGTAGTGTAGATTTCACTTTACTTCAGATATACTGTACAAGATTTTCTTGAAGTTCTTGGTTTATTATTGTTCTCAGGTGTGAAAGTTGGTGAGAGGAGGGGAGGGTGTCTAGGAGTTAGTACAGTATATTGGAGGTGGGAGATAGGTTGGGGTGGGAGTGTTAGGTGTTTGTGATTATCAGGATATAACCTTTCAGTCTACACACTACTTGAGTCATTTAACTTCCCTCTTGCTACCACTCTACTACTGCTCAATCCCATTACCACTTTAATACCAATAAATGCCCCGAGCCTCTCGCTGCACCTTTATTATCGTTCACTAATAATGCAGTAGATAACAGCAGTGAAGTAGTAGGCAGTTGAACTATCATAACAGGATAGTAGGAGTGAAATAATGGGACATTGTAGGGAAAGCACAAGGTTGAGACTGGTGGCCTATATATCAGAGTGCTGAGATCTGGGTCAGACACAGTGCCAAGAGCAGTAGCCAATGTGTCACTTCTCATACTGCACCACTGCTGCCTCTCACTATCATCCTGTCTCTTACAGAATCCATTACTCTCTCTACCTCTCTCACTCCCTCACTCGCATTTATTCACTCATGCATTCACACACACACAAGTTGGCCTTAAGGTTGTATATGACACATTTTATCCACCAGGATGGTACTTTCCATAAACAAGCACTAATGTATGTCACTGAATGTGAGGTATGTTACTCTCATTATTCTTTTACTCCTATTCCCTAAAAAGATACAATTTTTATATATATTCAAGGTCAAATGTCAAATCATGTGATCTTGAAATGAAAAAAATTCAGTATCTAATGTAAACCTATTAACCTATAAAACAAGCACAATATGATGATTCTACCTCAATTAAAGTAGAAGCAAACTTATTTTTTATTAAGCTTGTAAGCAAACTTTGCTGTATTAATATTGTGCATCACCAAGTGTTAAAATTTGCATATACTTGTACTGTTTAAATTACCTCATGCCCTCTACTATCCTACCAAATTTTATAAAAATCTGAAATGGTCAGGTTGAAAAGTACCCTTTTTTTATGATATGGAATGACCTCCAAGGTGCTTCTCACATAACATCTCAGGAGGGAAACAAAAATGAATAAATCAACTAATATAGTTGCTACTTGACCTTACATCAAATTGAGGCTCGGTTTTATGGTCATAGAATAATGTGCTTTTCAAGTCAATACTGTATAATGAAGTACTGTACTCCAGCTACCTAACAGAAACCTCAGTGGAAATGAAAAGACAAAATTATTGGGTATCCTGCCTACAAATACCTTATAAGCAACCTTTAAGCATTAAGCCAACTCATTGGAGATATAAAAACATGACAGCATTTTAGCCAGCCCTGTTCCATAATAGCTCAAGATGAACCAAAACATTGCCAGTTTCCCATCTCAGATGAGTGGGCCCTCTGATTATTTTGCACTTTGATGGTGTTACATAGCCTTTCCGGTTTGGTGCCTTCTTTTGATAATTACCTTACCTTACCTCAGATGAGTGGTATAGAGTTCAGTTGCTTCAGCCATGGCATGATTTTTATACAACCTATACTGTAATATATCTTTAACTCTCTCTCACAGAGACCCAGTACAAATGGTTTTAGCAATTTTAAAGTGCAGTTGCAGGTGCATATTCATCATAAAAGGAGTAAAGAGCATGTACAGTATTTTGAAAATGTACTTACCAGAGAGATGTCAGAACAGTCAAGAAGTCGGTCCTTTAGAGTAAAAGCCGCACCGTGAGAGATAAGGCAATCCCGCTCCATCTCTCCAAACCTGATTGCTCCTCCTCTTTTACGCCCCTTTACTGGCTGGCGCGTTAACGTATCAGAACTACCTTTGGACCGTACCTGAGAAATTGATAAATCAAAATTGTATAGGATGACAATTGATAAAAATGTAATAAATGTTTTATCAAGTGTCTGATACATATCTACCATACAAAAATATACTAACCTGCCATTTGTCAGCTGTCATGTGTCGCAAACGTTGGTAGTAAATAATGCCTTCAAAGATTTCCACTTCAATCATGCGTCCATCTACACCACTGTACAGGACATCTTCACCATAATAATTGAAGCCACCTGATAAAAAGAACACACTATTTATGAAGCTGAAATAATATGTATATAGGTACAGTATAGTGTAACAAAGGTTTTAAAGATAATTTTAACTCTCACTTTGGATACAAGAATAATGTATGAAGACAGGAAGAGTATTATTAAAAGTCACTAAGGTTCAGTTATGGTGTATCCTCGCTGGAAAAGAGATTTGTACAGAAATTTGAATTAATGAGGTTTGCTGTTTGGTTAGTTAACAACACATGACAGGTTTTTATAATGAACAAATCCATTAAAACACTGCATGAAGAATATAAAAATATATGTAAATATCAAATACACCACTGTATTATAACAAATAATTATAAACTGTCAAAACTGTGTGTAGTGTATTTCATCTCACGGCCCAAGTATCATGCCCCGAGTGGACCCGGCCCAAGTATCATGCCCCGAGTGGACCCGGCCCAAGTATCATGCCCTGAGTGGACTCAGCCCAAGTATCATGCCTCGAGTGGACCCGGCCCAAGTATCATGCCCTGAGTGGACTCGGCCCAAGTATCATGCCTCAAGTGGACCCAGCCCACCCCAATGAACTTGACCACCCATGTGTTTCTCCACTTCCATGATATAACAATAAGCCAGACCAAAACTGAAGACTTTCTTTGAACTTGTTTCTTTTAATACTGTACTTAGATAAAAAACAAAACAATGTCTGATAGCAGCAGCAAGTAATATGGATGTTAGGAGAAAGCAAGTTACTCTGCCAATTATATATAAGTTTAAGAGGAACTACGCCTTGTAAAAATGACTGTGCTGATGTAGAGGCACAAATACAAAGTCCGATAATGGTAAAAAAAAAAAGGAAATACATGTTATACAAGCACTTACACTGTAGGGAATTTTATGGTTAGGTGGGAATACAGAATTTAATTCCTTTAGTGATCAAGCAGACAAAATTACTCAACTTTGGTAACTTGAAATATTGGTTATCATTCTATTTTATTTATTTCTATGAAGACCCTCCCATAACAATATAAATTTGTGTTCATTGTAAGTGGGAATATAAATTAACACTTTCGCTCACCCCGCGCGCCACCCCTCGACAGGGCGATATGGGCCCCAGCGTGTCACGGAAGCGCGCGTTAATTCCGAAAAGTGTATACTCTCTTCAACTTTGTCACCTCAATTCTCCTTCTACGAGAATAAATTTGGTATCATTGTGTTCGCAATAAAATTCTCTACAGCACTAAATGCATATAAACTCCAAAAGCCCGGCTAATTACCCGCAGCAAACAGAGAAAGTGCGAACGAGTTACCCGGGAGCGCGCAAACGGGATAAAATGTTTTCACTATTTTCACTCTGGTCACCTCAATTTTTGTCCTAGGTCTTTCATTTTGGTCTCAATGGGTTCGTAATAAAATTCTCTAGAGGAACATTAGCATATAAAAAAAAACACCTGGTCACGCTCCAACCGCCGACGAGTTGAAGACGGGCCACGCGTTAGCCGTGAGTGAGCGCTCAGAGGCCTTCCTACTACACTCCCAATTCCCACCCTTTTCAAGCCTTTCTTTCGCAATTTTCTTCCTGGAAGGGCCTTGTTCATGATTACTATCCATCGTGGAGTAAGCGTAGATAGTTTCTAAAGCCGCAGTAAGAAATATAGCCACGGAAAATAGCCGAAATGTTCACACGTTTGAGATGCGAGGGGAGACGACATTGGTCACATCAGTGGAGCAAAGACAATGGGCCCACGGCGTGTGCCAAGCCGCCTGAGGGCCACGAGGCTCAACAAAGGAAATGGGAAGACATCGGCGCACATTTTAAAACCAGTCCCCAAAAAATCGGATACAAACCTGATTTTTGGCGAATTTTTAAAGTGGATGACGCAATGCTGCGTCATCCCCGGCATTACCGCCAGTAAACGGATGACGCAATGCTGCGTCATCCCCGAGCGAAAGTGTTAAGTAGGACGTAGTACAAAAATTGCATTTTTTTTAAGTGCGTCGAAAGAACTTTGACTAATTTCAATTTCCGAGTGAATAAGATTGGGGTCACCCTAATATCTCATTTAATGAGCTTTGACAGTATTCTCAACAAAGAAAGCAGGTTGAGCACATGCACTGGGTTGCTCAACTGCAAGTCTTCCATTCTAACCGAGCATAACGATAATACTTTACTGTACTGAATGAATTAAATCCTTCTATTTCATCCATATTTTACAGTAGAATGATTCCAAATTGAGCAGATGCCTAAGGTAACTATATTACCACATCTGCATTCTAATAACATAGTAACAATATGCCAATTCTGCACAGTTGTTTCAATGATGTATCAATGCATCTGCTAATCCAAATACTTCTTAAATTATTTCATAAACCATTATTTGTGCATCATCATTATTATGACAAGTGTATTATGTATAAGTGTTTAGTTACTCTAAGGTTATCACAATATTAATTCTTACCTTTTTCCAATATCTTTCCAAAATAATCAACAGCAGGGTTCTCATCAGAAAACTCAAATGGTGTTGAGTCAAATGATTTACCAAACTCTGCTGCTGATTTACCAGCAACCAGTTCTATCAGCTTCCCTAAAAAAAAAATAAAGTAAAACTTATTGGAAATAATACATTTTGGTACTGTATTAGAGATGTTTGAATGGTGTATTATAGTACTGTATTATAAATTGATCCAACCACTTGGGCTGGACGGTAGAGCGACGGTTTCGCTTCATGCAGGTCGGCGTTTAATCCCCGACCGTCCAAGTGGTTGGGCAGCATTCTTCCCCCCTCCCCCCTCCCGTCCCATCCCAAATCCTTAACCTGACCCCTTCCCAGTGCAATATAGTCGTAATGGCTTGGCGCTTTTCCCTTAAAATTATTATATTGTATTATAAATTGTACAAAAGGTCCCAAAGACAAATGACAATGGACATATCAAATCAACAGATCACTTGGTGGGTCAACCAACAAAGACAAAGGCAGCTCCCTCATTTGCTAGCCATGTGCCGCTCCCCCAAACATTACTAGTGGCAAGATGACACCCCTCTTCCAGTCATGTATAAGCTGAATTAGTTGCACTTTCTAATTTCAAGTTTGGTTAAGTTTAATTTTTTGTTTACTCTTACAGAATTAGAGTTTTCATTTTAAGTTGGATAAGTTTATAGATGTAAATTTCTGTTCATTGCTAGTATTGCAAATTATTCACAATAATTCTTTTAAATGTGCAGTTACAGCAAGAGGTAATTTTTTTTTACTATACAGTATTACACTGTTCAATACTATAACCACACTTTTACTAAACTTGTTAACTGAGACCAGCCTGAACTACAAAAATCAAATGTTGAATGTAATGAAACTCCATTTTCATTCAGGCCGCTCAGTAGCTTTCCCATAGCAATAGCATTGTGGCTGCCAAGCCTTAAGGAAATGATCCAGGCTTTTAAGCCCCACTCATTAGCAATCCTGAGGAAAACAAGCCAAACAATTTGGTCTGGGCTATCTTCCCTGGTGGCTGGCTTACATTTCCCATGCTCCATCACTTACCTCTCTGAAGGGTTCACGTTTCCTCCTGTGGATCATCTCTACACACACAATAAAAATCTTGTTTTGATATGAATAAACTATCTTCTGGGGGAGCCACTTTTCTACCCCAGAAAATAGTTTATTGAAATTAAAAAGATCCTTAAAGAGTGGGAAGATTAATTTTAAATGTAGGATTAAAAAAAATAGTAATGGTAGGACGAAAACAACATTAGAAGAGGTATTAAGTTGGAATTACTTGAGGGCAGTGCTATATAAAAGTGGGAGTATAGATGGTGAAATAAGAGTAATGAGAGGGAGTAGTGTGTTAAGAGAGGGCAAGGAAGTTACATTAGAATTTGATTTAAGATAGAATTGGCTCTCGGAATTGGAGAATTGGAGTACAAGCATTGAAAATGATTGTATATTTGTTTAAAGCAGTTGGTCTAAATATCTGGAATGGGTATAGTAATGAGGAAGTACTAGTACATGAGGTATGTGTTATGAGTGAAAAGGGCGAGAGGAATGAAATGCGGGTGAAGCATAATATACTGAGGTGGTATGGACATATTAATGGAATGATTGAATCATTTCATATGAAGGGTGTATAATGATAAAACAAAGGGATGGTATGGTAGAGACAGATGACCAGTATCCTGGAAGGGAAGAGAGGAGCAATATAAGAAAGAAAGGGTAGGGTGAGGGTAAGAAAGTCTGAAAGACTGAAGGGATTGTGTGGTGATACAAAGTCTCCTGGAAACACTTCAGGACTATAAATTGATATTGTAGACAGATGGTTTAGTGGTAGAGACTTACAGTTATCGAAGTACTAATGTTGGTGTGAGCATTTGGGTGGAGGTGACTTGTGAGGGGTGTTGAAGAATCTCAATATAAAGAATTTTCATGAGCTTTGCATTGCAATTTTAGGTAAATAACGATAATAATAATTACTTACAATATAAGGAAAACTCCACACACCAAACACACTAACCTGCTGTCATACGAGACGGTATACCATGAGGATTAAAGATGATATCCGGAATTATGCCTCGTTCAGAAAAAGGCAGATCTTCGACAGGATATAACCGACTCATAATGCCCTTCTGACCACTACGACTAGCAAATTTGTCACCAATAATAGGATTTCTCTGTAAAAAGCATCAACAACATATTTATATCCACTATTGTATTTATAAAATATGGATGAGCTCGGTTGCCTGTATCTGTCAATACTATCTCTATAACTGAAAAGCATATTTAAATAATATTTTTGTATATTCAACCATTATTTTCAAAGAGGATGTAATTGGTAGATTAAACTAACCTTAACCCTTAAAGTTATGAGGGCTTTTTGGCACTCTCCTTCTTTCAGAGTAGCAGACATGATACTATATTTATCCACAACGCAGTCTTCACCTTTGTATACTGTTTCTTGGTACCTTTTCTGATGAATGTCATAAACACTACATCCAGAGATCAAGAAATAAAGTCAAAATTTAGTCTTTAGCAGCATATATAATATTGCTCAATTTTGAATATGGTCAATATATATAGCTATGCTTAAATCATCAGGTCTGGTATTATTTCAACGAGTTCTAATGCAACAACTATTTTATTAAATTCCTGAATAAAGTTATCCATAGTGCAAAGGCTAGAATAAAATATTTAGGAGTCAAGCTATTCAGTTGCTATAGAGCCACTACTGAAGAAGTTACGTATACAGAGACACAAACATTCAACAGATCTTACCAATAAAATGGGTCTCCTTCAGTAAGTTGTGCTCCAAGAAAAGGAAGTCCATTAGCATCTATAAATGGTCTTTGATTTGGCTTGTCTGGATCTCTTCTAAAAACATAAGTTGTCTGGAAAACAAAAAGAAAAGTTTACTATGCACATAAAAGGCGTTCAACTTCTTGTACTAATAGTGATATACTCTACATATACAAAAGTATGCCTTGCTACAGTACCACCTTGCTCCAACACTCCTACTCCGACCCCTCTTATAATCTTTTAACCCTTACAGCGAGTCAGATTAGTTGCAGTACATATAATTCTTACCCAAGGCTAATCTCCAACCAATACAGTACAGACATTTCATTCGTATTAATGAACCAACTGATGCCATCAACACACACCCAAGATTAATTTAATGTGATGTTCCAAAATGTACTTTCAGCAGGACTGCTTTATTGTACACAATTTAATTATGTACAGGTAATACAATTCTTGGTTATCAAGCAAGTCAACTTTTCCCATAAACCCTTAAGAAACTATATGGTATTAAGTGCACATCTTAGGAAGTGAAGTATACTTCTAGTTAAATGAAATAACAAGTAAAGAAGACTGGTGATTAACACAAATATAATACAGTATTAACAAATACTGTACAGAAATACAAAGATAATAGATTTTGGTCCTTCACATCACTTCTTTCTTTTACAAAGCTATGTTCAATTATCTTTGTAATAACCAAATAAAACTTGAATTTGTAACAAAGCTTTAATACGTAAATCAGACATAAACACAGGAAATATAACTATACCAGCACCAGCTCTTGCCTTATTCATGTCACTACCATATCAGGACTGCGGGACATATAATATAACACATCATATTATCAAATGTCAACTGTACAGTACTTTACAGTTGACTTGAGTGCAAATTTCTAAATAATTGCAAATGAGCATGCAACCATATTCATGCTAATATCTGTCATGGTACAAAATAATGTCTTACCTCAGAAGCCCCTGGTCCTCTGCTCTTTCCCGCAAGCAATGTCAGGTCTACACACTCCGTCTTGTATATCTGACCATGTGCCAGGCCACGTTCCATTGCACACTTATTCAGTACCATTGCATCCTCCATATCATATCCCTATAAAAAATACAAATTCTGTCACTAAATTTTAACAGCCACTAAATTAATTTAAGTCTTCACAATACTGTATTAGTTATTCTAATAAATTGAAGAATACAAATATTAACTAATACTTTGCAGCTCATTGCAATTTACAGGAGCCATGGCCATGGCCTTAGAATTATTAATAATGAATACAATAGAAATCAATCAGGATGTCAATATGGGAAGACAAATATATAGCTGATCAGTGTTATCAAAGTCTAAGCACATAGGGTTTTATAGAGGGACATGTGGAGATATTTCCCATTTCCTATTTTGGTGATAAGAGGAAAGCCAGAGGGACACGTCACATTAGATGGTACATAATTTGTTACTATGTTAATGGTAACAGTAAGATAGTAGTAAGTGAGATAATAGGTAACCATCTCTGTCTCCATTGGTGGCAGAGTGCAACACGAAGGACAAAATAAATCTGGGACGAGTATGATAATTATTACATTTCTATCATCACAGGATGAGGATTCAAATACTCCAATGCCAGAAAATATGAGTCTCAGTGCGTATAAAATTACATAAAGTTCTGCAATAAAAACATTTGTCGGGTGGGGGGGAGGGGAGGAAAGAGGTACAAAAGTTTTATAACAAAAAATAATGGAGAAGCCAACTCAACAGCAAATTTTTACCCATCTGTAAAAAGAGCAGTAGTGTGAATGTTGTTGAAAATATTAAAGACAAATAAATTATAGGACAGTGAGTAAAAGGAGGGTGAGTACAAGACTTCCCTGTACAAAATAGTACTTTACAAACTTTCCCAACTGGGACTTTCCATAGACAATACAAGAACATGTTGTGAATATGCACATACGGAAATCTCTTGCAAGCATGCCATTCCATTCTTGTCCCGCTTGGTCGAGGACCGGCAGCGGGACACTAAGCCCCGAAACCATCTCAAGATAACACTGCAAATAGAACACACAGGTCTCTCAACAGGGGCATTGGTTAAAGTGCATTAGAAAATGTGAATGTGAACTTTGGAGGGGCCCATGCAGAGTATCAATGGCACCACCAACTGTGGTGGAGCAGCACACAAATTTCCATACATATAAACGCTAGATTAGGAAGAATGAAACCTTAAAACCGAGAAGTAAGCCAGTATGATATAAAGTGCTGAGGCATCGAAGGGCCAAGAGTAAAGCTGACAAATATGCAGGGAATCTAAAATCCTATTAGAACAACACCAGGAATGTCTAGAGGTTTATAACCTATTAATTTCACTGTGATTATACTGTGGTGTGAACTGGCTCTGGAGACTGGTGGCAGTACATGAACAATTTAACTAATCTTGAGGACACTACCATTAACAATGCTTAGACATTTGAATTAGTGAAACATACTTTAAAACCAAATTAAATTGAATGTTACAATTCTGGCCAGAAGACAAGGAGTGTAGAAGTGATTGACAATCAAGTGTACAGAGGTGCCATAGGCACAATCAGAGAACACTGTATAAACATCAGAGGTCCGCGGTTGTTCAACGTCCTCCCAGCAAGCATAAGAAATATTGCCGGAACAACCGTGGACATTTTCAAGAGGAAACTAGATTTATTCCTCCAAGGAGTGCCGGACCAACCGGGCTGTGGTGGGTATGTGGGCCTGCGGGCCGCTCCAAGCAACAGCCTGGTGGACCAAACTCTCACAAGTCAAGCCTGGCCTCGGGCCGGGCTTGGGGAGTAGAAGAACTCCCAGAACCCCATCAACCAGGTATGACTACTCATCACTCAGCGCAAACAATTTTGAAAATCATAAACGTACAGTATATGAAATTATGGCAACCACAGCATTGAAGCCCATACAAAAGTCTTCCATGTTCATGTCATCGTAGTGTGCATTTCTGACAAGGGGCACTTGTGGAGACTGTAGTCGATACATTTTCCCATAAGTCTGACTCCTCCAGTTGTGGATTGGTGTTCCCATGGATTGTTTACCCATCTGCAAAATGTTTCATAAAATGTGAGCTCTTTTATATACAGTACATACATACATAAACATATTTATTTCAAATTTTTATTAAATTATGTCAAGAATTTTCAAATAATTTTAATTCAAAATCAGTATCTGGAGTATGAAAATGAGCACACTTGTAATCATAAACTAACCTGGCACTGATACATGTTTCGAGGATTTGGGTTGCAATCAGAAAATGGTACCAACTTGCCAATATTGCTGAATATAGTTGTTTTGCCCACTTCAAGATGTGTATGAACCTGCAAATCATACCATCTAGTTTTATAATAAACATTTATATCTATGAAGATTTTACCATTAGGTAAACTTTACAAATCACTCACTCTGCAATATAAAAAAAAACTTACCTTCCCCCCATTATGCTACATACAGTAACAAATACTAAACTTATCTCAAATGTCCACATCAACTTATCTCCATAGTAACAAAACCCATAACTTCATTATCAATATATTTTCATTTAATTGCTTAGTTCTCAAACATATGAAGAGGATTAAAACTTTAGAAGGATGTAACACATTACAAGATGACCTAGACAAAGTTAAATAATGCTCCAACAAGTGCAACTACAGTTTAAAGTAAGTGCAAAGTAATGACGTGAGGTACTGGCAAGAGAAGGCTGGACATGCACCACCAAATGGGAGAGGATACCCTTTCAAGAATCAGGCAGAGAAAGTCTTGGGGTTGGTATGACACTTGAACCTGTCAAACCAATTCTGAAATTTGGTGCAGCATGGAGTTTTTATCTTGTTGAGCACAAAGCAAGACTGGATAAAGTTCGGAGGTAAATATCAAATTAGTCCCAGAGCTGAAAGATATAACTTAGAGAAAGATTACAGGTATTAAACCTTAAGTCACTATGAGAGACAGTCATCTTGAGGTTATCTTGAGATGATTTCGGGGCTTTAGTGTCCCCGCGGCCCGGTCCTCGACCAGGCCTCCACCCCCAGGAAACAGCCCGTGACAGCTGACTAACACCCAGGTACCTATTTTACTGCTAGGTAACAGGGGCATAGGGTGAAATAAATTGCCCAATGTTTCTCGCCGGCGCCTGGGATCGAACCCAGGACCACAGGATCACAAGTCCAGCATGCTGTCCACTCGGCTCCCTGCCATACCATGTCATGGCAGATGTGATTACTACATACAAAATTCTCAGGGAAAATAGACAAAGCAGATAGACCATTTAGAACCACAATAAGTCAGGCTAATAGGCTGTTTCTTGCTATGGACAAAAAGGCAGTCTTGCTGGAGAAACATGATCATAGCTGGGTAATGAAGAGGCTAAAACAGAAGCTTGGTGTTGCAATGAACCTTTTTTTTTTTTAAGAAACAAACCAGTACAATATATTTTTGGAGATCATTGCTAGGAGAAGGAATTGTAGGTAAAGATTCTAACAGATAAATGCTCAGGAGAAAGACTTTTACTGAAGCAGTTTACATGTGGTGTACCAGAATAGTGCTCATCTTTTGAAGCAAAACAAAGTTTTTTTAGCATATCATGGTTGCATTAAAATATCAGTACAGATATATTGTATTACTTTTGTTTTAAATTAAACAAAAATGTGTTTCATCATTTATGGGCAGAAAAATCACAAAACATTTGGAGATACACAGCCAAACACAGAAGAGACCCATGGCAGAACAACAGCCAAACACAGAAGAGACCCATGGCAGAACAACAGCCAAACACAGAAGAGACCCATGGCAGAACAACAGCCGAACACAGAAGAGACCCATGGCAGAACAACAGCCAAACACAGAAGAGACCCATGGCAGAACAACAGCCAAACACAGAAGAGACCCATGGCAGAACAATAGCCAAACACAGAAGAGACCCATGGCAGAACAACAGCCAAACACAGAAGAGACCCATGGCAGAACAACAGCCAAACACAGAAGAGACCCATGGCAGAACAACAGCCAAACACAGAAGAGACCCATGGCAGAACAACAGCCAAATACAGAAGAGACCCATGGCAGAACAACAGCCATATACAGAAGAGACCCATGGCAGAACAACATCCAAATACAGAAGAGACCCATGGCAGAACAACAGCCAAACACAGAAGAGACCCATGGCAGAACAACAGCCAAATACAGAAGAGACCCATGGCAGAACAACAGCCAAATACAGAAGAGACCCATGGCAGAACAACAGCCAAACACAGAAGAGACCCATGGCAGAACAACAGCCAAACACAGAAGAGACCCATGGCAGAACAACAGCCAAACACAGAAGAGACCCATGGCAGAACAACAGCCAAACACAGAAGAGACCCATGGCAGAACAACAGCCAATCACAGAAGATACCCATGGCAGAACAACAGCCAATCACAGAAGATACCCATGGCAGAACAACAGCCAAACACAGAAGATACCCATGGCAGAACAACAGCCAAACACAGAATATACCCATGGTAGAGCAACAGCCAAACACAGAAGAGACCCATGGCAGAACAGAAACCTTGAAAGTTTTGAAAAGGTCTGGTTTCAATTAGTGTGTTCTATTGTGGTTCCACTGTACAGTATATACAAGGAAATAACAATTCACTAAACATACTGTAAGGTGAAACACTACAAACCCCTTCTTTTATATCTTCTGGAGTTACAGCCACATTAAGGTAGAGTTGTTCGAGTGTGCCAATGTATTCGATGGTGTGCGTTGTAAGGTTTATCACTGGTCGCATCATTCTTGCTACAGATGTCACCAGAAACAGACCTGGATACTGCCCTTTGTACTTGCGCTTTGATATGAGCACTATTTCAGTATACTTAAAGATCTGAAACAATAAAAGACGATTATTTAATTAATATAGAAGATGAAATCTCTTCCAGTGAAAATAAATCATCCTCACATCCTTAGCATCACAAGGTGGAGGGATTAAGCTGGAAACCCATCTTCCTACAATTTCAACAAACACAGAAGTACCCTTAAAAGTTTTTAGTATCTAAACCTTCTTGAAGTGTATTCAAAGTGAAATATTTTATTTAAAAAAAAAAAATCATTTTCAAATTACATCCATTTTTTAACAAACGGCCAAATTCAGATGTAATATTTAAGAGGACAGGTTGTGGGGTCGACTCGTGTCACATTTAAAAAAAAAAAATCAGCCACTAACCTAACTATACCCCCCCCCCCCCTCCCTGTGCAATTTTCATAAGGACCAAAATGAAATCACATGTTTAAGTTAGTCCCATAGTTTACCCACACATTTTCATGATTTATGTGAAAATGATGAACTGAATTCATTTGGGTTACAGTGATGAAGATAGCGAGTAAAGAACATGGGTACAGTAATGAAGATAGTATGTAGTGAAGATGTATGACCAGGGGAGAAAGGGGGACACAGGGAAGATGTTGGAAGAAAGGGAGACATACAGAAGGTGTGGGGAGAAAGAGGGAACGGGAAGAGGAGGCCTGGGCGAGGACCAGGCCGCTGGGACGCTAAGCCCTGAAACCATCACAAGGTAACCACAAGGGAGTAAAATAAAGGAAGGAGGAAAGGTGAGAGGGGGGGAATAGAGAGGTGGGAAAAGAAAGGAGGAAGGAAGGGAGGGGGGAGAGAAGGAGGAGGAGGGAGGGAGGGAGGGAAGGGGGGGAGAAGAAGGGAGGGAAGGAGGGGGGGGGGGAGGGAGGGAGGGTGGGGAGGGAGGGAGAGAGGGGTAAGAGGGAGGGAAGACACAGCTTGGGCACTACCAGGTACCTCCCTCTAGTCTGGCTATGAGCATAAATAAAAAAGTACCTGTAATATTATACACTGAAAAATCCAGCGTTGAATATAATGAAATGCCATTTTCTGGGCGAGTCCCAGAGGCTCCCCAGAGCTATACTATTAGACCTAATCTAATACTCTAATCTAATATTAGTCTAATACATACATACATATCGGGCCGGTATAGTTCGAGGAGCCGGGGGAGGGAAGGGGGGGCCTCTCCACAGAAAGAGCTACATTATTGATCAGGAATGAGATATTTAAGCATAAAATAAAAAGAATTACCATGGTAATTAAACAGTTTCTTTAGTAAATATATAACATTCACCTCACCTTATCTTGAGCTTTCATTATTCTAAGTTGTTGTGTAAATTCCTCAGAGTCATCTTTTCTGATATAGCCAACTAAGCAGCCATCCAGCACCACCTCTAAGCACTCGGTGTATGGAGCCAGAGGGGTGCAATGAATGGGTGTCATTCCAAGCCTAGCCAGTACTAGGCCTAAACTTGTAGAACTTGCAGGAGTATGGTTGAGAACAATACAATTCTGTGTCAAATGATTCAAAAGCCCACATGGTGCCCCATCAGGTGTATGAACAGGACAGATGAAACCTAAAATACAAAATACAGTCATGTAAGTGAAAAAATTATATATTAATCCTAAAGCCCATCCTCCAGTCTTGGCAGTACTTATAGAAAGGATGAGGACCATAGTACATATACCGACATACAACACAATTAGAAAGTAGAAATCGGTACTACAGGTATAGAATTTGGACAAACCGGAAAACAATTTTTTACTTGTATTGCAAAGACAAACTAAACTAACCCAACTCAACCTTCCTAGCCTAATACAGCTCTATCTGAGGCCTAATATAGTATATATGTGTGTGCTAGGACTAGGAATATTTAAGTTTGTTTTTCCAGCTTCCTTTTTTTGGACTATAAAGTGAAGAGTACAAAATTCTATTAATATATATATAATGTTTGTACTATGGTGTGCATAGTTACAAAAAGTAATATTTAAACAAGAGGATGGGTTGTAATCCTATAATACAAATTTATATGAAGTTGAAGCTACATAAATTTTAAATTATAAGCAACCAATGAAGGTGTCCAAGTCACGTATGCCAGCATGTCTTACAATACAGCATATATACACAATAATATATAAATGGCTAGGAGTCATTTATATATATAATACCTCATTTTGATATCTCATGACAGAAACTGATATAAACTGATATACAGGTATTATGAGCAGGCTTTATAGAGTGAACTCCCTGTTTTTTGCGAGTCTAATATTTAAAAATAATATAATAATAATAAAAAGAAATAAAATACAGTATGCAGAATCTAAAGTATCACTCACCCCATGCCTCCCCGGTCAATCTACGTGCCTCGACAACTTTAGTCTCCACAAAGTAGGAACCTCTATGTATCGCACGGAGATGGGCCAAGTCACGCATTCTGTTTATGTGTTCCAAGATGACAGTCAAACCTATTATCAATACAAAATTTAACATTAAACATCATAAAACGCTTAAGGTACTGTACATGGTAAAAACAGTTTCCAAGTTTAAGGAAAACAAAAGAAACATATTTCTCATTCTTATTCTCAGCTTAATTCTTACTTTGAAATATACAGGGGGTACATGATATTTGTTAATTTTTTAATATAGATGAAATTTAACCATTCTTATAGTGATATCCTGAAATGGAGATTATCCTTTCAACAATTTCAGGGGGCAAGGGGGCAGTTACAGCAGGCTTACCAATCTAAGGGTTCTAATTTCATCCAAGGAAAATTTTTTTTTCAAATATTGTTCAAGCTAATTTCCAGAGTACAATACTGTACAACCAATATAGAAGAGCAGCAGAGGGATTCTTGATGAGGAAGAGTTGGCTATATATAGCAGTAAGACTATAAGACATGCAAATTCTCTCTACCCTTTCCCACAAATTGCAATCCACACTGCCATACACCATACCCGCTGCCACTCCAACAACTTGTGCACTCAGTACTCTCATTATAAATTGGGTGCAGCTTGAAGTAACAATGCCAATGTAGGGTAGTAACAAAGCAACCATAGGGTAGTGGGATATAACTCTTTATACCCCACCTCCTAGCCAATTATACCTGCTGCATTAATTACATCTCGATATTGAAGTTTTCATCATATTTTCTTAAAGTCATAGATGGAAGTGACTTCAACTACTGCTTTCAATGTATTCCACTTGCTGACCTCCTGCATCAGATTCCCTATACAATGGCTTTAATTCGGTTATGCCAGTTTTGCAGAACAATACAGTTTAACCTCAGGATACAACCGTCCCTCTTTATGAATTTTTCGGGTTACAAATGCAATTTCGTCGGAAAATTCAAATCGGGTTACGACCTTTGCTTGGCCTTGCGACTTTCTTGATACACATATGGGTCAACCAAGCCCATGGTTCCTTGTGGCACGTGGCACAGGTGACCCTGCTTCAGTTTACTAGAGCTGTCTGCTTAGTGACGATCGTGTTTGAATTCTTTGTAAAGAATTTCACTGCTTTATGCTTTTTTTTAATTTTTGAACATAAAAGTAATTATTATATATCATGGCATGGGCCCCAAGAAAGTCATTGGTAGAGTTCAACCTAAGAAAATAGTTGCGAGGATGACGATAGAGAAAAAACAAGGGATCATTCAGAGTGAAAAAATATGATGTCTCATTACAGACACGTGTTGAAGCGTAGGAAAAAACAAATGTCTATAGATAGATTTTTAGTAAGATAAGCAAGCAGTGAGCCACAACCAGGTCCTAATGTTATGCCTGCAAAATGTAGGAGAGTACCCCAGAGAAGTCATCACTGCCTGATATTATAAAGGAAGAGGGACTTCCCTTCCAAACACTAACACCTCTCCTCCTCCTCCCCCCACTCCTCACCGTCTTCCATACACCAACAAGTCATCAATAAAGGTAAGCTATAACGTGTACATAATATAGTACAAAATATTTGTGTGTATTATGTATGAAATGTACTGTATTTAGAAGTTAATATTTTTGGGTGTGTGGAACGGATTAATTCAATTTACATTATTTCTTATGGGAAAATTTGTTTTGGGTTGCGAATTTTTGGCTTACGACCCGTCTCTGGGAACGGATGAAATTCGAAAACCAAAGTACCACTTTATGAAAATATATGAATGTATATATTCATTCCTTTTGCCATTATGCATGAGTATTTAAAGTTTAAAAATGACATGCAAAGGCAGATATCACTAAAAAAATAGCAGGAAAATCCAATAAAATTGAATATTAACAAGTACTAAACTTAATTACAGTACTGTACCTGTTTGTTGCATAAGGCCACATTTTGTCTTTGAAGGCAGTGTTCCTGTGGCAATGAATGTCTGGAACAATTGACCCACACTTCGGCCTCTTCCCGCAGCTCTTTTGATATCACCTAACAATGGAAATGCAAGTGGTGAGTGGTAGCCATGTGCTATGCTACCTGCAATTAATATTACAAAAAAAAAGCATGGAATGTAATTAAACACCATTTTCTGGGTGAGCCCCAGAGGTTCCCTGAAGCTATCCAAACTGACATGTGCCTTATTAGTTTAGTGTCATCAGTCCCTAGAGTTCTGCGTACCTAACGGAGACCAGCGCCAGAACCTGGTTCACTCGGAGAGGTGCAGGGAGCAATGGCCATATGAGCACTCTACATTTAGTTTGTCATGTCTGTCATCGACCGGGGATACCACCAGAAAGATAGACAAAACAATACAAACTTCTAACTGGTTAAAATTGCAACCTATGCGCAAAGAGAGCCAAAGAACTTCCCCAAAAAGAAAACAAAGAAACAAACAAATTGTTATCCCACTAGCGTGCCTGCTTGTTAGTGCCCCCCCCCCCAAATGGGGGGAAGGGAGAGCCCGCTTAGGCGAGCCAGCCGCTCCACCCCAAGTTTGTAGAATGATCAAAAAACCCTTAAAGAAAAGGCAGAGGCCAGGGAAAAGCTTCCGAGAAGGAAGGCCACTGGGATGACCCAGAAGCCTCAGCGGGAAGAACGGGCTCAACTACCTCCACACCCGCAAAGGGATCGGCAGCCCCTGAAACCGCCAGAGTCTCATCCCAATCGAAAACCCCGCCTTGACTCCGAAATCCTGACGTTTGGGAGCCGAAAGCAGGGGGTGGAGGAGCCTGACAAACCCACCTTGGAAAAGAAGCGGGGTCACTGACGGAACCAAGGTTGAAGCGACCAACGCCCTCAAAACCTGGGACCTAAAACCCAAGCTGGGTAGCTCCGGGGCTTCCAACTGGGCAACCAACCTGGTGCATTGCAAGAAAAGAAGAGAGCTCGTAATGCTGCCACACCTTGAATCCTCTAATCTGCAAATGAGGAATGGGAAACAGAAGCACAAGGAACAAATCCCACAAGACTCTGAGCTGCAGTTGTCATGACTCAAAAGGCAGCATAGGAGAAACTGAAGGGGTGACTGTCTCCCTGAAGCAGGGACGACAAACAATGATTAACTTCGCCCAAGGAGAGAGTGGACTCAGACGGATCCATATTATCAACCGAGCCCACGGGGGTTTGCCAGGGCCCGCAGAGTACATTAGCCCTATGGGAAGCCAAGGCACTGGAGCCACCTAAGCCAGTATATCTTGTTAATCTTGTTACCTGCTTGTAAGCAGGCAAACCAACTATCAGTAGCAGTGATGAAACCTTGGGGGCAACGGAGGAGGAAAGCCACCACAACCTAGACTAGCCTAATAAGTAGCTGAGCAGATCTCCCCCAGTCACAAAGGGAAAATGCCCAAAAATGAGAAAAAAAAAAGACAAGCCCCCAAAATCACATCCCAAGCAAACTAGCAGCCAGAGAGAAACATCGGTCATTGCATAGGTATAAGCAGACTACGTTAGCCCCAGTGTGCCCCCCCTCCTCCCAGCCAATAGCACTCCCCTACCCGGGGCAAGACAGGAAGCCACAGACCTCCGACTTACCCCAAGGATGAAGACAACGTCAAGCGACGAAGTCCTCAAGTGGAGAGTGAATCCTCAACGCCCAGGGAAGATGACCTCGACATGCAAAGTAATACTTACAAAGTACAAGCCACAACACCACACACACACACACAGCTGGAACAGCCACACACGGCAAAACCCAGAACAAAAACTTGAGGCCAGGGGTGACTGAGCGACCCCTTGAACATCAGGATGAGAACCGAAGTGGAACTCACCTTATTGGGAGGGGGGTTTTACTCTGACAAGCGGGAGTACTGTACTAGTTAGGGACAAGGTTGCTAGTTATCTTTTTCTTAGGAAGGAGTTTCTTTGCTCTTTTTGGCTGTAGGTAGCAATTTACTGTCCGTTGTTTGTTTTGGTTTGCCTACCTTTCTGGGTATCCCCTCAGTCGATGGCAGAATATGACATACTTTAAATGTAAAGTGCTCATACGCCATTGCTTCCTGTGCCTCTCTGAGGGAACCAGGTTTTGGCTTGTGGTTCCCAGTAGGCTTAGAACTCCTTATCGCCACAGATATGGCCACAAACTAATATAGCACATATCAGTTTGGATAGCTTCAGGGAGCCAACAGGGCTTCCCCAGCAAAGAAACAGTTTTATGATCATGCACAAGTATTGAAGGTTTCACATTATTAAAATGAGGCTTTCTCAAGGCATCACACAAACAAAAAATAAACAAAATAGTTGCTATGAAGCTCCATTGTTTAGTTTCAATAGTAGAATTATTACTTAGCATAAGTAAGTATTGTATGTTTCATGTTAGGAATTCTAACAGATGAGACATTCTCTATGTATTGAAAAGGAACCTTGAGGAAAAAACAAGTACTAAACACGACAAAACCACGAGGTCTCCGAACGAATGATAACCAACCAAAGGCTAGATTATTAAAAATACTCACTAGGGTCAACTACCCAATTTGGGCCTTCCTTCTTATTCTTGATTATCACATATACTTTAATAGAAACTAAAATGTCCATCAACTTCTCCTTCAACAACTGCAGGTAAGTGTGGCCACCGAGAACAACCTCCTGCATGCTGACTGCATCGGGAGATTCTGCCTTGCACTCTCCACTAACAAATGAGTAAAGTTTTCTTGTCATCAAGCAGAGCGTGTCAAACTTTTCCAAATTGGTCTTGAGATGAATCAACACACACTGGCTAGTAAGAGTAGGATAAATTTATTAATGAAAAGTCCAGCAAATATTTTGTATGTCAATAATAATATATCTTACTTTAGAATTAGAAACTTTCTTTAAAAACTTATATAAATCATTACTATAATGGCTGTACTAATCAAGTGTACAGCAGTCTAAATCAGACTTATTTCTTTTGTGGCATAAATTGATTAACATTTAGCTTTCAATTTGAATGACGATGATATATATTTTGGTAATATAATGTGTAATTTATACCATTAGAGCGGTAAGACATACTAGCAAAATTTATAGCACAAAATTATAATAATGAAAAGACAATTTGAAGAATATAAACTAATCATTACACTATTCCTTCCTTAATGTCTCAACAGAATATTGTATTTTCTGGTTAATACTCATTCAGACGGACTTGACAATGATCACTACCCAAAAGTAGTAAATGACATTGAAAGCAGCAAACCCTTTAGAAAATCTAGAAGGTTTAAGACCCAAGATACATTCACACAAAATGGGAACCTTATCTTTTAAAACATGATGAAACAGAGCTTAGGAAAATAGTAATTACTGAAGATACAAAGGAAGGGGGAGTTTCTCCATCTTAGGAAAATAGTAATTACTAAAGATACAAAGGAAGGGGGAGTTTCTCCATCTTAGGAAAATAGTAATTACTAAAGATACAAAGGAAGGGGGAGTTTCTCCATCTTAGGAAAATAGTAATAACTGAAGATACAAAGGAAGAGGGAGTTTCTCCTCAGATGGAGGGACTGAAGAAATATAGCAGCCCACTACAAAGAGAATGACCAGCACCAATGGAGGCAGACAAAGACCGTGGATAAAGAGGCAGCAACATTGTAAATTTGTCTTTATTAGGGGAGGTGGATCATTCACTAAATGACTTTGCAGTTCTTACTTTAAAAGGTACTCGCATATTTCTACATCAGTGGACCATTCTGGTAAAATGTCCATAAGCTTGAAACGGTAAAATTTTCCAATAAATTCTCTGCACATATCATGTGTATACAGCCCTTTAGATTGAAGATGACACATCATGCTCTTGATTTTTCTGGAATGTTAAACAAGATTCAAAATATTATTAGGCAAATAATCTTTGTAATACTATAAAAACCTTCAAATATATATTCAAATATATATGCTGTATAATTAAAATAAATATTCACATTAGCTCTTAACATAAATTTGTGTAAGTTTTAGTAACAAACTTTAACAATACTTGCTCTGAATAATACATGTCGGTCTCACGTCCCTTGATGAGTTTCTGGTAAATCTGATGGTCAGTCAAATTCACTAAGGCCTTTAGACACATTATAAGTGGTATTATGAAGTTCTCTTTCTTTTGCTTAAAGAGAAGCTTGGCTTCTCCTGTACTCAAATAGTGAAGCACATTAATTGAAGATGCCTGAAAATGTTACAATTTCTGAATTCCATCAAAAATACATTATGCATTATAATATTCTATTCTAAAATGTCATATATTTGACACTCGCACTCCAGCACACCATAAATGCAAACCTAAAAATTAATTGAATGATCTGTATTTTGAAATACAAAAATAAAAAGAAAAGCTTTGTGTATTGAAATACTCCTTTGAGGAGCACCTTGAAAGTTCCCCTTAGCTAATGTCACCAACACAGTTAGGATACTGTACAGTATTGTGAATATGTTAAGACTCCGGGTGACTTGCAACATAGTGGCTCAGTTCCCCACTATTCTTGGGTAGAGCAGTGTGGAAAAGTGGTCTTCTGGTCGTGTGCTTACTCAGGAAGTCTGGTTTTCTCAGATTTCAGTGCCAGCAATCTGGAAATTACTGTATCAGCTACGGGAAAGTAAACAATGGGTGCCAGAGGCCTTCCTGTGGCATTCCACTGCCAGCAACTGTGGAAACTAACTAGCCATTTATTTATTCTGTAAATGCTTTATACTTCAAAAGATTTTACTTTTACATCTGTCTGGATGTCAATCTTGAGGTTTTCTATAGTCGACAATATTAGTACAGTAATGAAGTAGCAAAACATATGTACATACAGACAAACAGATGATTTATAAACATTAAAGAAAGGAACAGCAATAAATACTTCATAATCTCAAAATATATAAATGAAATTGTCTGTCTTTTAAGCTTTCATTAATAAAAATAAACAATCAGCAAATGCTTACTTTCTTGTATACGTTCAGTAATTAACAAAATAACTCTAAGATTCACAGAAAAATGGCTTTGCTTAACTACTAATATTGTATGCAGTATTTATCTATATCTCCCATAAGTTATTCCTTTTGTAACTACATTATTCCTTTCTTTACAGAGCTGGTCTTGAGTACAATTTTCTGTTAACATTTCTACTGCCTTTAAGTGTTAAAAGAATTTTGTTTCAACAGAAAGTAACAGAATATGTTTACTTTACACACATACGGTGTACCATAATTGCGGTGTTGGATAAACTAAGATGGGTGTGAAAGGATATGCAAGACAAAACTGAGGAACAACAGGAAAGACAGTTGTGTTGCTAAGTGACCTAATCATACCTGATCATCCGGCACACTAAGAGACCTAATCATACCTGATCATCCGGCACACTAAGTGACCTAATCATACCTGATCATCCGGCACACATCGCATCATGATGCCCATGTCTGTGAAACTAGCAGCCAATTTTTTCCAGGTCTCTCTCTTCATAGCCATTGGATAGTTTCTACGATTTGCTGTCAACAATCTGTAAAATGAGCATACAGTATATGATTACATTAAACAATATCCAGTACTGTATTAATTAATGTTGTGTATTCATGCTCAATTGCAAATTCATATTCATTGAAACATATAATAACAGACCTGGTTAGGAAGATAAGATACAGAATTCTGGAAGTGTTGCACATGGAAAAAGAGCATTCTATACAGTAAGTACTTCAGGTATGGATATTCTTTGGCCTGTTTGAATTACGACATCATTGTTTTGCCACAATGTTCGGGTTATTTATGACAATTTTGCATATCCATCCATACATTCATTCATAATTATTACCCTGAGAAGGTATCAATCCAGAAGGGAAAAAAAGGGAAATATAATGACAGAAGCTGGCATTTAAAAGAAATTCTTTCTCATTTATTTAATCATGCATACTTTATTTAATCATTCTTGTATATAACAAAAATAAACAACAACCACTCCACACCAGCAAACATCAATAGCTTCATAACCACTCCATACCACCAGATGTCTACTGCTTCTCATGAAATGTCACGAAGTACAAACACATTCCCTATGTCTTCAAATTTTGTCCAGATCTTTCTCTCCGTCTATAACAAATTCACTTGAATACTGTCTCTTCACTTGCACAACATCCGTCAAGCCATTTGCCATACCCAGCGCACAGGACTCGTAATTCTGTGGCGCGGGTTCGATTCCCGCACGAGGCAGAAACAAATGAGCAAAGTTTCTTTCACCCTGAATGCCCCTGTTACCTAGCACTAAATAGGTACCTGGGAGTTAGTCAGCTGTCACGGGCTGCTTCCTGGGGGTGGAGGCCTGGTCGAGGACCGGGCCGCGGGGACACTAAAGCCCCGAAATCATCTCAAGATAACCTCAAGATAACCCACACTATCTTTGTATGCTCTCTTCAACCTTGCAGTTCATCAACTCTTACACTCTACATCTCCATGACATTTTCCGTCCCCTGTACATATTCCCATAACACGTGCTTTCCTGAAAATCTATATCTATTGCTGTAATTCTTGATGTTTCACATTTATACCACTTAGTCACTTTGTAACCATACATAAGGTTTGCATTAGCTCTTATTCATGCAACAAGAGGGCTGCATATATTTTATTTTTGTTTTGTTTTTCTCTAATCCAGGCATTCAAGGCACCAGTCACTGTCTCAATAAACAGTACTATAACTTGGCAAGATTAAATTAAAATTAATTATATTTATCCATTTGTACTCAAGGTTACTACCATAATAATGGTTAATATAAAAAATTAACTCTATAATATAAGAGCAGTAACTGACAGTATAATAAGTATAATAAGTTTTATACTTATTAAACAGTACTATAACTTGGCAAGATTAAATTAAAATTAATTATATTTATCCATTTGTACTCAAGGTTACTACCATAATAATGGTTAATATAAAAAATTAACTCTATGATATAAGAGCAGTAACTGACAGTATAATAAGTATAATAAGTTTTATACTTTCAGGCCAATTCTACAGATTGAAATACAATATATTTGATGACCAAATTTTTTTATCTATCTGAACATATGAAAGGACAAGCAGACAATTGTGTGTATATATATTTGGAGAAATGTGTATTCCCCCTCCTCAACCCCTTGACATTTGAAACAATAAAACTTACAATTTTATTTCTAACTTTACAAGAGACAGCACAAATAAAAAAGCAAACCTTAGTACTCGCTGACCACCATTGATGATAAAGTAGCCTCCAGTCTCATTGACTAGTTCACCATGCTTGACCAGCTGCTTGGGGCTCATGTTATATAGATTACAATTCTTCGACTGGAATGAATTAAAAGAGGACAGTTGAAACACCCACAAATTATAATAATGAGCTGAAAATACTTAGTGATACTGTACAGAGACCATAATGGTCATAATAAAATCATCAGGCATCTCACCCTCCTCCTACACCATCTGACATACATCGAACACTGTCCACCATCACCTTAATCCCATACCTCAAAGTACCAGTAGTTAATCTATTTGTACCAGTAGTCTTTCTCCTCCTTAAAATGCACAACTTCTCTATTTTACTCTCAATCAATGTACCTGTGTTCTACTGGTCTTCTTCCACCCCTTTTACACATTCCAAACCTATTTATAACCTAATGCAATAACAATTTCCACGCATCCTTTTTCTTTCCAATAGCCTCTTTATTTTCAACAAACTCTACAGTAGCAAACTTCCCTCCTTTTTTACCAACTAGTAAACACATTTTTTACAGCTTTTTTCATCTCATTCCAAATACTGTATACACCCATTTTGTATTAGTATTCTCAGTCACTAATATGATGATTAAATTAAGTGGACTGAGTGCAAGAGTTGAAAGAATGTGAAATACCTAACACTAAACCTATAAAATAATTAAATACAGCAATTGATATTTTGCTTAAGTGGTTACTGTACTTGAAGTACAGTAACTGATTCCCACAATGCTACAATACTATGTTTTGAAGGTGTTTTGTAAGGATGAGTGTCATCAAATAGCTTTCATTCTTATGATTTTTGTTTTCCCTTTACAAGACATTTCATATCCCTTCCATGAAACTGCTTCCCCATATCTTGAAAGTGGATAACAGGGTAGTAAAGATAATATAAGCAACATGAATTAACACTTCCTTCTAACATGGTTTAGCAAAATCCCCCTTGTTCCTATACCTATTTATAATCTAGATATTAATTTACACTATAGTACATTAGATCCTTTTGCTTTTCAAAATTTCCAGAAATACCATAATAACCATATGCACCATGTAATTGATAACATGAAGTACTGTACTTCATGTTTTGTTTTTAATTATACAATATGAACTATACTTACTCGAACCATAATTGGTAACTCTCCAAGACTTTGTTCAATTAATTGCATCTCTTCTCCATCCCGAGTCCATGCAATTGTTGCAGTGACAGATGCAGTATATGAGCTTCTGCGCTCAATACATTCTTTAGGGTACACATTGTAGTCCGAAACTTCTACAGCACCCGCTGGTAATCTTGGCTTGCCGACCTTAATATTCTGCAACATACCATTATCTTTAATAAGCATTGTAGCCTGGGGCTGATTGTTGGTGGAATACAGGTCCAGCCTCTAGCTGAAAGAATGGCATTAACAAAGGGCCTTAAAGATTTCAGTGCCAGGGTGATGACCCAAGTTTAACAGTTAAGGGATGACAGTTCTGGACAGTAACTGAGTTTTGTAGAATGGGAGTTATATAACAACTAACCTATGCTACAAAAAAGTGAACAAGTTAATTGTTCATATTTGTTAAGTGCACACCAAATCATTATTTACATATTACTAGTGTATGTATTTTCTGAATACAAAGCAACATGTATTATATCATTTGTTATAAGATAAGTGATTGAAGAGAGTATACCAATAGTTTCAATATCTTGAGATAGAGTACGACTGCAGCCTAGTGAATTTAAGGGGAGGAAAAAATGAAGGCGGAAAAGATAATGTGTGGTTATTGTGACCGAGTGTGTGAGGAAGGCAGTGTAAACAAGAAAATTAGAGACTCATTTCATATCTATACAGTGACCTTTCATTATAATGTTTGCCCCTCTTTCTCTTCCAGGCTGATGCCTTTCCACTCCTTGAGTGTGAAACTGACTAGTGGTAATGAATGAATGACATTCTAGCTGAAAAGTCATTATGGACTTTTAAGGTTTCAATAATACCATACTTACGAACCAAATTATTAAAACTCCAGTGTACAGTGTACATACAGCTGCACATAATATGGTATTACTAAATGGTTAAAATAAAATGGATTATTATTGCATTATCTTCTTATAAATAAAGTATAAGTAAAGTAACTATAGCACAGTTGAGCATTAAGTTTTTACAAAGAAAGACTTACAGTATACATCAGAGAAATTTTATTTCCATTCTGAGTAGCAAACTCCACTGCAGGAAGCCTTGTGGAAGCAGCTTGAAGACCTTCCTCCAGAAAGAAGTTAAAGGACTCCACATGAGGAGCTGCCAGTGCCTGAATAGCCTGAAATTAAAAGTTAGAAGTTAGAGCAGACTGTAACCACATATATTAAATTACACCAGGGTAACCGAGAAAGATATCCACTGCTCAGGCTGGCATAACTCATTACAGTACTGTATATATACAATACAGCGGTCACTCATCTGAGATTCCATTAACTCTTTTTTTTTTTAATTTAATGATACTATACCCAAACATTATTGTCAGAAAGAGATCATCTTTGCCTTGTGTATGTGCTGATGGAATTGTGAAAAATTATGTTAATACATTTTAGCACAGAATTTAAATCATGGACTTGCTCAATGAGAAAATGTTTATCATCAATGTTGTGAGTGTACCCAAATCCTTGGCCTAATGAGTGAAGTTGTGGGGCTAGTGACAAGAGCATAATACAGGGTGCTTGTAAGTCTGCAAATAAACAATATCACTAAGAATTGTATAACAAAACAAACTCTAGGGTGCAATAAGAACAAAGAGAAAATATATTGCAAACATCTTCCACAACTCTTCTGCCTCCTACGACCAAATATAAGACATGTATATTGCTGGAATAATATTAAAGAAATCAAAATGTAACATGACAAGTTCTACAAGAGTTACTGGATCATCCTGAATGTGGTTGCTATGTGGGTCTGCAGGTGTAAAAAGACTTAATGGCCATGCAAATGTTTTGAACCATAATGAAATCTGACCCAAGTAACAATTGGGTCAACCCATGTGTTGCATTTCCACAATGGTCGCCCAAGTCAAAATCGGCAAACGCTGATTTTAACGTTCAAAATTTCCCCATATATATGAATTCCCCATGGCGCAGTAGTAAGACTGAACATAACCTAACATAAAAAAATTAGGATTTTAGGTTTAAAAAGTTTTCATAAGACATAATTAATAAGACAGCTTCGTGTCATCCTTTGCAGATGATACAAAAGTCAGCATGAAAATTACCTCTGCTGAAGACATTGATAAACTACAAACAGATATTAACAAAGTTTTCAATTGGGCAGCAGAAAATAACATGATGTTTAACGGTGATAAATTCCAGGTACAGTACTCAGATACGGCAAAAATAAGGAACTTAAACATAATACAGGGTACAAAACACAATCGAATCTGCCCATAGTAGGAAAACAGCATGTCAAGGATTTGGGAATAATGATGTCCGACGACCTAACGTTTAGGGAGCATAACCAAGCAAGTATTGCGCCAGCCAGAAAAATGATAGGATGGATTACGAGAACCTTCAAGTCCAGAGATCCCATCACAATGGTTGTGCTCTTCAAATCACTTGTGTTGTCCCGTCTTGAGTACTGCTCAGTACTCACTTCCCCCTTCAGGGCAGGAGAGATTGCTGAAATAGAGGGAATACAGAGAACATATACGGCATGCATAGACGAGATAAAGCACCTAAATTATTGGGATCGTCTCAAAGCGCTCCAAAGCGCTCCACTAGAAAGGAGACGAGAGAGATACCAAATAATATACACATAGAAAATACTAGAGGGACAGGTCCCAAATCTGCACTGTAAAATAACTACGTACTGGAGTGAACGACATGGAAGAAAATGCAGAATAGAACCAGTGAAGAGCAGAGGTGCCATGGGCACAATCAGAGAACACTGTATGAACATCAGAGGTCCACGGTTGTTCAACGTCCTACCAGCGAGCATCAGAAATATTGCAGGAACAACCGTGGACATCTTCAAGAGGAAACTAGATTGTTTCCTTCAAGGAGTGCCGGACCAACTGGGCTGTGGTGGGTATGTGGGCCTGCGGGCCGCTCCAAGCAACAGTCTGGTGGACCAAACTCTCACAAGTCAAGTCTGGCCTCGGGCCGGGCTTGGGGAGTAGAAGAACTCCCAGAACTCCATCAACCAGGTATCAAGATGTTTTCAACATTATTCTTGGGGCATTCACCAATTTTAACTTGGGTGACCATTGTCGAAACGCAACACATGGGTTAACCCAATTGACAATCTGGTCAGATTCTAACAAGAATTCAACCACAAACACCAAGAAAGCCTGGCTCTAAGATGAGGCAGCCCAACTATTAAAACTCTCTAAATTGACCACAGGTAAACCACAGAACCAGATATGGTCATACTGTACACAGCCATATTGTAAATAGATTGTTTCCTAATTGTAAAAGCTCTAAACAATCCTACATATTGTGCCATTATCCAGAGCTAGTGTATATGTTAGGTTCAGTTTGGTACCAAATTTTAAAAAATTTATTTCCAACCTATCTCATAAATGAAGTTATCTATATCTTTCTAGTCCATACATATATACAGTATATGATTTGGCAAGACATTTAAACTCATACCTAACCTAACCAAGTAATGTGCAAAATATGCCTCGGGATGATGTAACTGTACCCATCTTAAGTTCTGTCTATTTTATGTATATATTCAAAACATGAATCTTATATTCTTGCAAGACCACTAACAGACAGCATACCTGCCAAGACTTACAACTTTGTGATCCAAGTTGGAGCACACTTTGAGAATTTGTAATTATTTGTAAATCATAAAAAGTAATTAAACTAAAAGTATTTAACAACAATGAGTGATATATGCATTCCGAATTGACATTAATTTGAGGGTTTATATAAATAAATATATTATTCAAGCATAAAAAAAAGTCACTGAGAAAACATTGAAAATTAAAGTGCTTTAGAAGTTAACAGAAGTATTGCCAGCTGTAATATAACCACTTCAAAGCTCTGTACATTAATACCTCATTCTGAGTTTGAGGGATCTTGCCAAAATTAGGGTCCTTGAGGTGCCTGAGGGAGAGCTCTACAGTTTTCTTGCTGGAGAGCATGGCGACGAGGGTCACGTGGCCGCCTCACAACAACAACACTACTTGTCAACAAGTGTCGTCTGCCGTACTCACTACCTAAACACTTTATTAATATATGTGCTTTGGAAAATAAATATAATTACACAAATATTGTAGTGCATGGGTATTCTATCTATATCCATACATATATATATTCAGTTTTTTTAAGGCAGAACAATCCTGTCCTGAAATATAATGTTGAATATGTACTGTAAAAGATTTGCGACTGTTGTGCAATTTTTTTTTTACTAACAAGCTTAGGTATTAACAGCAATGTGCTGTGAAGGGTATATATAAGCACAGCACATATACTCTATTCTATATGAAAGATTACACAGTGTAGATCAAAATTTAGTTATACGTTTGTAGCTAGTATATTACTAGCTACTTGTCATATATCTTGTGATATATGACAATAATATATACTCACAATAACAATAATATACTCACTCCAGACTCTCATTAACTTAATTAGATGGGTTTATTAAATCTACTTAATCCAGTAATGACAACTCATACTCTTCCTTAATAACAGTTAATACTCCTTCCAACCTATTAGGTGTGGTCCGATTACAGTGGTGCCAGATTGGGCTACAAATAGCGAATTGGGCTACTTTTGAGAGCCCTGCGCTCCCAATTTTTTAATTTCGCTACTTGCTACTTTTTGGACTAATTTAAAAGCAAGATGTGCTAATTTGGGCTATTAAAGTTAAGAATGTACGATTGCGAGTTACATGAAAGTAACTAAGCTATAAATAATTGTATTTAATAATAATTGTATATATTAATTAATACTAAATAATATTATTTAATAAATTAGTCCCAATTCAATGCAGAGTTTTCTTCCAAGCACAGAAACTTGTAAATATAAATACAAGATAATAGATAGATCGATAAATAAATAGACAACTTTCAAATATTGCACCAAGTAATGGCGAGAGTGTAAAAACTAGACAGTATACATTACATTTGAAATTAATAATGGATGAATGGTAGTAAATTGGTGTATGTTTGTATGCATACAAGAAAAAGTCCATTTAATGGCAGAATTTAGCCATTTTGTGTAAAAACTTTTATATCTCATATTATTAATTATAACAGTAATCGAAAAAAGTCATAGTTTGTATATACAAGAGATGAAACAGCGAGCCATGAGCTAGATCGATGTGCTGAGTCCATAAGGAGGCCGAGCTTCCAGAAATACCTTCCTGTGATTGGCTGTTGCGGGGAATACCAACACTCTTATGAATAAAATTTAAACTAAGAAATAGGTCCCTGTGCACAACAATAAGGTTGTTGTGAAAAAGAACAACAATTTCTGTTTTGCACCTGACAGAAATCTCCATCTAACTGAATAATTTACTCGAATAAGAGGGCAGAGCAGTGTATTTGTGTGAGGCAACTCCCACTGATGACGTCACAAGTTAGGTAGTCAGCCCATGTTTCTGTAACACTCGTTACATCCTGCAGTATTTAAATATCACTATATTAATACTTTTAAATACTTAACATTTCACTTTTTAGGTAGATTAAAGTTGAAGCAGAATGTCATAAGCATCGATGGTGTGCTGAATAACTATGATTTATTAAGTGGATGGAGCCTTTAGCTGATCCCTTCCTGTGATTGGCTGTTGTGTGAATGTCAACAAAGAGTTTCTACCAATGATATGCCATCATTTTTTTTATTATGCACCCCATATACCCTTTTGTGGGCGGAGCTTGGAACCTCCTACCCGAGCACAACAACCCACCTTATGGGTTGCTGTTTGGCTATTTATAGTGCGTTGGAAAAGCAACAGATGGTGTTAGTTGTATTTTGTGGGGTAATTTGTTATAAGTGTAATTTGATGTCAACAGATGGCGTAAGCTGTATCTTATGGCTACTATTGACCAGCCAGTTGATAGTGTTCTCTTCTGCCGACAGATGGCATCAGCTGTATTATTAGTATTTTAGTATTTATTTAATAATAATGTATTATTATTACTTTAAACACTGATCTATACGTCTGGTAGCTTATAATAAGGTTTTATACCATGCTGGTATTAGGTAACTAGAATTCAATTACTTTTTTTATCTACTGTTGAGGATATGTAAGACAAATGTAAGGTTTTGAGGCTAAGTAACGAAGATAGTTACAAGATACGAGCCAGATGGTATTGAGATTGCAAAAGGGATTATGATAAGAACTTAAGCCAAAAAATCATTGCATAAATGTTCGCAAATATGAGACTGGGATTTATTTCTCGAAAACTTAGCAATAAAATACGCTTTTTAGTTCTTTATTTTCAAAATTAAGACCAGGGATTCTGTCTAACGAAGCTGCAAGCTAAAACACCGTTATCCTATAATGTTCATCTGTAGCTTGACCCTAAATACTCGTTTATTAAACGAATTTATTGTTAGAGTTCATTAGGAATCATTTTTGTTGAAGGCAGAGTTTCCAACAAATACCTTCCTGTGATTGGTTGTTGCGGGGAATGCCAACGCTTATATGAATAAAATGCAAAATAAGAAATACGTCCTTTTGCTCAATAACCTTGTTGTTGTTGTTGTACAAAAGAACAACAATTTATGTTTTATACAAGACAGAAATTTCCATCTAACTGAATAATGTAGACCAATAAGAGGGCGGAGGCATTGTATCGCCGATATTATTTGTGTGAGGCAACTCCCACTGATGACGTCACAAGTTAGGTAGCCAGCCCATGTTTCTGTAACACTCGTTACATCCTGCAGTATTTAGTTATCACTATATTAATACTTTTAAATACTTAACATTTCACTTTTTAGGTAGATTAAAGTTGAAGCAGAATGTCATAAGCATCGATGGTGTGCTGAATAAAGATGATTTATTACGTGGATGGAGCCTTTAGCTGAGCCCTTCCTGTGATTGGCTGTTGTGTGAATGTCAACAAAGAAAATCTACCAATGATATGCCATTTATTATGCACCCCATACCATCTGTGGGCGGAGGTTGGAACCTCCTACCCGAGCACAACAACCCACCTTATGGGTTGCTGTTTGGCTATTTATAGTGCGTTGGAAAATAAAGAGATGGCGCTAGTTGTATTTTGTGGGGTAATTTGTTATAAGTGTAATTTGATGTCAACAGATGGCGTAAGCTGTATCTTATGGCCACTGTTGACCAGCCAGTTGATAGTGTTCTCTTCTGCCGACAGATGGCATCAGCTGTGTTATTATTACTTCCGAATTCCCTTTAAACACTGATCTACAAATACCTTAATGGCTTATGATAAGGTTTTATACCATTTATGATAAGTATTAGATAATTGGAGTTCCGCAATTACTTTTATTTATCAACTGTTCAGGATATCATCATATAACGTCTGGTTAGGACGTTATTATATTTGGATGAAATATCAAGCACAGGAACGTAGTATACCATACAAATTGAATAGATCGTATACTAATGACCCAAAGTGGATAACAAAGAATTTGAAGAACCTTATAGGTAAAAAGAGAGCTTGGTACAAAAGGATTAAAAATGGGGAGGTCACTTTAGAACAGGAATTCGTACAACTGGTTAGAAATGTTAAAAAAGAGATAAGGAAAGCAAAAAGAAACTATGAAGTTCGCATAGCAGGGCAAGCAAAGACAAATCCTAAAGGGTTTTTTCAGTTATATCGTACTAAGACTAGGGAAAGGATAGGTCCATTAAAAACTGAGACAGGTCAAATAACAGATAGTGATGAAGAGATGAGTAGTATTTTTAATAAATATTTTGTATCTGTATTTACTAAAGAGGAACTTAACAATATGCCTTCAGCCGAACAAGTCTATGTGGGTGGGGACGAGGACAGGTTGACGAGTTTAGCAGTTACCAGGGAGGATGTTCTTAAACAAATAGTAAAACTCAAACCAAACAAATCCCCAGGGCCGGATGAAGTGTTTGCTAGGGTGCTTAAAGAATGCAAAGAGGAGCTTTGTGACCCACTGTCAACCATATTTAATAAATCAATAGAGTCAGGCAGAGTGCCAGAGTTTTGGAAAGTTGCTAATGTGATACCAGTTTTTAAGAAAGGAGATAGATCACTTGCGTCTAACTATCGACCAATTAGCCTAACGTCTATTGTGGGAAAGTTACTCGAATCTATAATAGCAAATAAAATTCGTCTTCATCTTGAAAAACATAAATTAATAATTGAGTCGCAACATGGTTTTATAAATGGCCGTTCATGTTTAACAAATTTGTTATCTTTTTATTCTAGCATTGTTGAGGCAGTTGATAGTGGTAAGGATTGCGATGTTGTATACCTTGACTTTAGCAAAGCTTTTGATACAGTGCCACATGAAAGACTGATTAAAAAAATAGAGTCTCATGGTATTGGGGGTGCTATATTAAGCTGGATTAGGGCATGGCTATACCAAAGGAAACAGAGAGTTAGTATAAATGGAATCAAGTCAGAGTGGGAAAATGTTGTAAGTGGAGTGCCTCAAGGCTCTGTCCTGGGACCTCTGTTGTTTATAATATATATAAATGATTTAGATTCAGGATTGAGTAGCAACATTTGCAAATTTGCCGATGATACGAAAATCGGTAGGGAAATTAATTCGGAGGAGGACTCACTATCACTTCAAGTTGATCTAGATAGGGTTTTGAAATGGTCAAAGGATTGGCAGATGCAGTTTAATGCTGATAAATGTAAAGTTCTGAGGTTAGGTAATGATGATAGAGTTACAAGATACGAGCTAGATGGTGTTGTGATTGCGAAGTCGGATTGCGAAAGGGATCTGGGAGTTATGATTAGTAAGAATTTAAAACAAAAGGATCAATGCATAAATGTTCGTAATAAGGCAAATCGGACACTTGGATTTATTAATCGCAGCGTTAGTAACAAGACACCTGGTGTGGTTCTCAAGCTATATCTTGCTCTAGTTAGGCCCCATTTAGATTATGCAGTTCAGTTTCAAAATTAACGAATTAAATGCTCTTGTCTGCACAGAAAAAATAGATATTATTGCACTTACCGAAACGTGGATGAATGTAGAAAATAGAGAACTATTAGCTGAATATCAA